ATTTCATGTTTTTTGTCTTATAGCATTATTTAGTATTAATATTTCCAGTGTGGTGTTGAATTTTAAGCAGTTGGAGTTGATATCCTTCTGTTGTTCTTAATTATAAAGGAACTGTTTCTCATGCTTCATTATTAACTCTGATGAAGGATTTGGTTAGGATTCCTTCATCAAATTAAAGAAATACTCTTTCATTTATAGTTTAGTAAGAGTCCTTCCCTTGAACGAATGTTGTTTTCAAATACATTTTCTGAATCTATTGAGATTTGTTTTCTCCTGTATTCATTTGTGTGTGAATTGTACTAATAAGTTTTGTAATGTTGTACTAGGAAGCAAAACCATCAGATGAAAATCAATTTCCTAAAAGGTTTTTTTTTTTTTAAGTGTTGTATTTGGATCAGAAACAACTACAGTTACTTACTTATTCCATTGCCAGAGAGAAGAGCAAACTGAACCTCTTTTTCTCCTTGCTCATAGATCTCCACAGTGGATATATGAGTTAAATGGAAAAAGAGGAAAAATTAGTGATGTCATTTACAACTTATTTCATTAACTATTGCTCATAAAAAACAGTTATTTTATGACTCTGTGCAATTTTCTCAAACAAAAATAAAGAGCTATTGGCAATAACAATGCAAAGTTTTAGGTTACATTGCAGATATTTAAAGGCAGTTTTGGCAGTAAAACTAGTTTACAGTGAGAGAATCCTATCACTCTTTTTGAATGTAAAGAAAAGCTCATCAAAAGAATATTACTGCTCATGATGGATTGCAGAGCAATGTAATAATTTAATCTACTTCGGACATTTTCTTTGCCTTGCATTACTCAGCTATCGGTTAATAATTGTCTTTGTTCAGAACTAGCTTACAAACTGAACTACATTCTTATCAACTGAGTAAGTCCTTTTAGAACACATTGTCCATGCAAAAAATTTTTTTTAGATCTCTAAGACACAAAGACCAGTAGACAAAGACTTCAGGAATAAATTCAGACATAGGACATAATAAACCAAGAATAACTAAAAGGTAAAAGGCATGACCTTTCATAGTGTGTTAGAACATTTAGGAAAATGGACTCCTGTTTTTGTCTCAATTGTGGATAAAAGATCAATTTAGGCATGTAAGAAAACAGTATTTTCAGAGGTCAAATGGGTTTAACAACATAGGAGCTATTCTGTAGAAGTGTGTTGATATCAAAAGAAAAAAAGCATTGAGATGGACAGAATGTGGATAGTTGTGAAACCTGGTAATAAATACATGGAAATTCATTATACTAATTTTGCTTACCCTGTATATGTTTGAAATTTTTCATAATAAAAGTTTTTTAATGAAAGAGTGGGAAATTTTTGCACTAAGTGTAACTGATAAAATTTTTATCCAAAAAATATAAATAATGCTTATGTATCTTAAGCATACATAACATTCAAAACTAGATTTCACGTATTCGGTGGAAAAAAAGAGAGCAACAGGCACTGAAGGAATTATAGACAGTACAGTCATCCCGTGGTATTAGCTGGGGATTGGTTTCAAGACCCTTCACCTTCCACATACCAAAATCCACAGATGCTCAGGTTCCTTATATAAAATGGCATGTTTGCATATAACCTACACATATCCTCCCATATACTTTGTCACCTCTAGATTGCTTATAATACCTAATACAGTGTAAATGCTATGTAAATAGTTGCTATACTGCATTTTTAAAACTTGCATTATTTTGTTGTTTTTTATTGTTTGTCGGGGGTGGTTTCAAATATTTTCAATCTGCACTTGGTTGAATCTGTGGATGCAGAACCTGTGACTATGGAGGGCCAACTGTAAATTGTGACACAGAAAAACCTACAGCTTTTTAATAAAGTAGAAATAAAATTAACATAAAAGCATTGCTATGTGCTTGTTAAGCTAGAAAAAATAAAAATTGTAAAACCTTATGTTGGCTAGAATATTCACATGCTTACTCTGTAGTGGATCTGTCTTCCCAGAGGGCAAACTAGCAATGGGCAATATTTGTAAAATTGCTGATTTACTTTACCTGGTCTTAGGGGATATACAAATATCTAAAACATCAGTGAATGCCACCATAAAGTATAAATTATTCCCCCCAAACTTAGATGACCTCTTCAGCCCCTTAATGATTCTGTAATTATAGCAACAAAAAATGAACACATGTTATGTTCCAGGCACTGTACCCATCCATTTAGTCCTGACAACAACTCTACAAGGGTAGGTTCTGTTACTATTAATACATCTTATAGGCCAGGTGCAGTGGCTCACGCCTGTAATCCTAGCACTCTAGGAGGCCGAGGTGGGCGGATTGCTCAAGGTCAGGAGTTCGAAACCAGCCTGAGCAAGAGGGAGACCCCATCTCTACTATAAATAGAAAGAAATTAATTGGCCAATTAATACATATAGAAAAAATTAGCCAGGCATGGTGTTGCATGCCTGTAGTCCCAGCTACTCGGGAGGCTGAGGTAGGAGGATTGCTTGAGCCCAGGAGTTTGAGGTTGCTGTGAGCTAGGCTGATGCCACGGCACTCACTCTAGCCTGGGCAACAAAGCGAGACTCTGTCTCAAAAAAAAAAAAAAAATACATCTTACAGATGAGGAAACTGAGTCTTGACAAAGTTAAGTAACTTTCTCAAAATCACACATTGATAATGAGTGCAGCCAGGATTTGAGCCTAGGCAGTCTTAACTGCAAACTCCCTGCTTTATATATAATAATTTCACCAAACTGCCTCTCAAAACAAAAGCAATTTGTCAAATAGTTGAATTTCCTTGGTTAGGGCTGTTTACACCTAGATTCTATTACTAAGGTTACAGCTGCATTTTGACAATCTAAATGGTTTCGACTATCATGTTGGTGGGTATGAGCAGTGAAACAGGTCTTCTGATATATTACCAATGACGTTGTAAATAGTTCAGCCTTTTTTGGGAAGCATTTTGGCAGCAGATTTCAAGAGCCATAAAATGCTCATATCTTTTTGACCTAGTTAATGCCACTTCTGGGAATCCTCTAAAGAAATAGTCCAATGTGGAAAAAGCCTGAAGCACTAAAGTGATCACCACAGCCATGTTTGTTATAAAGCAACTGGAAGCAACTCTAAATGTTCTGCAATAAGGGAATGACTAAACAAACCATGGTGTATTTACTCAGGCCAATAAAAATGAAGTGTGATGCAACATAAACAAAACATCGTCATCATGGGTTTTAAAAGCAGCACACAGATTGGTATGAACACTAAAATTATATAGCTTTTACAAATATGAAAAATAGGGAATTTAAAAATGATAATCAGATTGGTATGATTGTAGGTAATATTTTCTTCCCACTATTTTTCAAATTTATTTGTGATGTAGACTTCTTTCTAGTTTAAAAATTAAAACCAAATGATTATTTACTGATTTTATGCATTAGTCTCAATGATAAGCTGCTTGGTGATTGGATGCTGCAAAGGTACAAAGAGCGTCCCAGGAGTCAACAATCTCTGGGTCCTTGGCAGGTGTCTCCCAAGCTGGTGTGCAAACCTCGGCCAGCAACTGTGCCTCAGTGTGCTCAGTTGACCAACAGTGAGCAGTGCAATTTGGGAGTTATGAGTGGGCTCTTTGGAGTCAGGGATCTTGCTGTGTGTCTTTGGTTCTTCCCAGACAAGCCACTCAAACTGTAAAGCTCAATTTCCCTATCCATACAAATAAGACTAATGAGCTCAGAGTCTGGCACCTTTAGTAGGTGCTCTAGAAGTATTTCTTCCATTTGGTTATAGCCCTCATAAAGTGTTCCTCACTTTTCTTTGTCCTTTGTTGACAGTAACAAATGTAAAGTCTAACTTCCTTTGCCAAAGGCTTTTGAGCGGCCAGTTAAATATTGTTCTTCTGTCTTCTGATGTATCTTATCCATAAATTAGAGTTAAGGATGAAGATAAAAAAAAGATTTTGTCATTCAGTGTGGCTTGCTAAATTTTCAGTTTTGTTTTAATCATATTTTTTTTCTGATTACAGAAATGTAGGAAATGCTCATTACTTAACATTTGGAAAATAGAGAAAACTGAAAGAAGAAAACTGCACGATTAACTTCCTACTCAGGAACAGCCATTATATACCTTTCATTTTTTTCTTCCAGGTTTTTCTGAATATCTGATTTTTTATCTTTGAAAAGAGAATTATAGAAAAGCTCTTATTGGAACATTTGCTAAGTTTGGAGTTAGTTTAACATGACGCTTTGAGTTTGTTTTGAGATAGTTTAACAAATATTCCTTAGGTAGAAATAAAGACCAAGCTACTAATAGGGAACCAGATGGATGGCAGGGATAGGGATATTTCTGTCTTAATTGGTAGGAAAAATTTTCTGTAATTTTAATACCTGTCAAAGAAAGAACTTATGTAAAATATAATTACCTGAATCATGCATCCTGGACTTCTTCAGAACAATTGCAATTTTAAGTAATTTTATTATTTTCATCATAGGTAGATACTCTGTGCCTTTTCACACCATGAGTTGTGAGTTTTGGTTTGGTAGAATGTACTCATCGTGCATAAACTTGGAATAAAGACGATGCTTGCAAAATATTCATAATTTCTTGGCTCTTGGCCTTTTCAGTTGTAGAACATGAAGTTTTAAAAGATAATCAGTTCTTATAAGATCCTCTAGAGAAAAGTTGAAAATTTATCAACCTCATGGGAAGTGGAAGTGTCACTTGAGAGTGGAATAAATTGATAATCATATCCTTGAAACCTTCTATTTTGAATAACTGTGGCCCTTGTGAATCTGTGCTTGTCTGGTTTATACCTTGGTACCCTATGAAAAGGCAGGTTTGATCTGAGACTCTTGAATATTTTGAACTGTTAGGGAAAATAGTGCCCAAACAGCAAAAGGAAGGAAGCCACATCAAAAGTTAGCTGAGTTTACATGCTGTTCCTACCAGGAAAGGTTACTGGTTTTACTTAACTTTATTTTTTAGACCATTTCTGTAGTTGCTTGCTGATAAAAGTGATTTAATTTTTTTCAGTATTGCCTGTCCGGGCACCCAACCTTACCATGCAATGTGCTCAAATTCAAATCAACCACGATTATGTTGGACTGCGGACTAGACATGACTTCCACCCTCAATTTCCTTCCTTTGCCACTTGTTCAAAGGTATGTTCTGATGCATCCAAAGACAAAACAAGCTTGCATTTGCTGAAAAATGGTACCCATTAATATAAAGATTACCAGTACCTTGTGTGTTATAAGTTTGCTTTGTTCCCTTAAAAATGTTCTTTATCAAAGTAATTTCCTTTGGCTGGGTTGGTGAAAAGTGTTCTATTGATTTATTGATTGACTTCTTTATCATAACTTCTTCTGAGCTTCTGTAAAAGGTTCCTGCAACTACTCAGTGCAACTGAGGTCATGTATATTTCATCTTTTTTGTTAGTTCACCTAAGAGCTGATACATGGTCAACTGATGAGCCCAAGAATTGAATTTTAGGATTATTTTGCTGCCTTTTCAGGGACTTCGAACATCATGGAGTGTGACATTTCATTTCAAAAGGCATCTGCATTATTTTCATACTAATCAACTTTAAATATCACACAACCATAAATGTAGCCGAAGTCCATGTCTTAAATCAGGCAGATTGCCTCAGGGCTACAATCAGCACTATTTGCACTTAACTAAGACTTTGTCTTAGGAAATTGGTTTTCTCACATGCTACTATTTAGAAGCTGCAGTTTATGAAAGAAGTGGCTAACTTGTGGAAGCAATATACTCACCATAGCAAAAAGTGATACCACCATATAAGAGAGGAGACAGAAAAGCTATCGAAAGCAGATTTAAGAGCTCAAAAGCATAGCAAGCTGGGTGAACCACCTCATTTATCTCAGTCATTCCTGAAGATATTGCTGAGTACAGTGATTATTCACAATAATAACCCCATGAACCATCTGGGAAAATTATAATCAACCATTGATTTTTCTGAGCTTAAGGATACAATAAGGTGGGATAAAGTCAGAGATAATTCCACATTATATTTTATGTAAAACTGATGAGATTCTGTTATAATTACACCCAGCACCTAGAAATACATGTACCATCCACAGATGTTATCCAAAAAAGAGAGAGCAATATTTATGTGACCGACCAGTTATTTCTTATTAAAGTAGCCTGATAATGTCTGTGCCCCTCCAAAGAGCAAAATGTTCATTCATTTAATGTTTATTAAGACTTCGCACTGTGCCGGACCAGGGGGTGCAGAGATAAATAAGGCAGCTTTCCCTCATGCAACTTACATTCTATCGGGGAGAAAGACATGATACATATGAAGATTTAATTATGCTTGTGATTAGAAACGGCTACATGTTTGTGATAATTACTGAAAAAATAATATACAAGGCACCATGAGGGTTTCCAAGAGGGAGGCGAACCTGCCCTGCAAGGTTATGAATTTCCTGGGTAATCAAAACCAGAATTGGGCAGATGGTCCCAGCTGCTTGTTTTCCCTGCCTGTTCTTTCTCATCATTATCTAATTCTTCTATTCTCACAGCCCTGGCTCAGCACGGGAAAGCACTGTAACCCACTTCTGCCCTCTCTTCCTTCTGCCATTCTTTTCCTGTCAGAGGGAAGTTATACCAGTGGGGTGGTTGGCATTCCATGGAGTTCCTTACAGAAGGTGTCTCCTCTTGCTTAGGCCAGAAACCTTAGAGACACACTTGCTTAAAATAGTACCCCTGTCCCTCCCTATCCCCCCTGCCTGCTTTAACTGTCTTCACAGCACTTACTACATTATGTATATACACATTTACTTTATTGTCTGTCTTCTCCACTAAAAGGTATGTTTCATAAGGGCAGGGATTTTATTTGTTCTCTACCATATCCCCAGTACCTACAGCTGTTCTTGGCTTATAGTAGCTGCTCAGTAAATATTTGTTGTGTGAATGAATCACTTTATCTTGTTCCCATCCCTCCTCACCTTTTCAGAGTCCTTTCACTATTATAATTAACTAATTAATTAAATTATTATATATCTTTCTTTTGTCTTGGACCTTTTCATCTTCACTCAGTCCTTCCCATTTAATTACAGTCGGTCACTTTTCACTTTTAACTTAAAAAAACAACAACTTGTTTTTAACCTCTCAACTCCACTTTCCTCTTCAGCATTCCTAAACCCTGTCCAGTCTATCCTCTGCCCTCAACACTGCACTGGAACAGCTTTCCCTGAGGTCACAAATGACCTCCCCATCATTAGATATGACAGGCATCTGTCAGTCCTCATCTTGTTTGACCATCCAGCAGCACTGGCTTCCATGCTAATGCATTCCTTGTTTTCCTCTTACTTCTCTGACTCTTCCTTTTCTACATACTTTGGAGACTCATCTTCCTCTGCCTGGCCATCATGTATTATAATTCTTCAGTGCCCAGTGCTTGGCTATCATAGTCTCCAGCAAGGGAATTTAATAAAAGCTCATGGTTTCAATAACCATCCAAACAATACCTTAAAATTGTGTGTCTTTAGTTAATAATTCTCTTCTGAGTTCTAGATTCATGTGTCCAAATGCCTATTCCATTTCTCTTCTTGGATATACCTTTGTCTTCACCTTAAAACTCAATATGCCCCAAACTGAATTCATGAGCAGACTTGGTCCTGAAGAAGAGAACATACCCTGCCAGACCTGGTTTTCCCCAAGCTCCCTATCTTAGTCGCTGTCATCCTGTTACAAAATCCAGAAATACTGGAAGTTAACTTAGATATACCTCTCTTCCTCACTTCTCTGTATTCAATCTTTCATTAAGCCTTGTCATTTTTACCCTCTAAATAGTTCTAGAATCTAGTCACTTACTTTCAGTGCTGCTGTAGTCATTATCATCTTTTATAGTTATTACTATTAAAGACTCCTAACCAGTTTCTTCAGTTCTGATCTTGCCCCTGACTGAATCCAAAGTCATCTTTTTGTGTTACTTTTTACTTTGAAATCCTACAGATGTACAAAAAAGCTGCAAGGATAGTATAAACAACAACTAATTACCCTTACCAGTTTGTTGGCATTTTAACAAATCTACTTTATCATTTTCTCTTTATATGTGTGCACATAATTTTATTTGAGAGTAAGATGGAGGTATGATGCTCCTTACCCCAAAATACTTGAGTCATATGTCAAAAGAGCAAAGACATTCTCTTACATAACCGTGGTATAACAATCAAAATCAGGAAATTTACATTGATAGTATACCAGAATTCATATACCTTATTCATACTTCCCCAGTTTTACCAATTCATATTTCACTAGAAAGCCCTTTATAGCAAAAAAGAAAAATAACTTCTGCTCCAGGATCCCATCCAGATCACACATTGCATTTTATTGTCATGTCTTCATTCTCTTTTAATCTAGAATACTGTCTCTGTCTGTCTGTCTTTTATGACCTTGATGTTTTTAAGAGTACAGGCCAATTATTTCATATAACATCTTTCAATTTGGGTTTGTCTGATGTTCCTCATTATTAGGTTAGGGTTATTGTTTTTGGTGGAAATACCATACCAGTGTTGGTATGTATTATCAGAAGGCACATGATTTTGTTTTCTTCCTCACAATCATCTTTTAGAAGCACAGATCTAATCTTGCCTCTCGCTTGTTTAAAACCTTTCAGTGGTTTCTTGTTGCTTTTAAACACCATGCTCATCCTGGTAGGTCACTAAGAAATGTCTGATTTCAAATCAAACGCATAGTTTATTATATCTCAAATAGGAAGCAGTACAGTGAATCGAAACGTGCGCCTAAACTGTTGACACAGTTTTGCCATCTTAATGGTAGCTTCTTTAAACCAGCAGTGAAGAAAGCCTGGCAGAGGTAGTGGCGAGGAAATCGAGAAAGGCATTTTCCACAGCTTGTTGAGAATTAAACATTTTTCCTTGCAAGAAGTGCGGTCCAAGCCCGGAAGAAGTGGTAGTCAGTTGGTGCAAGGTCTGCTGAATATGGTGGATGACAGAGAGTTTCCAAGTCCAGCCTTTGTAGTTTGAGCAGTGTTGTTTGAGCAACATGTGGTTGAGCGTTGTCTTGCAAGAGGATTGGCCTGTCTGTATTGACCAATGTCAGCTGCTTAATCTCAAGCATCCTCATTGTTTCTTCCAGTTAGTTGCAATAGACATCACTGTAATCAACTGACCAGGTTTCATAAAGCTGTAGTGGATACTACCAGCGCTGGACCACCAGACAGACACCATCAGCTTTTTTTGATGAATATTTGGTTTTGGTCTGTGTTTCCACACTTCATCTTTATCCAACCATTGTGCCTAATGTTTGTGATTGGCAAAAAGAATCTATTTTTTGTCACACATAACAATACAGTATAGAAATGGTTGGCCTTTATGGTATGACAACTTTGAGATGATTTCTCTCTGATGTTCGTTTAATTCATGCAAAACCCATCTATCCAGCTTCTTTACTTTGTCAATTTGTTTCAAATGGTCCGATATTGTTGGAATAGTAACATCAAACCTTGCTGCTAATTCACATGTAGGTTGAGATGGATTCGCTTCCACTACAACTTTCAGGTCATCATTATCCACCTTGGTCTCAGGTCACCCACGTGGCTCATTTTCAAGATTTAAATCACCAGAATGGAACTTCCCAAACCATCGTTGTACTGTGTGTTCATTGGCCACATCCTTCCCAAACACTTCGTTGATGTTTCAAACTGTCTTTGCTGCATTTGTTCCATGATGGAACTTATGTTTGAAAATAGCATGAATTTTTGACTTATCCATGGTTTCACAAAAATTGCTCTAAAAAATTTTTGAAAAATAATCACAAGCCAAACCAGGTGTTTGACAGACTGAGGATGTACCTATACAATAAAAATAAAACTAGAATTGTCAAAGTGAAATGTCAGAGATGTCAACTGTCAACCTTAGTACAGAAGGAAATCAGACATTTCATACTTAATAACCTAATAGCTTTATTTCTACTCCTGTAGTACCTGCTTTATACCCTGGGTCTTGTTGTTTCTTTTTAGAGTTTCAAAGAAGTCTTCTTACTCCCACCTCAGAGCAGTCACACATGTTGTTCTTTCAGGTTCTTCTCCCCTCCCCATCCCATTTTCCCTTAGCTTGTTTAGGTGGAGCCCATCTCTCAAATCATTTATAGTTACCATGTTGGAAGGACATAATGATGATGATCTAGTTGGAGGGGGGGTTGGAGGGAGTGTATGGAACTCTTCTCAAAATTTCATTTGAATAACAAAGACTGATGAGAATGACTGGAAGAAATTACTGGGCTTGGTACTATCTTCCTCCTCTAGTCCCTCTAGACCCTGTCTTTGGACCAAGTTCCCCCTTGACTCTGCCCCTGTCCAGATCTCAGCTCAATTATCATATCCCCACAAAATCTTTTGATGCTACCTACCTAGGCTTGCTTACTCAATTTGTAACACTCAGGAAAACTTTTGTGGTGCTTGGTGCTAGTTTAGTGCTTCATCACCTTTAACAACTGTTCTCTGTGTGATGACTTGATCTGTCTGCCTTCCCTACTCCCTTAGGAGGACAGGTCTGTTTTGCTCACAGTCACATCACCAGCGCCCAGCTCAACACATAAATAAAGATTCCTAAAGGAGCAAGTAAAGATGAGTACCTCCTTCTACAACCCTACACCTAGTGATGAAGCTCTTCCCTATTTTCTTTTCCTGGAGAGACCTTTTCTAACTTGCATTCCCTGCTCTGCCACCTCACTGCAAACTGTCAAAAGTGCCCTTTCTCTGTGAACCCATGGTGCCTGCTGCATACCCCTGCATGGCTCTTATTTTATTCTTTTTTTTTTTTTGAGACAGAGTCTCACTTTGTTTCTCAGGCTAGAGTGAGTGCCATGGTGTCAGCCTAGCTCACAGCAACCTCAAACTCCTGGGCTCAAGCATTCCTACTGCCTCAGCCTCCCGAGTAGCTGGAACTACAGACATGCGCCACCCTGCCTGGCTAATTTTTTCTACATATATTAGTTGGCCAATTAATTTATATTTATAGTAGAGACAGGGTCTCGCTCTTGCTCAGGCTGGTTTGGAACTCCTGACCTCGAGCAATCCGCCTGCCTCAGCCTCCCGGAGTGCTAGGATTACAAGCGTGAGCCATGGCACCCAGCCTCTTATTTTATTCTGATGTAATTGCTGTTTACTGTCGCCCTGTACTAGATTGCAAACTCCTAAAAGGCAAGGATTATTTACTGTAATCCTATCACTTTGCTCTGAGTAATAACCTTCTGTAAATATTTTTCAAATGAATCAATGTAATCATGCCTCCTTTACTATTTTCTGATTATAAAAGTAATACATTTCAGAGTTGAGAATTGCAAAAAAGAAAAGTACAAAGAAAAATGAATTGCATATCATGTTCAACCTATCTTTCAGTATTTTTCTAGGCAATAGATTACAGTGCCATACACTATTTATTTATTTGCTTATGGAAATAATTTACCTATTTTTCTAAAATTAACAATCACCAAACCGTAGATATTGTATACATTTTTTTCTTGACTAAAAACTTTTTTAATGTTATCCCTTTGCCCTAAGAAGTGTTTATGAAATCTTGGATGCAAAGATGTGTTCTATAATCACAATTTTTCTAGCATCTTTACCTCTCATATTTTATTAAAGTAGATTGCTGTGGAGCGATCTCTGTATCCTTGATTGCAAAGTTTGCATAAAGTTTATGCAAAGTTTATACAAACTTTGTAATCATTAAAAGCAAAATAATAAGCTCTTTCCCCTTTGGTAACTTAAAGTTTACTCTTATCGTTGATTCATTAACTTGTGGGAACACAATAAGCAAGTATTTTCATCTCTGCAGTCAGCATCCTTTGCCATTTGGTAACATGTTTTTGTGGCCCTTCATGTTTGGCACCATCGTTACAACATGGTCATGATTTCCTTTGAGCACTCAATCCCATCTACTGGCAATGTCTGAAATCCTAAGTCACTACCAGGGTTTAACAGAAGCTTTGATATTATAAAGAATATTTGTCAAGAGTTTAAACCATGATACTTGAAAATGTTGCTTTTTTAAAAAATGAATTATTTTCCAATAAGCAATGTAGTATTTCTGATCATTTGTTGAGGAGAACTAACTACATCAGTCATCTGATTTTTGTAGGTCTGATGGGGAACAGAGTGTGTGTCCTTTGATCTAGTTCTCTTTGTAAAACGAAGTGGATATTTACAGCTTTGCTTTAGAGAGTTAACATGCATGAAATGAGAACAGTGTCCACATTGTCTTGTCATTGCACTTTTATTAGAATGCTTGCTTTTTAAATCTGATCTGACAGTAAATATATTTTTCAAGAATAATTCTACAAGTAAAGACATATATGTGACTATGAAATGAGATGGAAATTAAAACAGCTAATGGTAATAGAATATTTTCCTGAAAGTATAGAGCAGAAAATTCCCAGAGTATTAAAAAAAAAAAGTTCATCAGGTATAATTTATACCAATCAAATTTTATTCTTCCCGTAGTGATTTTCTTTCTCAAGTATAAAATCACAATTCTCACTTTTGAGTAAATAAAGGCAAAATGTAAACAGTTAATAAGTTTAGATAAAGGATATGTGGAAGTTCATTGTACTTACATTCTTGCAGCTTTTCTGTAACTTTGGAATTATTATCACAATTAATTTACCCCCCAAATTCTTACTTTTTTCAGAAAATAGATTTTTATATATATGTGTGTGTGTATATATATATATATATGTATGTATGTATGTATGGTTTTTTGTTTTTTGGTTTTTTTTTGAGACAGAGTCTCACTTGTTGGCCTAGGCTAGAGTGAGTGCCATGGTGTCAGCTTAGCTCACAGCAACCTCAAACTCCTGGGCTCAAGTGATCCTACTTCCTCAGCCTCCTGAGTAGCTGAGTAGACTCAAGGCATGGCCACCATGCCCGGCTAATTTTTCATATATATTAGTTGGCCAATTAATTCTTTCTATTTCTAGTAGAGATGGGGTCTCACTCTTACTCAGGTGCGGTTTCGAACTCCTGACCTTGAGCAATCTGCCGCCTCAGCCTCCCAGAGTGCTAGGATTACAGGCATGAGCCACGCTGCCTGGCCTAGATTCATATATATTTTATTTGGGTTTTTAACCTTTTCTAGAAGGATTGACAAATATTACATATCTATGTTTTCTATTTGACTTTATCACCTATCACCTAATTAAAAATTCAGTATCTGATAAATTATTTTGGAGAGAGGATGAGGATATACAAGTATTTTTTCTGATTATAGAATCCTTTAGTCCACACCTTTACTTGTCCTTAATTTTTAATTCACAGACTTTAGTGGAGAAGTGCTGCAATCCTTTTGGGCCATCGAATTTGTACTTTGATGTGCTTTTTCTACCACATTGCCTTAAGTTCGTCTGGGTTTCATTTGCCAATATATTGTTTTCTTTCCTGAATTATTGGCATTTTCAGTTCCAATATAATTCTTTCTGGTCACCTAGTAGTAGACAGATAATCCTGAGATTACTAACAGTAAATGACTTTTGAATTCGACTTTTTTCAATGTAACATCATGCAATTATACCTTCTGGAAACTATTCACTTACTATGGTATCACTTTGTAAAACTTGAGAAAACAAGCTGCTTTTTCCAAAAATTGGAAACTGATGCCAACGTGACAGTGACTGATCTACTTGTAAGCAGTGAATCCAGAGTTTGGGTTTGACTAGAATGTAGTATTCATGTTCGAGTGCATTCAGACTGGTAGTATGATCTACCAGTGGGTGAGTGTTCTCCTCAGAGCATCCAACCTCTCTGAGTCTGTTTTGTCATTTGCAGTACAAAGATTCCCATTCTGTCCTCCCATCAAGGCTGTAGTCAGACACAAACAAGGGAAAGGAGACAGTGATTGGAACACTATAAAATGCTGTGGCATCTCATCTTTCTTTCTTCTCATAGCATTCTTTTAATTTGCCCAATTTTTTGTCTAAACTGTTGGCCTTTATTCTATGGCATATAATTCTTAACCTTGATATGAGTACAATAAGTATATTCTCTTCTTTTATTGTACTTGTGGTAAGCATTGCTGCCAGTAATTTCAAACTGACTTATGGAGACAGTACAGGTCACCATGAAATCACTGAGGTTATAATCTATTAGATAATTAATCTTTGTTTTTGCAGTTCCAGGCTGTCTAATCTTCCTGGCTGTCGCTGCTGAAGATGGCTAATGCTTCTTGGACAAGGTAATGCCAAAACAAAAACCAGAAGCATATCTACACCCAGTAGATATCCATCTTTTCATACCAGAGCCACCTGTGGCAGTGTGACTCATGGTTCATTTTTTTTCTTCAGGTGTATTAATCTCTGAAAACCCCAAAAATCTGTGCTAGGTTCTTCACTACTTGGTAATTATTGCTTTTAAGTGCCTTTTAGGGAATCTCTTTTCAGATTCAGATCCAATTTGTTCATCTGTAGAAATCAAAGTACTTTTGCTACAAATACTTTTTATCACCACAGAAAGAAAACTATACTAGAATTGCAATGAGAGTTTTAAAGGTGATGCTTATTGAAGAGTTCAGTGCAGTTCATTTTGAAGCTGTACTGATTCTGTGATTGGAAGAAGTAAAACTTTTTTTAAAATAACTTTAAAATCCACAAGTATGTGAATTTTTAACTGCTTCTATGAGGGGTCAGATCAGGTAGGACTTTGTAAAAGGTTTGGGTCATCTTTTGGGTGATGAGAGGCCACAGAAGGTTCCATAAGGACAGTATCATTATCTGTTTGGATCATTCTGGCCACAGTATGGAGAATATTCTGCAGAGCAGGATATTTGACTTTACAGCAGTATGTTTGGAGGTGGGAAGGATGGTACAGGAGGGGAGTATACGTAGGCAAATTTGAGTGGAAGGTCTTCCAGACTGTGATCTTTGAATCTATTCCAGCCTTTCTTGGTAGCCTAGAATGGACAATCTTATAGATTATTTAAAAAACAAAAAATAGTTCTAAGAATCTAGGGTTTAGAGTCCTATTATGACTTTAATCACTAACTAAAGCTAAAGTAAATGACTTAAGTTACTTTGTTTCCAAGGCTATTAAATTTTTGACAATAGGTTATCTTTTCAGTGTTTCCTTTTTCATATCAGTATTCGGACAGTAAACTTATTACATGATAATCCAAAGCTACAAAAAATGTTAGAACTATATCAAACTTTGTACTAAAATAAAATCGTAGGTATGGGAAGGTTAAAAACTGTACCACTCAGCCAAGTCACTTATTAGATCTCCAAATCATTCTTTGTCTCCTAAGTGTCACAGTTGAAAAACTGAATGAGTTTAAAGATCCTTAAAATGATTCATCTAAATAAAGCACTTTTTTTCTTATAACAAACACTGTTAAATAAAGAGGTGCTTTTTGCAGAATTAATTCCTATAACTGCACCCCAACCTCAAGTGCAAGCCAAATGCATAATTTGAAACCAGATTTTCTTCATAGCCGACTGTAAAATTATGTGACATTCAGGAACCTGTGCACTTGATTTCAGCCCGAGTCTCCTGCTGGCTATAAATCATTGTTCCCTGAGAACGGCTCAGAAGCATCCCATTACCAGCGCATTGTGAGCGAAATGACTTGCATGTGTATGTGGGAGTATTTCATTAGAAGGGAGTGGTGAATAAAATACAGTGACATTGTAAGTGTTTGGAATGGCAAATATGCTTCTGCAGGCCAGAAAGGATGAGAGCCCCAGAGGAGATTTTATCATATGACGTGCCCTGAAATGTAGCATTATGGGGAAGAAGATTACACAGCCAATTAAAGACCAAGCAAAGCTTTGAAATTTCCCATGATTTGTCTTTAATCATTTTTAACCTCATCCTGAGGGAGTTGAGAGTCTTCTCCCATTAAACATAATTGCTCATTTGTTTTTGGCTGGCAGGTACATTGTAATTAAGAACCGCGTTCAGTCTCTTTGGCTCAGCCTATCACTGGTTAAACAGTGCTCACTTGAGGAGAGGAGCCAGAGTATGCAGTGGAAGGCAGAAGGAGGAGATACTCTATAGAGGTTATGATGTATGACACATGAAAAGTTCACAAGGACAATAACGTGTAGTTAATGCCCTATTCTCAAATAAAGATTGAAAGCAAAATCATTCAGACCCTGATATGTAAATATAGATTTATATATGTATGAATATATAGAAATAGATGTTCAGTGACTAACGGAAATGTGCTAGAACAAAATTGTAACAATATCTTTCCCTTTGTGGAAAGAGCAAAGGAAACGGTCTTTTCTATCTTACTGGTTTCTTTGTAAAGTCATAGGTAGCTTTAATCTTGATGGTAAAAAATCGACCATAGACTTCAGTTTACAAGTGTCAGTGAGGTGAGAAAACAATAACTCTCGTGGCCTTCTGGAGGCATTGTGGCAGGCCCTATTGGTGGCCCACACATATCTCTCTCCGGTCTTTCTATCTCAGTATACTCCATCATAATTCCAGCTGCCAGGATCTATATGGTTTTGCCTGAGAGATTCTTCCTGAAGCTGCACAAAGTGTAGGAATTGGTATATAAATATTCCAGACCCATTGCTCCTCAGTAGGGTAACTGTGAGGTGTGTGTGTGATACCATTTCCCAGAGTTTCCCCATAGGAGTAAGTTCCAGTTGCTCAAAATAAGTATATGGCTCAATAACATACCTATTATCAGTTACCCTTGTCTCTGTTGACCACTTCCCCATTCTCCTGCTGTTTTATCAGCACCTCCTACGTAAACCACTTGTTCTCTCAAAGCCTTTTCTCAGGGTCAGCCAGTGGGGGAATCTAAACTTACACAGGCATATTAAATATGGTAGGTCATCGGTGGCATGGGGAATTGCACTGTATTCTGTTTCTTTATGTGTATATGCTTTTTAAAAAAAGAAATGCATGTTGTAATTCCAAGTAAATTGTATACTCTACGAAGACAAACATTACATTGGTGGTGGCAGTAGTAGTAGTGGTTTAATCCCTGCTCTCTACTCGTGATCCTCCCTCCTTTTGCTCCAACCCTTGGGAAGTGGAGAAAGAGCCTTTAAGTGATCTGTCTAGGGCTGTGACTCCCAACCTGATCAAATAACAGAATCACTGGAGGTGCTTGTTACAAATATGGATACCGTGGCCTTATCCCCAGTTTTTGATCCCTAAGGTGTTGGGGCCCAGGGATCTTTAATCAGTGTCCCCAGATAATTCCGATGTTGCAGTTGTGGTCTCCATGACTATTATTTGGAAACCATGGATCATGGGTTATAGAAGTAGCATGTGTCCCTGCAGGGCTTTCTTGAATGGCATCAAGAAATGTTCATTCAAGTCCCGAGTCTGCCATCAGCCAGCATTTTTACCCTAATTAAGACACTTGGTCTACCTGAGCCTAAACAGGGGAAGGGGTAGCCTAAATATCCTCCTCGCTTCCCTCCAACTCTAGCGGTCTGTGACTCTTCATGAAAAGCTTGGTTTGGGAATTAAATTTCTTTGGTACCATACCCATTAGATATCTCTTCCTAGTATTTTTCCTTTTCAATTTCTTTTAGGAGCTAAAGGAGTGCTCGGGTCATGTATTTGTGGATTCTGTGCCTGAATTCTGTTTACCAGAGGTAAGATTAAAGTGAATCTTATTGTGGAAACAAAGAATATTGTGTAATTTCTCAAAATGAAGCCAAGAGATAATTTAAGGGGTTTACCTGCCTGTTTTCAAGTTTAAATGAATCTGTTTTTCGAGTACATTGTTATAGAGCTGAAATAAGATCATTTAGGAGCTTTTTATATGGTCTGTAAATCATTTAAGTCACTCTCTTCTTCCTATTTCCAACTCTTTCTATAATCCCCACTAATTTTTCTACTAGGGCATAATTTTGAGCAAGGTAAGGAAATAACTCAAGCCTTTCAGTTTTGTTTTGTTTTAGTTTTTCCCTTAAAAATTTTTTTTCCCTTCATTCTTTGTTTCTTTACCTGCTTTCTCTATTATTTTTTTACTTCTGTAATGGGTGCCTATGAGATGAAACCTTACAGTTTTGTAATTTAATGCCTTTGTGCTCAGGTTAGCCATACTTCTCCTGGTGCTGCTTACAATGGGTAATTGAGAATTGCTATTATTTAGCCAATGCCAGCAAACTAAAAATTCTTGCTGACTTGAAATATCACATTGAATATTGTTTGAAATTCATGAATTCTGAACTGAGTCTTGGATATCTGTCACATATTATTATCACAGTTAGACTTTTAAAAATTATTATGCATTGTATGTCTTTAATAGGGTACATACAATATTTTAATACAAGCATACACTGTGAATTAAAGTATACTCTAAATACTGTTGATTATAGTCACTTTGTTGTGCTGTCAGATATTGTTCATTCTAACTATCTAACGAGATTTTTGTACTCATTGACTATCCCCACTTTATCCCCCTCTGCTACCCTTCCCAGCCTCTGGTAACCATCATTCTACTCTCTGTCTCCATGAGATCAATTGTTTTTAATATTTAGCTCCCACATATTAGTGAGAACATGCCAGATTTGTCTTTTTCGCAGTGAGATTTCTTGTTAGGGTTTGGGGCCTGTTTCATCTTTCAAAGGAAACCAAGATCAGTTTCCATTAGTTTTAAAGGCAGTTGATCTCAGCTGACAGGCCTAATCCCCAGAGCAGCCTGGCTGGGGGTTCTGATCAGACAGATGAAGTGCCGGGAAACCAGTGCTACTCCAGGGTTCTTGAGGAAATCAGAGAGAAGCTGCCATCCTCTTCTTTCCATCTGCCACTGAGTTACAGTGCCTGTAGAAAATACTATCATGGTTCAGACCCAAAGAGAAAAGAAATTTGGAGTGCATTTTCTCTTATTTTTGTTCTCTTTTCTTCTGTCTCTTTCCATTTCTACACTTTGTTTGATACCCTGTAGATGAACTTTTTTCTCTCTCTTTGAAGTATACGTATGTGCCATTGGGGGTACCAGAGCAAAAGAGAGGACAAAAAACAGAAAAACATGGTAATCGAAGGTAGCAGACAAGGGAGAAAGTTTGCGATTTCACAGTAAGAATAAAGCTGAAGGTAGAGAGTTATCAGGAATCCAGACCTGCCCCTCACACAAAGATTAAAATCTTTTTGTCATCATTTGTCACTGAGGAATCGGTGGGGCAATTCCCCATCTGTTCAAAGATTCCTAATCCCAGGTGCTACTTTTATTTTCAGTTTACCACATACGGCACTGACCACTGCAACCTTGAGTTTATGGACACAAATGTACAATTTATGGATTGCTGTTCTGATGACTTTGCGACTTGCTACATAGAACACTCAACGTTTAAATTAGACAGTTACCATTTTGCAGTTCACCTTTTGCCGAACTGAAGAATTGTTGTTATATTTATTTAGGGTTCTAGAGCCATATAAAGTTTTTCAGGTAGGATTTTAGGCACAAATTAGTAATAGTCACTATTTTAAGGTTGAGCCCCAGGCCATTGTATATGACTGGAAGAAAATGAGACAGTAATAGAAGCAGGAGAGAGGTATGTACTACATACAGTCCAGTCTTTAGTGACTTTTGGGTGAGCCAGGCAGACCTAGTCCCTATCCTCATGAAATTTATAATCTAATACAACTACCTTAAATAATTGTATTCCCCCAAAGTCTACATTATGGACTGTGCATTGAGTCTAGCTACAGTATAGTAAGCAACCAATAAATTATGGGTTGTTTTGATCCAATAAATTATGGTCTGTAGAACCCCAAGTGTGTTTGTACATGACCATTTTAAAGTTAATCTTATTGAGTTCCAATATGTAAGTAAATGTATGAATACAGTTGACCCTTGAACAATATCAGTTTGAACTGCATGGGTCCACTTACACGTGGATTTTTTTCAATTAAATATACTGGAAAGTTTTTTGGAAATCTGCAACAATTTGAAAAAACCCACAAATGAATCTAGAAATATTGAAAAAATACATAATGATGCCTAAAATATATGTAAATGCTAGTCTATGTTATCATTTACGTCATAAAATATACACAAATCTATTATAAAATGTTACAATTTATCAAAACTTAGGCATACACTTGCAGACCATACATGATACTATTCTACTGTTCCCAGTCCAAAGAATGTAAATAATACCTGCATAAAAATAACTGTAGTACATGCTACACTAATGTAATGATTTCATAGCCACATCCTATTGCTGTTGTGATGAGCTCAAGTGTTACAAGTATCCACTTAAAACACCACATGAGGCTGGATTATCTCCACTTGAGCAGTTGTCTTTCCAGTAAATTGTATATCTCGGTTAAAAGTGATCTCTCGCAGTTCTTGTATATTTTTTATTGTGTTTAGTGCAATACCATAAACCTTGAATAACGTCATGGGACCCATACGAAGTGCTACTAGTGATGATGGAAGCGCTCCCAAGAAGCAGAGAAAAGTCATGACATTACAAGAAAAAGTTGAATTGCTTGGTATGTACTGTAGATTGTGGTCTGCAGCTACAGAAGGAAATTCGTGAAGCCATCACTGTGGCTACACCAGCAGATGCAAAAACTTGGCACTTTTGGTGAAATACCTTTTTATCTTGTATTGAAAATGCAACTTTTATGTGGTTGCAGAATTGCTACAAGAAAGGCATACCTTTAGGTGTTAATATGATTCGAGAAAAAGCAAAGTCATTATATGACTACTTAAAGCAAAAGGAAGGTGAATTACCTAAAGCTGGAGAATTTAATGTCAGCAAAGGATGGTTTGATAATTATAGAAAGAGATTTGGCTTTAAAATGTCAATATAACAGGAGAAGCTACTTCTGCAGCCCAAGAGATAGCAGACAAGTTCCCACATGCCATTAAGAAAATATCCACTTGAATGGGTTCTTAATGTAGACAAGGGAGCCCTATTTCAGGAAAGAAAATAATAATACTGCTACAAAAGACATTTATTAGTAAGGAAAAGAAGTGAACACCAAGATTTAAGGCACAAAGGGATATCCTAACTCTACTGTTATGATCAGAACAGTCTTTATCTATAAAGTTGCTAACCCCTGATCTCTGAAGGTAAAAGACAAACACCAGCTGCCAGTATTGTGGTTGTACAACAAGAAAACCTGAACAAAGAGAGCCCTTTTTATGAATTGGTTCCGTTGATGCTTTGTCCTCGAATTCAGGAAGTATCTTGCCAGTAAAGGACTACCTTTTAAAGATCTTTTGATATTGGACGATATCCCTGACCACCCAGAACCCCATGAGGTCAACACTGAAGGATCAAAGTGGTCTACTTGTCCCCAAACACAATGTCTTTAATTCAGCTGCTAGATCAAGGGATCCTAAGGACCTTTAAGACTCATTATACATTGTCTTCTATGGAAAGGATGGTCAAAGCTGTGTTCCCAATTGAGAGAACATCATGAAAGTCTGGAAGGATTACACCATTGAAGATGCCATTTTTATTATAGAGAAAGCCATGAATGTCATCAAACCTGAAACAATTTCCTGCTGGAGAAAGCTGTGTCCAAATGTTGTCTGTGACATCACGGGATTTACAACAGAGCCAGTTAAGGAAATCATGAAAGAGATTGTAGATATAGCAAAAGAGATGGGAGGTAAATGGTTTCAAGGTATAGAGAGCTTGGAAAAATTCAGGAGCTAATAGACACCAAACCAGAGGAATGAACAGAAGATGACTTCATGGCTATTAGTGCTTCCCAATTAGTGCCAGATGATGAGCAAGAAGGCATAGAAGAAACAGTGCCATAAAACAAAGTGGCATTAGACAATCTGGCAGAAGGATTCCAATTATCCAAGACTGCTTTTGACTTCTTTTACAACACGGTCACTGCAACTAAAACAGTGGAAGGAGGATTGGTGCTTTATAGAAACATTTTTAGAGAAAAGAAGAAGCAAAAAAATCAGACAGAAATTACGATGTATTTCTGTAAAGTTACGCTGAGTATGCCTGCTTCTCCTGCCTCCTCTTCCACCTCCTCCTCCTCTGTCACCCGAGACAGCAAGACCAACCCCCTCCTTTCTCCTCCTCCTCCTTGGTCTATTTCACATGATGAGGACGAGAATGAAGATCTTCATGATGATCCACTTCCACTTAATGCATAGTAAATGTATTTTCTCTTCCTTATGGGATTTTTCTTAATAACATTTTCTTTTCTCTAGCTTACTTTTTTTTTTAATGATACTGCTTGGACATTGACCTGGAATCTCTGGCTTACTTTATTGTAAGAATACAATATATAGTACCTATACAAAATATGTGTTAATCCACTATGTTATCAGTAAGACTTCCAGTCAATAGCACTATTAGTTAAACTTTTGAGGAGTTAAAAGGTATATGTGCATTTTGAACTGCAGTGCTGGGAAGGAGGGGGTTGGCGCTCCAACCCCTGTGTTGTTCAAGGGTCAATTGCATGTAAATATGGTTTGAATGTTTATTAGGGGAAAAAATTATGTAGGCACACACAATATATACATTTGGATGTGTGTGTGTATATATATATATATATATACACACACACAAAGAATTTTTTTATTTCTCATAATTCTAGACTCTCTGGGCTGATTCTTATATATTTAAAAGAAATTTCAAGTTTTCAGAACTGGTTTCTCTATGCGTGAGGGAAGAGGGTGATGCTTTTAAGCTTTATTGTTGCTTTGACTGTCATTCCCATTGTTTTCTTGTGGATCTATCATTCTGCTACTCTTGTCTTCATTTCCTTATTTGTTTAAAAATGATTCTGGAGTGGTAGTGGAGAGCAGGACCCACAGAATGTCATATGATGCTTCATCATGGGGATATTGTCTTGCAAGCGCAGTGCAGGACGTGGAGTTGGGGATGGGATAGATGGACTATTACTGTCATTAGGCATGTTATTCACATAGATGTCATTGCCCTCACAGTGAGCAGCTTATGACCTCCACTCGCATGCTGTCCTCAGGAGCTGATGATGCCTTGGCAGCTTTATTAAATTAGCCTATTTTATATGTAAAGTCACTCAGCCAGAAAATGCCCACAGCCAAAATGGCACGCTGCCCCTTATCATCTGTTTATGCCACAGACGTCTTTGTTACTTCTCTGTGGGAACACATTAGCTCAGTGACCCATCTCCTAACTGGAACACTTCTTCCTTGTCCCTAGTGCACTGTACAGTTTCCCAGGGTTAACTCCTCCACAAGGGAGGCTCGGTGACTGGTAGGATGTCTCTGAGCCACAGTATCTCACTTTTCCTCCAGAAGACACTGCTTATAAAGCTGCCTTCCTTCGGTAAAACTCACTGAAGTCTGTACTGGGCCACTGCGGGTGGAGGGAGCCAGAGAAGAGTCACATGGGACAAAGTGCTACTTGGAGGTGACATCGTATAGAAGGCTGTCAGAAGAGGGATACACACAAAGTACTTTGGGAGTTCTGAGGGGGAAGTGATTTCTTTCATCTGGTAAAATCAAGAAGACTTAGTGGAAGAAGAGAGTTGATCCTTAACAGACAGGTAGAACTTAAATATATGGGAAAAATTTTCTTCCACTAAAGAGTTTTAGTAAAATTTATCAAACTTGGATAGTATTTTCCCTCACTTGCTAACCTGTCTTTTCTCTTTTCATCTGACCTTAATGATGGACTAAAAGGGCAGATTTGGGGTTAAGATTAGGATAGATGATGAGAGTGTAATTTCCTCTGATGACTCTACCCCTGTACTTTTATTAGCTCCATATTCAACACTAGTGGTCAAAAGTTGCCTCGGGGGAAAAAAAAACAGTCTCCACATTTGACTTGTGAAGAGCCAGTTTCTGCGTGCTGTTTCCCGTTTCCCTTTAATCTGTAGCAGTGACGCATCCCACTCTAGTATGTCCTTATAACTTACATTGTGCTCTCTCTGCTTCAGGTTACCTGGTTTCATGTGCCAGGCAGCAGCTGTTGAAGTGTCCAGTTTTCATTTATCCTTGTATATCTAATCCAGAAGAACTCTGTTCTAGTAAAATCAGAGTACTGTTGATGGACTGGCTACGTTCTCATTGTTAGCCATCCTGTCCTGCCACTTAATGTCAATATTAGAAAACATCCTAAATGAGAGAATGGAAGTGTTGCAGGATAGCCATCATTATTCTGCAGTACAAAAATGACTTCTCTGCATTCTGACAACATCATTTTTAGTCACATTATATTGATCTATCCCTGAACAGATATGTATCATTGCCTCCCTTTCTTTTCAGACTGAACTAATAGATCTGTCTACAGTGGATGTGATTCTCATCTCTAACTATCACTGTATGATGGCGCTGCCCTACATCACCGAGCACACTGGATTCTCAGGCACAGTGTACGCCACAGAACCCACTGTTCAGATCGGCAGGTGAGAGTATTTATTCTTGTCCTGTTAAGATGTGGCTGTAGAGCGCCCCCTTTGGTGATGACTGTTTAATAGAGTGTTATGCCAGGAGTGAATGCTATTTCCTTCTGAACAGCTGAACCCAAAGAATAGGCAGGAGTAGGTGACTCTGTAAATAAAGAAATGCATTGGAAATGCCTAGAGATTGCTGTGGCGAGTAGTCTTTTTAGTCTTTTTGTGTATGTAAACTGGGAGGAGTTCGTGGAGACAGCTCCTCTGTGCAGATAATACCAAGTAGGGGAAGTCGTGTTTAGGACGTTGCCACAAAGGCACAAGACAAAGAGCTTCAGAGGAAAGGAACATAGCATCTTGAAGGAGAGGAAATTTGATTTCTTTGCTTTCAAAATTTCTCCCCTTTTATGGTTTACTGCAGACTATAAATGAAGACAGCTCATAGAAAACAGGGGATAGGTAAGTAATTAGATGGTTCAGTTGTCTCTGCTGTTGACAGAGTGAAACTCAGCAGTCTAAGGAGTAAAACTGCACAGTCTGCCTTTGACTCTGAGAAGCCTCTGCCACTCCTTTCTCTGCCCCTACCAAGCCTTTGTGATGTAGGTGGTTGCTGTAAGTAACTATAGCATAATTTAGTGAGAAAAAAAAATATGTGAAGTTAGCTAGGCGTGGTGGCACACACGTGTAGTCCCAGCTAGTCAGAAGTCTGAGGTGGGAGGATTGCTTGAGCCCCGGAGTTGGAGGCTGCAGTGAGCTATGGTCATGCCCCTGCTCTCTATCCTGGGTGACAGAGCAAGACCCTGTCTCTTAAAAAATGTGTGTGTGTGTGTGTGTGTGAGAGAGAGAGAGAGAGAGAGAAGAAAGCGACCTAGGAAAAAAATTATTAATTTATTGTATTGACATAAATTAACAAGTATGGAATAAGTTAAAGTGTCAGAACCCAAAATATAAGATCTAGGAGTTGATATAGACTCCTAGGTTGGATTCTGTTGTCTTGCAGATGTCCAACAAGATGGAATTACTAGAAATGAAACAGTATTTTCTTGTTTTTGTGTCAAACCATATTACCTATATTGTGTGCTGAAAACCATAAGGGATCTGAGGAAAGGTCATTATAGGAAAGTAAAACACTCAAAGTGATGGATTGTTTTCATTGAGAGGATGAGCTAAAAACATTAGACTCAAGCCTGAAAAAAAAAGGATGAGGATTGACATACCAGACGGTCCTCATGAAAGCTGTAGCCAAAACGATCATGAGCCTGGATCCCAGATCTTGGGATTTGGGGACTAGCTCTCCATCTTGCTTCTTCAAGATGGAGAGAAGAGATTATTAGTGCTAAATAAATAAATGGAAGTGAAATGAAGTTGTTCAGCTTTCAAATGCTAATAAATTTATGGCTTACCATTATATATTGACTTGGAGGGGACTTAAGTCAATATGGGTCATCTATTCTAGATTATGCAAAGAGATTCAAAATGTTGAAAATCTATTTCAAGCTTTGTGGTCATCCTTAGCCATCAGGAATTCCAACACAGATCCCCATGTTGGATTGTCCCCTGGATCCCCAGAGCGTGTGGACCCTTCATGCAGTCAAGTGTGTCATTTTTTACATTCCCTCGACTGCGATTCTGTGATATTCCATCTCGTGATCTCAGAGAGTTGTGTTCTTTTGTAGGGCCCTTTGTTAAATTTTTAGGATTAGTCCTTGGAGTATTCTTCCACATGGAATTTTGCTGATTCCTAAAACACATGCAAGAAAACTTATTTTATCAGTTTAAAATGTCCATTTAATATTGTTATTTTAAAAAAAAAATTATGCCCTCACCCTGCTGACACCAAAATTGGGTACTTCGTAGTCACTTAACAATTTCTCCTTTTGTATTTTTAGTAACATAAAGAAAGAGATCTTAGAGTAAGAGTTTAAAAAGGCTTATATTAATATATTTCAGTGTTCAGAGACAAGAAACCTGCCAGGCTTGTTTTAAATGTACATTAAATCATATAAGTTCAGAATTTTTAGCATGGAAATTCAATGAGAAGTCTAGGTGTTTGTTTAACTTTCTATAAAATGGTTCCCAAGTTTATATGCAGCAGAGAGAAAGATGCTGAGGTGGAGGAGGGGGAGGCGGGCAAGTCATTTCTCCTGGCTACAGTGTTAAGAATGTGGTATTTTTTCTAATTTTCTAATGGGTGTTCGTCACTTTTTTGCTGAAACTCAGGCTTCTCATGGAAGAGCTGGTGAATTTCATTGAAAGAGTGCCAAAGGCTCAGTCTGCCTCCTTGTGGAAGAATAAGGACATACAGAGGTGAGGAGCAGCCATCTCTCTTCCCAGAGACTATAGAGCCATATGCTTTGCAAAACAATCTCATTTGATTTCTCATTTTATGCTTAAATATTGATTCGGTTATACTAAAGATTGTCTTTTCCTTAACATATGAAAGGTTTACATTTGATTCAACCAGCATTTTTTGAGAGGCAACTATGTGCCAGGGACTGTGCTAGGTATGGGAATTTTTAGCAACAACTAGCTCTATCTTCGAGGTGCTTAAAGTTTAATGGAAAATCAGACGATTCAACAGGTCAGTTACAGTCTTGAATGGCATGTCTTATAAGAGATGTTTGACCACAGAGCTGTAGGCATTCAGAAAAATGAAGACCTCTCTCTCTGCTTAGGGAAGCTGAGAAGGACAGCCTTAGGAGATGATAATTAAGGTGGGTATTGGAGGAAGAAAAGAACTTTTCCAGCTAGAAAAGGTGGGGAAGAGGGTTCTGGGCACAGTGCCATGGAACATAGTATATTCGTGGAGCAGTGAGAAATTCAGTGTGGATTAGGATGGGAAGAGCAGAGAGGTGAAAGATGCAAGTAAAGGGCTAAGTTGGAGCAAGATAATGAAAACAGAGAGTGAATCTTGAATTTTTTTATTGTTGAATGTGAATAAGGAGGAAAATGACTTGACTTTGTTTTGAGAAAAGTAACTCTGGAAGCAACATGGAGGATGGATGGGAATGCAGGGATGCGGGCAGAGAGACCAGCCATGTGACTGTTTCAGAAATGCAGGGAGGTAACAAAAGCCTAAACTAAAGTAGTAGTAGTGAGCATGAAGACAGAGTCTAGCTTCAAAGAAATTTCTGAGATAGAATTGAAAAGAATTGGTAATTGTTATAAAAGTAGCTGCAGAGTAAATGAGGAAGGTAAGAGGAGAGGTGAATGGAAGCCAAGGCACAAAGGAAGTTTCCAAAAACACAGGCTTGTCAGTGGTCTCAGATGCTGTGGAAATAACCTCAAGTAAAATGGCTATGGAGATTGGGAAGTCATTAAAAGCCTAGAAAGGTTAGTTGCCATAGAGTGCTAGAACCAGAAACCAAATTGTAAGAGGAGGGGTGAGTAGAATATGGTAGAGGAAGGAAGGAAGCAGCTTGATCCCACATGCTCTTACTTCAATTGACAACGGATGACCCCAGTAAATCATAACTGGCTGGACTCTCTCCGACCTTAGCAACTGCTGCCCTTACCTCCAAGCACCGTAGTAGACCCACCTGCTGACCCCCGTATCGAGTCTGAAGTAAAAACTAGCCTTTTGACTTATGAGGCAGTTCGTGTTCTATATACTCGTGCTGAAGTCCACTTTTTTCCAGCTAACTTAGCACTCATTTCTCTTCCTCTAGAACAGGGGTCCTCAAACTTTTTAAACAGGGGACCAGTTCACTGTCCCTCAGACCACTGGAGGGCCGGACTATAGTTTAAAAATAACTATGAACAAATTCCTATGCACACTGCACATATCTTATTTTGAAGTAAAAAGGCAAATGGGCCAAAAAACCCACATGTGGCCTGCAGGCCATTGTTCGAGGACACCTGCTCTAGATCAATGATTTGTTAGTCATCTGCTTATCTTAACTTTAAAACATCTTAGATTTTGTGGATCTTCTTTCTACAAGAATATGTATGTGTATGTAGCCAGAGGAATATGCTTGGTTTTTCTGTAGTGACTGTTTCCGAGTTTGAGCTTGTCTCCCTTATGTGTTCCTCTATACATGTTATCATTTTATTTAACTTAGGGGGCACTTGCTGTGTGCCAGACACTATACTAAATATGTAATTTTTTTAATCCTTTAACAGTTCTGAGGTAGGTAGTGGTATTATTACCATTTTGCAGGAGAGAAAATCAGCACAGAGAGGTTAAGTAACTTGCCCAAGGTCACCCAAATAGTGAGTGGCAAGATCTGGATTCAAGCCCAGACAGTTGGCCAGTCTGGCTGCAGAGTCCACACTCCTAACCCTCTCGTGGGCCACCTCTCACGCTCATACACACCTATTCTTGCGTGTGTGAGCCCCTTCTCATGTGAGGGGATGAGGAAGTAGATTTATCTATGTACATTTCCTCCTGTATTTTATAGATCTTCCCTATGTCTCTGCTTCTTATATGAAGATGTGATGTATGTGTAGCTTTATATTAGGAAACATTTTCTGAACATGCACAGAAGACATAAGTCTTCTGTGTGTATATGAACAGCTTGCTTTCTTTCTTTTTTTTGAGACAGAGCCTTGCTTTGTTGCCCAGGCTAGAGTGAATGCTGTGGCGTCAGCCTAGCTCACAGCAACCTCAAACTCCTGGGCACAAGCAATCCTCCTACCTCAGCCTCCTGAGTAGCTGGGACTACAGGCATATGCCACCATGCCCAGCTAATTTTTCTATATATCTATTAGTTGGCCAATTAGTTTCTTGCTTATAAATAGTAGAGACGGGGCCTCGCTCTTGCTCAGGTTGGTTTCAAACTCCTGAGCTCAAACAATCCACCCGCCTCTGCCTCCCAGGCGTGAGCCACCGTGCCCTGAACAGCTTTCTTGATCTGACCAATCTCCCAGTGTAGTGCATGGTTTCTTCCCTTCCTCATGTTGCATATTCATTCTCAGCTCCCTCTTCTCTTACCCATTGTGATACTACTTTCCTTCTGTTTTTTCTGTCTCCTGTGTGCCCACTGGACTCCATAGGACCCCACTTCTCTACATCTCTGTCCTTAGAAACCTTAGGACTTTGTTTTCTTTCCCCATGGAACATGTATGCTTTGGCTTCCCTTGCTGCCTGCTTTTAAATTTACACCCTATATTCTGCCACAAATAATTTTGGCACATCAGAAATGGTCAGTATTTCCTGCCTCCCAAACCCTGGGCCAAGTCTCAGGAAGTCCCAAGTCTTTATTTTGCCTTTTCTTCTGTGACCCTAGGCAAAGTCCTTGGCATTTTCCTTTGTCTCCTACTGTCTGCAAAATACAACAAGATAACTGACTCACAGAAGAATGCCGTCATGCATCAGGGAGAACGTGAATGAAGCTTGAAGGAGAGGGCTCAAGAGTGGGTCTGAAAGTTATTTCACAATATGCTTACAAAATCTCCCTTTTATAAAAAAAGGTGCTAGTGGAAATAAAATTTTGAATTTCCTAACTTACCACTTGGTGGGCAAAAATCAGAAACTGTTGAAAGCTAACTTGCCCCCTCTAAGGGGGCAGCCGACACACAGCTTCAGCAGATTGTGGCCATGTGGGAATGTGAGCCCATGGCTGCCAAATCTTCCTTTTCTATTTAAGAGAAGATCAAAATATTGATGTTGTAAACATGATTTTTTAAAAATCTTTTAAAATATTGACTTATACATTAAAATAAAATCCTACATGATGTAAGCAAAACACCTCTGTAAACTGGATTTGAGGCTCAAGCTCCAAATTTTTGACTTATACTTTACACAGACAGACTCAAAGTAGAACTTGGTCAAGTGCCTAGAATGAATACATCTTAGTAGCTTAAGTTACTGATAAGACTGTCAACTAAAGAAAACAGTAAATTAAAAGTTTTCAAACTCATTGGCCAAAAGAATCTGTCAAATTCCCTTAAATCATTGGGAGTTAGTTTGAATTAGCATTTGATTTATTATTGGGACGTATGCTAAAAAAAACTATTACTCTTGCTTTCTGGCAGCTATATAACTTCCTGCCTCAGTTGACACTACTCCTTTAGATTTATCTCAAAGAACTTAGCCATCCTTCTTCCTAACTTTGACATTGCAGTTTACTCTTGAAAAAGAGACGAATTTTGAAGGGAAGAAAAGGAGAATCCCTCAATGTAATTTTGAGTCTCTGATTTTCCCACACCCACTTCTAAGTTTAGGTTTTTAATGGGAAAATTTAAAGCAGACTATTTCACTTAAGAAGCTAACCCAGCCTCTGGTATTTTTAATATAAAGCTAGCATTTTTTTATAAGATTAGAAATCTACAGTTATAATTAGGGATAAATCATTACAAGGTATTATCATCATCCTCTCACAAGCATTAAGAAATTAAGTATGCATATATTCCTGGCTGAATTTTAATGTAATTTTTAGTACTCAGAACTTAAAATGTGAGTTCATACCTACGGAAGACTTAAAAGAAACATGCGTATTAAAGTTGAAGTTCCTCTGCTCTGACACTCCTTGGGTATTTGTAGAGCAAGTTTTCAGGTCTATCTACAAAATAGGAAGAAAATTTAAAAGTATGGGTTTAGTAACAAAGTAGACTGGTGTTTGAATTTCGGGTTTGTTTCTTAGTAGCTGTGGCAATTTATTTCTTCTAGGCTCTAGTTCCTCATTCATAAAATAGGAACGATATTAGCAACTTCATAGAGTGGTGAGTACTAAGTGAGTAATATGAGTAAAATTCTTAAAACAATGCCAAGACACACAGTAGGTGCTCAGTAAACACCAGCATCCTTCTCCCCTTTAGTGATGTACTTGGTTTACATAATCCCCTTTCATTAACCAGAATACTTCTGCCTCCCACAGCCTAAGTTATCATCAGACACTGCCTTTCCTCTTGAAAGCAAGACAGTCAAGTAGACTGAAGGAAAACTGTTTTCAGATCCCACTGTTGCCTCTAGTTAGTTAGCACTGTCACGTAGACTCTTTGAGACTCAATATCCTTTTCTGTAAAATAAGAGAATTAAATTGCGTTATCTCTAAGTCCACTTATGTTATAGTTTTAAAAGATGTCCAAGGGAGAGGCTCCTTGAGGCTGGTCCTCAAAGAGTGGCAGTACTTTGATGGCGTAATCACAGCTTGTTCAGCTTTGTGATTCCTGACGCTTCATCAGTTCATTTCACTGAGTTGATTAGCCTCTGAGGGACTGATTCATGCTGACCAAACTCTTGGGATGTTGAGTGACAAAAATCCCAATTAATTACTTTATACTATGGAATGTGACTGGCTGCAGAACTAGAACGGTTCATCTATGTAGGACACTCTGTTCTGGGGAGGAGGTCCACTTCAAACATCAAATTACAGATAAGAGTTTTTTTCCATGAGCATAGAATTAGAGCAGAGATAGTTTAGCTACTTTCAAGAGTTGTTGCTCTCATGCATTGGTAGCCTAGGCAGTTGCCTTTGTTCTTTCTGGAGGTAATTTGGTCTGAAACAAACATCTGGGTTTATAATGTAGTTTCAGATTAATATTGAGAAGTGCTTGATTTTGAGGCTCTGTTTTGGTAACCCCACATAGATCATCACTCTGCTCACACATCCCCACTCCACCCCACCCACATGTATGTTAGGTACTCTTTGCTGTAATGACTTCAGATCCCTAGGTTCTTTGTATTCTGCTCTTATGTTAATTTTGTTCATTCCTTCAACAAACACTTACAGCCCAACCAGTGTTTTACTTATCAGCTTTCAAGTGATCCTTTTGGACTTAAATGCCTTACTCTTTAACAAAAATACACAGTCTTTTGCTGCTTGTCGTGCTGGTAGGATGGAAGAAGAGGCAGCAGAGCTTTGGCATCATGTCAAAATGCTGGGAAAGAAGTTTCAGCCACTCAAGTATGATAAGAACAAAACAAAACAAATGAAATCTTTTAGAAAGTACTTATGAAACATTTAGACTCTAAGAACTTGACTTTGATAAATTAGAAAGCCAGAAAAAACAGAACTAGTTCCCTCTGGGTTTCCTTATCCTACTTATCCTAAATCAGCCAATAATCCTAATGGCTTTAAGTGGCTCTGTAAATGCCTCTCTATAATTATGACCTCAAGAAAGCATAAGGAGAGTTTTAGGGAAAGCTAAGTTAGACAGGATGTTAGGAGATAAAAGGAAGTATTGACAAATAACTAAATATCGAGAAACAGTAAAAGAAGGTATTATTAGCAAAAGGATTTTATGGGTATAAACGTGGAATTAAGAGGACTGTACACTTATTTGTTGTGTAAGTACTAAGTGCCCGACATTATGATAAGTTTATAGGAAAATGTCCAAAAAAGTTGAAGATGTCCCTGTACTCAAGGAGCTTGCCAAGCAAGGGTTAGGTCCTAGATGGCAAGACTCAGGCTGGGTATGGCAGGTTCAGCAGGTTTGAATGAGAGAAAGGAGACCATTCCAAGACGGGGGAGGGCAACGTGGAAGTCCTAGTCTTTTGTAACCTAAGCACCAAAGTGACAGCCCATCACTTTTGTCAAATTTTCTTCATTAGAAGCAAGCACTTGGCCCAGCCCCCATTCAGGGAGAGAGGATTACACAAGGCAGTGAATACCAGAGGCTGGGGTCATTGAGAGCCATGTCAGAAGTGCCTACCACAAAACCCTAAATTGAGGAGGTCAGACAAGAGTTAGCTGGGACTTACCTTTCCTCTTCAGGCTCACTATTGAGGTCCTCCCTGATTTTTTTCACCACCTCTCATGCTGTTGTAGAGCTTACCTCTGCCCAAACTTGGTGCAGTTTAGACAGGACTCATTAATAACTGTCTTGCTAGCCAGTTATGGTGGCTCACACCTGTAATCTCAACACTTTGGGAGATTGAGGTGAGAGGATCACTTTGAGGTCAGGAGTTCGAGACTAGCCTGAGCAACATAGTGAGACCATTTTTACAAAATAAATTTTTAAAAATTTAGCCGGGCATGGTGGCATATGCCTATAGTTCCAACTACTTGGGATACTGAGGCAGGAAGATCTCTTGAGCCCAGGAATTTGAGGTTACAGTGAGCTGTGATCATGCCACTGTATTCCAGCCTGAGCAACAGAGTGAGACTCTGTCCTTAAAAAAAGAAAAGAAGTTTTTGACTTGCTAGTTCTTTCCTTTCCTGAGATGATAACTGAGCATTTTTTAAGTCTCATTTATATTGGATACCTTACTAGACTGACAAGAAAAAAGAAAGAATCAAATTACTAGAATCAGAAATTAAAGAGAGGATAATACTACCAACCTTACAGAAATAAAAATGATTAAAAGGAATCCTGTGACCATCATATGCCAGTAAATTGAACAACTTAGGTTAAATGGACAAATTACTAGAACGGAGTGCCCTAGAACCTAAAGAAAAAGTCACCTAGTAATTAACGGTGATGCATTTACAGGCTGCTGCCGTCTCCTCTCAAGGATGCCGTGGAAGTGTCAACCTGGAGAAGGTGCTATACGATGCAAGAGGTGAACTCTGCCCTTAGCAAAATCCAGCTGGTGGGATATTCTCAGAAAATTGTGAGTGTTAATATCATTTTTAACTGATTGATGAATACTTTCAATTCATACTGTTCTTTGGAAGGATCCTATAGTTCCCTTTTTTAAGCCAGTCAATTACTGAGAATCTTCTAACAGTATAAGGTGAAAAGACGGAGCATCTTATTTTCCTCCATCTCTCCCAGGTTTTTCCTGGTGCTCCTTCCTAACCTTCACGTTCCCATCACCAGCTAGCATGTGATTGGCTAGCAGGTAATGAGCCAGGAGAAAGGCATCTCATCCTATTCACATCAGAACAGTGGACCCTGCTTTACAGATTTTAGACAAATGAAATAGGAAACAGAGAAGCAGTTTGGCAAGTATGGCTTTTGAGCTCTGACCGAAATGATAAGCATCCCCATTTCTTCTGTCAGTCACTCATTACAGAACAACCAAGAGCCTAACCTAACCTAAAATGAAAAAGGCAAACCAAAGTATTCGACTCTTTGGTCTGTTTGGTAATATTATCATCTCTGCCTTTTAATTGGTGGGTCCTGAGTGCCAGGAGACATGGAGAGGGCTGAAACAGTCAGGTGGCGAGTAAGGCCAAAGTCTACCACATGTGCTCTGTTGTCTTTGTTTCTTTTAATTTGTTTTTAAACTGAGAAGGATATTTCTGTTGTTTTTCCCTGCAAACTTACCTGGCATGACTACGCACTGAAAGCTCATCACGCATTTTTACTGTGGTGGTTTTCTAGGAGCTCTTTGGTGCAGTCCAGGTGACTCCTCTCAGCTCTGGCTATGCCCTTGGAAGCTCCAACTGGATTATCCAGTCTCATTACGAGAAAGTATCTTACGTCTCTGGATCCTCCCTGCTTACCACACATCCCCAGGTAATTATAAATTCTTTCAAAAACTCAGCTTTTTGGTTATTCACTCGAACTCAGAATGTGTCCAGAGTACCATCAGCCATTTTTAAATCTTCCTAATTTTGTTTTCTACAAATATCTTTAGAAAAGTTAGACTACTCAAGTTTCAGCATTTAGGATTGCAGTTTTCTCTGCAGGTCACGTCTAGGATTCTGAGATTCCCTAATCCTTCCAAAGACCACAGACTTATATGGTTCACGCATGGTTTATTCATTTACTCAGAAGATATTATAATAACTATTTAATACTTACCAACGGCCAAGTGTCAAGCACTCAGGTAGGTATTAGGGATTCAGTGTTTGCCAGCGGGCAAAGCCTGTGGTCATGGATCTTATGTTCAGTTGATGTATGGGGAGGGAATAGTGTATAGAAGATAAATGAATAAACAAATGAGCAAAGTCATTTCAGACTGTGATACAAGTACTGAAAACAACAAAACAGGATTATTTCTAGAGTAATAGAGACTAGTTTAGATTGGACAGCCTGGGGAAGCCTCTGTGGAGATCTGATTTGCACTGAGACCTGAAGAAGCGAGCCTTGTGAAGCTGTGAGGGTTTGTATTAGCCAGAGATGGCAGATGGAGGACCCCTAAAGCAAGAATGAGCTAGACGTGTATGAAGAGCAGACAGGGCCATTGTGATCACAGTGACCCAAGTACAGTCAGCAGGGATGTCCAAGAGAGTAGAAGACACCATATTATATAGGACTTTGTAGGCCATGATGAGGAATCCTGGCTTTATTTTAATGTATAGAGGGGGAAACCATTGAAAGGTTTTAAGTTATTCATTATAGTCATATTTGGCAAGAAGCCAAGTATGCAGACATTGTTATAAATGTAATGTTTATTCCTTTTTAGGTATTTGTAAAGGATTTATTGTTCATTTCATAAATCCTGGTTATTTCCATGTCTATAAGGAGGAATGGGGGACATTCGTTAGCTGATGAATGGGTACATAGATAACTAGTGGAAATCCATATCCCATTTATTTATTAACATGACTCAAAGATCTTATTGTCTTCATAATAAAACAAAAGATGAACTTTATAACCAATCACTTGGCCCTTTCTCCTCATATCTTTTCCCATTACAAAATGTTTGTGTCTCTTAGCAGCCAGCATTCTCTTAGATCTGCAATTGGGCTTAATGCATTCAAACCTTAGCACAATTTTCTTTGTAGTTCTAGCATTTTTCCAGAAAACCAGCTTGGTCTGCCCACTATAGCCACTCTCCTTGCTGTCATAAAGCCACTTCCCCTGGACATCGAGAGAATTCTCTTGTACTGTCACTTTGTGGGGTTGGTGCTTGCCACACCTCTTACAGAAGGTCCAGTCGGTTTGCAAAACATTCACTGTGTTTGTGGGCACACTATTGGCAGAGAAAGAAAGAAGCTATTTACTTTTTCATTACAGATAAAAATCATGCATATTTATGGAATACATGATGTTTCGATATGTGTATACACTGTGTAATGATGAAATCAAGCTAATTTACATGTCCCGTTTTAATACGGGGAAAGAATGCTAAGCCAGAAGGATGCTTCTGCCATTCTGCATTGTTTTTTCATACCTTCTTTTATAACCAAATTTTATCTCAAGATCTAGAGGGGGCAAGGCACTATTTTTTCCTGTAGCAGGAATTCAGGGCCTTTTCTGCTTATTGAAATCAAAAGCCCTTCAATGTCATCATAACCTACTTCATCGAATCAAAATTTTTTATTGGCAGCTTCTATCATTCCTGATATATTCTTCCGTAAAAGACAGAAAGATGACTTGGCTGCCAACTCTTCCAATTTGTCCTGCTTAGATCAAAGCCTTTACAGTACTACTGATGTAATTTCCAGTAAATTATTCTTACAAGGTCCATAAATTTAAAGAGAAAATAAGGTCTTGAAAGTAATGAGCAACATACCTAAGTAATTAATTCTAATTTCTAGCTGGCAACCTGTGTTGTATGTAAAAAGAAAAAAAATTAGATTTTCCTTGTCCCACATAATTGGATTCTATATTGAATTAGCAGGGATAAGAAAAGTTTTCATTTGAGAAAAACTTAATAGTCTACTACAGAGGTTAGCAAACTATGGCCTGGGGACCAAATGTCATCTGTCACCTGTTTATGTGAGTAGTCATCTGTTGGAATATAGCCACACTTATGTGTGTATGGATTGTTTATGGCCCTATATGCACGATAACAACAGAGTTCTTTAAACTGTACTGAAAAGTTTGCTTGACCCCTGGTCTGCTTGAGTGGAATCCTCACTAACCAAGAAGAATATCACAGGCTGCTATAACAATCTAATAAGCATGGGAGAATGAAGTTGTGGGTTAAGCCTGAGGCAGTGAGAATGGAGAAACAAGTTAAAACATTGGCAGATCTTTAATTCAAGAAACATTTTTTTGAATTCCTACTGTCCTCAGGGAAGGAAAAATAAAAGTCAAAGATTTCATGTCTGGATGACATTGACAGTGATAATGACACACTAATCTAGTTGACAAGGAAGAGTTGGCAGAGGGGTTATTTTTTTCAGAAGGGGGTAGTGGGTGTGATGAATATGAATTTGAGAGAGCATTAGACAGGTGGAAACATAGGGCTGGAACTTGGAGGTGATAGCAGGTCTGGAGACAAATTAGAGTCATCACATTTCTTTCTTTTATTTTTTTTCCTTTGGAAAGACAGGGTCTCACTTTGTCACCCGCACTAGAGTACAGGTACACACTACCACAGCTGGCTAATTTTTAAATTTTTTTAGAGATGGGATCTCAATATGTTGCCCTGGCCTCAAGTGCTCCTCCTGCCTTGGCCTCCCAAGGTGCTGGGATTGTAGGCATGAGCCACCACACCTGGCCACATTTCTTAAAGTATGTAAAGAAAGGGCTGAAGGCCAAGGACTAAGCCATAGGGAACATTTACCAATGGACAGTGGAAGTAAGAAAAGTATTCTTATATAAGAGTGATTGGAGAGTAATAGGAGAATTGAGGCCAAAAAAGTGCAGCATCCCAAATGGAAAAGAAACAGAACTAGCCTTTACTGATCACAAGGTCTCTGTATTAACTTTTTAAATTGATTTGATATTTAGCAACCATGCTAAATTCTCTTGATTCTAATATGTATCTATTGATGGTAATGTTAATCTGCAAAGATGTAACAGTCTTGCTCCTCTTTTAATCTTTGTATCTTTTATTTCTTTTTCTCAGTTATAAGAAACTAAGCTCTGTAGTCCCATGTTGAACAGAACTGATGATGATAGTGAGCGTTCTTGTCTTGTACCACATTAGAACCGGAAAGCTTGTGTAGTTTCTTCATTAAATATGATGTGTGCTACACATTTTTATTTGTCAGAGTTTCTTCTCTATTCTTAACTCTGATTTTTTTAAAAGTCATATATAGGTGTTACACCTTATCAAATGCTTTTATTGAGTCTCTGAAATCATCACGTGATTTTTCTACTTTTAGACTGTTAATATAGTATATTGCAGTGTTAGCTTTTGTCACATTTAACTGTCCTTATATTCTGGGATAAATCTTTCTTTATCACAATTTATTCTTTTAAAAATACCCTCCTAGAAGGCCGGGCGTGGTGGCTCACGCCTGTAATCCTAGCACTCTGGGAGGCCGAGGCGGGCGGATTGCTCAAGGTCAGGAGTTCGAAACCAGCCTGAGCAAGAGCGAGACCCCGTCTCTACTATAAATAGAAAGAAATTAATTGGCCAACTGATATATATATAGAAAAAAAAAAACAACTAGCCGGGCATGGTGGCGCATGCCTGTAGTCCCAGCTACTCGGGAGGCTGAGGCAGTAGGATCACTTGAACCCAGGAGTTTGAGGTTGCTGTGAGCTAGGCTGATGCCATGGCACTCATTCTAGCCTGGGCAAAGTGAGACACTGTCTCAAAAAAAAAAAAAAAAAAAAATACCCTCCTAGAATCAGCTGTTCAGTATTCTATTGACATTTATAATCTATATTCATAGGTGGAAAATGGGTCCATACATTATTTTTTTATACCATCTTCATTTGCAGTAAATCAAAGTATATCGATAAAAAATATGTAAGATAGAGATTATCTTTTTCCAAATATTTGGTCAAATACCCCAGAAAACTGTCCGGGCCTGGTTATTACCATTTTAATTCTTTTTATGGTTATTGAACTTTATTTTGTGGGTCAACATTGTGCCAAAATTTTGGCAAAAATGTGTCCTTTTTGCCTAAGTTTTCAAAATCATGGGCACAGAGTTGTTTATATACCCTTTTATTTATTGAACCTTGCCTTTTGTTAAACCTTTGTTGTTTATATACCTTTTATTTGTTGAACCGTTTGTGTAATTCTACTTTTATTCTAAAGTTTGTTTATATTCATCATTTTTTCTTGATCAGACTTGTCAGAACATTGTCTATATTACTGATTTTCTTCAAATAGTAAGTTTTTAATTGTGTTTGTTGTGTTTTCATCCTCTATTTGGCCCTTTTATTTCCTTCCTTCCCTCCTTCCCTCCCTCATTCCCACCTTCCCTCCTTCCCTCCCATTTCTTCTCTTGTAATATTTATCTTATTTGTTTCAGTCTTTCATTTCTTTCCAATAAATTTATTTAAAGCTACCGATTTCCCTCTTAGTATCATTTAATTCTGTTTAATTTTTGTTAGTGCTTTGTCATTCACCTCTAAGTATGTCATAATTTCTTGATAATGTTCATAATTTAAATAACCAAAGATTATTTTATAATATTATTGTTTGTTTCTAGACTATCCAGTCTGATTAGACGTAAGGCTAGAGAAGATTTTTTTTTAAGCATACATTTCAGGATTCTAATTTTTTGCATTGTGATAAAAATATACTGATGCACTGGAATTCAGTTAGGCTGCCTTTGAAACACAGTCTGTTTTTGTAAATTTTCTACATGTGTTGGATAAGAATGTGTATGTACTATTGGGTGAAAATTTTTCTATGTGTATTTATTAATTTGAGCTTTTTGTGTTATTCAAGTCTTTTATATCTTTGCTTAGCTACCAGTCCCTAAAAGGGTGTGTTATTTGTTGATTTATCTATTTCTCCCTGTAGTATCACCAGTAATTATTTTTTCTGTTTTTAAGTTGTATACTCAGGAGTCTTTGTGTTCATGATCATTATATTTTTTGATCAATTATTCCTTTTATAAGGATACTTTTCTGTTTTTTTCCTCTATCAAAACCATATTCAAATCATCCTTATGTTAGTCTTAAAAATAAATAAATAAATCTTTTAAAATTATATTCAAAGCCAAGGGACTTTTTCTTCTTTCGTATGTACCTGCTATTTTTTCCATCCCTTTATTTTCATTCTTTCTGTTTGTTTTTGTCATGAATCCCATAGACACCATAGTAAGTGATTTTTTTTCCCCAATTTAGGGATTCTCTTTTGCTTGGTGAACCTATTTATGTTTCTTATAATTACTACTGTATTTTTGTCATATTTTTTCATTTTTTTAGTTCATTCTTTTCTCAATCCTTTGTTGCCTTCCTTTAGAAGATAAATTTCCTTCTGCAAGTGTGAAAGTATATATGTTATTTTTATTCTTCCGAGTTGTTCCTTAGTTTATTTTTCTGTGAATATCTTATCTGTATCTCCCCCACTCCAAAGCCACATCTTTTCCCTCTTCCTGCCCACCATAGCAATACTGTCTACAATTAAGTTCTGAGTTATTTAGAATATACATAGCGTGGTGAATATATTGCTTGTTTAGACAACAGTGAACTTAATGTTGTGGAGATTTTTCAACCTTACTTTTCATATTACAATAGTTCATGTCATCCTCCTAGATTGACTTTTCTTCTCTCAAAAAGAAAAAACACTTCTCTTGAGTGTTCACCAAAAGGGTCTTTAAATGGTAAACCAGATGAGGCCTTAAATCATTAATACTGAGAATATCTTCCCTTTTTCTCACATTTAAATGATAGCTTGGATGGATTAAAAAGAAATGGAAGGCAAAAACTTGGAAGCTATAATATAAAGCTGTGAAAAATACTATCTTCTGTAATTACTGTTAGCAGAATGTCATTCCCCAGCTTCAGACTGTTGAGTCCTTATTGCGTACTCTGTCAGTCTGCATGATTTTGACTTTTAGGACCCTTTACCAATTACACTTTTTTTTCCTTAATTTTTATTCTTTTTCTTTTTTTTCTTTTCACTATCAAATTGGTATTAAACCAATTACACTTTCTGTCTTTTCACTAATCTCCATTCTCAGCCCCAAAGCATGCTCTCCATCCCAGCCAAGTGAATTCATCTGGCATCTACATGCTGTCTTCCCCTTCCCTGTGCCCCCTGCCCTCTCCTGCAGTTGAATGCTTATTCTCACCTTCCTGACTTCCTGTATACTATTTCCCAGTGTGAAAATCGCACATTTTCTACCAGAGCGTGTTCTTTTTATGGATTCATCTATTCAGCAATGTTTATTTAGTGTTTGTTCTGTGCCAGGCATTTTGCTAGGCAATGCGGATACAGAGTTCTTGCCCCCAGGGAGCTTCATAGTCCTGCCGGAGACACAGACAAGTAAATAGGCAATTACAATTCAGCGTGATTAGTGCTGAGATAGAAAATACTGGATGCCCTGGGGCTGTATACAGAAGGGACCGTTGGTGAGGGATGGGGAAAGGTGTCACTGAGACATTCCAAAGGCAGTGAGTGACCTGGACTGTCTGAAATTGAGCTTTAAGTTCCTTAGCCAAAGAAGAAAAGAAAACTAGAACCAAAACTTCATCTGTCAGAAAGCTATGGAAGGTCGTGAAAAAAGGACTTAGTTTGGAGCCGCCATTTCTTCTGCCTTCTGTCTCTGCGCCTTTCGCAGAGATTCCAGTAGCACCATGTTGGCACAGAGCATCTGGAGGTGTCTGTAGGAGCCATTGTGAAGAGAGCCCCGGCAAGAATTTGCCATTTTGGGTGAAAAATAAGTGGTGGTCACTAATTATGATGACTTTGTACTTTGGATCTGGATTTGCTGCACCTTCCTTTATAGTAAGACACCAACTGCTTAAGAAGTAAAGATGTTTTAATTCATCCATTTAACAGATATGAAGAGCATTTTAAGAGGTGCAGTCTCTTTGAAAAATGGATCAAACTCTTGAACTTATAGCATACTAGATATGTTTTTTTTATATTTTTTAATTTTTTTCTTTTTTCTTTTAAGTGTCACGTTGCACCAGACTAGATATATTTGTAAATAAACTTAAGATAGGAGAAAAAAAAAAGAAAGCTATGTATTATTGACCTCACCTAACCTGGGGCAGCTGGAGAATCTGCCTTCCTTTTGACATTAGTATACTCAATGCAAACTCTTAAAGTTTGCATTCTATTTTCTATGGCTTTTTGAAAAATCCTTTTTTAATTATACACAAATGTTTTCTCTTCAACTAGATTATAAACTCCTGGAGATTGGGTCTTCTTTTTTGCATGCCTTGTGCAAAGTGTTCGATAAAAATTAAAATTAACCATGAGAGGCCCAGTGCAGTGGCCACATCATTCTTGGTTTAAGGTTTTTCAAAATTTGATTCCACAACCTTGTTTGTGACTGTCAACTTTGTAAGGTATTTTTAGTTGATATTTGGACAGGGTGGATTTTTCTTTTTGTGTGTGTGTTTGAACATGATATTCCCATTTGCAGCACTCACTGACACCAGTAATATATACATTTGCCGTTTGGTGGTGAAGTGGATATGTTTGAGGTGTCAGCTTGGTTTGGAAAGTGTCACTAAAAGCCTTTTAAGCCTCCTTCTTTACAGTAGCCCTGGGAATTGATGAGAAATGTCTCTGAGGGCTTATAGGGCTAAGATTACAAACATCCAGGCTGACCTGATCACGAAGTTTCTTATAACTGCTCCAACTCAGTGGTCTTCACACTGTAGCACTGCCTCTGCTTGTTTGTGGGCATTTAATTTTCAAAGGAAGAAGATGCTGGTGGCCAAGGTTCAGAGATAATGTTTTCAGGGCTAGAGTTTGCTCCCCATTATATGTTTTTATCTGGATCAGTAGTTCCTAACCTTTTTGGGATCATAGCCCTGAATGACAACCCACTTAAATCTATAGAAAAATGCACATAGGCACACACAGAATTGTGTATACCATTTGAGGGGGTTCCTGGGCCCTCTGAGGTGCCCCATCCCCCTTGAGCTCTGGGGATCATTACTGGCTTATTCTAACAGGCCCATATAACACTGTTGACATTTTAAGGTAAACGTGCTGCCCAGGGACATTTGGTCCCTTTAGTCACCATTCTGGTCTCCTTCCAGTTGATGCACACATTCAGTAAACAATCTGAGTTCATTACTAATCTGCTGCTAAAAAGCACTGTGCTTTACTTCCCTTCCTCTATGGAAACAATGAATGCATATGTATTTGTTAGAGAAATACAAATAGATCAGTTCTGCTGCCCAAGCAGAGAAAAAGCCCTTACACACATTGGTATATATCTGTGTAAATAGAAATTAGAAGATGTTCACACATTGTTGTCATCTTCACCACTAGACTTTTTCTGTGTCCACATTAAAGAAATATTTTTCAAACTATAATCACACTTATAACATATGACTGCAATCATATTATTTTAAAAAATAATGAAGCCATGTATCCATGTTTATATAAAATGCTAAAGGCGTATGCCTCCGAAGGCACATACCCTCAGAGATTGCAATCCAGATGGTGGAACTTTGCTGTGCTAGTATTTGGAATTTTATTTGTTTATTGGGAAATTCAATAGGTGGAACAGAGAAAAGAGGGATAAGGATTCTTAGTAAACCGGGTTGATGGATTTTTTTCTTCTAACATTCCAGTGGGTATTTTAAATGGAGGTGAGGGAAAAGTATGTTACAAGATGAGAACATTTGTGAGCTTTTCAGCATCTCAATCAATGAGCCTTCATTTTTGTTGCTAATTTGAATCCTGGTTTATTTAGAAATGGCAATATTTTCTTAAATGCTCTGAATACAATCAAGATTAAATTTAGATTGTGCTGAGTACAAGTAAAAGTACATCCTAAGGATCTCATACTAGTGTGCTGTAGGATTTCCTAGGTCACAAGAAGGTCATGTATGTTAGTTCATGAGACATACAGAAGTCATCTAGGAGAGAAGGGTGAGAAATAGCCCCGTTTCATAGGAAACCCAGCTCAGAGCCTTGGCCAAGGTCATGGAGTTGGAAGTAGATTCAGGTTTCCAATCCCTAATACAGTGTTCTTGGTGGCTTCTCTGCCACCTGGACTTCGGGTAAATCATCTCACCTCTTTGAGTCCCAATTTACACATTCCCATAACATATGCTTATTTCCTGTCCTTCACAGAGTTATTTTGACAATCAAATTATACAATTTAGTCGTTCTCAAGGTGTAATCTCCAGGCCAGCAACAGGCCACATCTCCTGGGGACTTGTTAAAAATGCAAATTCTCAGGCCGCATCTCAGACCTGAGTCCAAAACTCTGGGACTGGGCCCAGCACTCCATGTTTTAACCCTCCCTCCAGGTGAGTCTGATGCACGCTGAAGTTTGAGAACTGCAGATGATATGTGTGATATGATTTCAAAAAAAGTAGAGCATTATAGAAATTTGAGATGCTTTGTTTTAATTAAAGTTAAGTTTGTTTTATATAGTGAAACACAAAGATCTTAAATGTACAGTTCCATGAATTTTGATATGATATAATCACTGCTTCTGTCAAGGTGCGGAACTTGTTCCTCTCTCAGTATGATTCCCTTGTGCCTCTTACTGTCAGTCCCCACCCTGCTTAGGCAGCCGCTGGTCAGTGTCAGACTTCATTGGAGGAGATAACAGAACCTGGTGATGGGTTGGACATAGAAAGAGCAATATTACATTTTCATGTTCCTTTATTATTTCTAGATAACATTCCTTTTTAAATTACTAAGCATAAATCTCTGTTGTTTTTCAGCCAATGGACCAAGCTTCCCTCAAAAACAGTGATGTTCTCGTTTTGACGGGGCTTACGCAGATTCCCACTGCAAACCCCGATGGCATGGTGGGGGAGTTCTGCAGCAACCTAGGTATGTAACCACCTCAAATCTTGAATTGGATGCTACATCTTGAATTTATTTTTTAATACTCTGTAGTATTTTTCCCCTCTCTTCGCATTTGTTTACATGGAAGGCATTGCCCTTTGAAATTTCACTTAGCCATGCTAATAATCATAGTCTATTTTTGTTCTTTGCTGATATTAAGGCAAAGGTCATTTATTCTTACCTTGGAAAAATTACTGGACTAATTTCAAATAGAATCTCTGGGCCGGGCGTGGTGGCTCACGCCTGTAATCCTAGCTCTCTGGGAGGCCGAGGCGGCGGATCGTTAGTCAGAAGTTCGAACCAACCTGAGCAAGAGCGAGACCCCTCTCTACTATAAATATAGAAAGAAATTATTGGCCAACTAATATATATACAAAAAAATTAGCCGGGCATGGTAGCACATGCCTGTAGTCCCAGCTACTCGGGAGGCTGAGGCAGAAGGATCGCCTGAGCCCAGGAGTTTGAGGTTGCTGTGAGCTAGGCTGACGCCACGGCACTCACTCTAGCCTGGGCAACAAAGTGAGACTCTGTCTCTAAATAAATAAATAGAATCTGGTTTGTATGTTTGACTACAAACTAGAATCACAGACTCAAAGAACTTTGGGTTTGAAAGCCACTGTACATCAAATCTGTCTCTCAAAGTGGAGTCCACTAAACTCCTGCCTCAAGATTAATGAGGCTGCTTATCAAAAATGCAAATTTGGGGGGCTTCCATAGACCTACTAAATCAGAATCTCTGGGGAGAGGAGAAACCTAGAAGAAAAGCTGCATTTTCAACATATTCTCTGGTAATTTTCATACCAAACTAAAGCTTGAAAGTCACAGATCTCATTCATTCCTTTCAGAGTGAGGAAACTGAGGCCCAGCATGGTTGTGGTGGCTTACCTGTGGTCCTGTATCTTAGGACAAAGATGGGGTTCGAGCCAAGCTCTTGAGCCAAAACCAATGATGTTGATTTTCTCTTATGTACCATACTCCAGTAATAGCAAGTCCACCAGTGCTCAAATTACAGCATCTGGCTGAACCTGTACATAAGAGTTGGGAGTCGGGTGCAGTGGCTCATGCCTGTAATCCTAGCACTCTGGGAGGCCGAGGTGGGTGGATCACTCAAGGTTAGGAGTTCAAAATCAGCCTGAGCAAGAGCGAGACCCCCGTCTCTACCATAAATAGAAAGAAATTAATTGGCCAACTAATATATGTAGAAAAAATTAGCTCGGCATGGTGGCGCATGCCTGTAGTCCCAGCTACTCGGGAGGCTGAGGCAGGAGGATCACTTGAGCCCAGGAGTTTGAGGTTGCTATGAGCTAGGCTGACACCACGGCACTCACTCTAGCCTGGGCAACAAAGCGAGACTCTGTCTCCAAAACAAAAGAGTTGGGAACGGAGAAGGATATGAGGCATCAAAGATTCTTTGCCCAAAAGCCACTGGATTGATTTGTTTGGAAACTAAATGAAAGCAAACTTGAGTAGACACTTTGGTTGGGTGTTTTTTTTTTTTTTTATTTAAGCTAGTCATAACTTTTAATATGATTAAAACCTGAAAGTTTCAATTCCTCATTTAATAACTTAAGTATTTAAAGTATAGAGGATTTTCTTATAGACAAAGGTTAATGAAAGAAAAAAAACACTAAAATGAATCAACTAGAAAGAGCCTATTTCCTTACAGGTCACGTAGCCATGGTCAGAGACAAATCCAACCAATTTGTTGAGCAGGATCTAGAAAGAGAAGGAGCTTGGAGATTCTGTCCTGAAGCTCAGCTGGCACTGTTAACCTTTACCCAAACCCTTAATTGCACACTCTATTCCTAGGGATGTAGATTAGACAATGATGAAAAAATCAGCTGTCACCCTCTAGAGTCCCCTTGGTGTGTTTTTCAAAAGATGCAGATTATTTTACATGTGAGTCAATTATAAAGGCAGAAGTAGGAAAACAAAAGAAATGCAAGTATTATTTTAAAAGTTATATTCTACTTTTATAACGATGTTCTTCTGATACTATTTTCCCCCACTCTGGGTTCAACTTTTCTAGCTCTGACAGTCCGGAATGGAGGAAACGTGTTGGTTCCTTGCTACCCTTCTGGAGTGATCTATGACCTCCTGGAATGCCTGTATCAGTACATCGACTCCGCGGGGCTCTCCAGCGTCCCCCTGTACTTCATCTCCCCCGTGGCGAACAGCTCACTTGAGTTTTCCCAGATTTTCGCTGAGTGGTATGTCAGTGTTTTTCTCTACGAATTCTGTTTGATTCAGGATATTCAAGCAGTAAGAACAAAAATAATCTGTTTTTTTCTCACATTACTATTAAACTTACTACTTTGGAATGATTTCAGATTCACATAAAAGTATAAAGATAGCACAGAAAAGTTCCCATATACCTTTCCCTCAGTTTCTCCTAATGTTAATGTCTCACATGGTCATATACATTTGTCAAAAAAAGAAATTAACGTTACCACATTATTAGTAACTACACAACAATCCTTATGCTCATTGTACCAGTTTTTCTACTAACGTCCTTTTTCTGTTCCAGGACCCAATCCAGGCTACCACATTGCATTTATGCCTTTGATATTTTTTGACGAGATTTTTTAGTCTTATATATTGATAATTTTAGTATCTTTTGTGATTTCTTCTATCGATATCATATTTAAAAAATTCTTTCCCCATGTGAAATTTTTTCACATGACTAAACATATTTTCTTTCATAATAGTGTTAACTTTTTCAACTGATTTGTATTAATATCAAATGCTAAACTTTTGTATGTACTAGGTTTTGTTTCTAGACTATCCTGATTGCTTTGTCTATCCATGCTTTGGTCAATGTGGTGCTAATCTCTCTCTTTTTTGAGGGGTGGGGGGGTCAGAGTCTAGCTCTGTTGCCCAGACTAGAGTGCCATGGCGTCAGCCTAGCTCACAGCAACCTGAAACTCATGGGCTCAAGCAATCCTCCTGCCTCAGCCTCCCAAGTAGCTGGGACACAGGCAGGTGTCACCATGCTCAGCTAATTTTTTCTATATATTTTTAGTTGTCCAGCTAATTTCTTTCTATTTTTAGTAGAGACAGGGTCTCGCTCTTGCTCAGGCTGGTCTCGAACTCCTGAGATCAAATGATCCACCCGCCTTGGCCTCCTAGAGTGCTAGGATTATAGGCATGAGCCACCCCACCCAGCCCATGGTGCTAATATCTTTTAATAACTGTAGCCTCATTTATAATTTTACAAGATAGTCTTATTTATTTTTGTGTGAGAACTATAGACTTACTTTCTCAATTTTCAGAATATCTTTTTGAGTGCATAAAACCTATATATTACAAATTGACATCTTTTTGATAATATTCCCATCCTGAGACATGAGATATGTCTCTCTGTCTTTTAAGCTTATTTTAATATCCCTCCCTTAGAATCTGAAACTCAGAGATAACATAATTACTTTGTCTTGTTTCCAGCTATAGTTTTATTTAGTTCAATCCGTAAACCTTTGTTAAGTGCCACCATGTCTTAAGCACTGGGCATATGAAGGGTTCTCTGACCTTAGGGAATCTGTACCTTGAAGGAAGAGGCAATTGTGTAAACCTCCTACCACTTGGAAATAATCTAACAGAAATACAGGTACATGTACGTACACACACACCTGCATATGTGCATCTGTATGGTAAAGGCCTCCTGGAAGAAGACGCTCCCAAAGGGAGACTGGGCTCAGCACGACAGAAGCCGTTTGAGGGCGAGGTGGGTGGGCTGCTCCGGGGTGGGTGGTGTGAGCTAAGGGACGACATAGGCCGAGACGTAGCAGGGAGGTTTGAATGGTTTGGTTTGTTCAGAGAACTGTCTGTAGTTCTCTATTGTTAGAACATAAAGTTCCAGGTGGTTAATGGTAAGATATGAGGCTAGAGGCATCCTGTCAACAGTGGGACTCATTGGAGGATTTCAGCAGGACATTGACACAATTATGTTTGCATTTTATATAGTTCCTCTTGCAATTACGTGAAGTTGTGGGAGGGTAGGAGGGAAGTAAGACTGAGGTATAAAGAGTCTTTTCAGAGCCTGAAAGAGGTAAGACTCTAGTCTAATAATATCCTGTGGAAACCTAAGGGAGGAACCGGTTTGAGAGGCAATTGGAAAAGAACTGACAGAAGTTGGTTATTTGACAGAGAAAACGTAGCAGTGAAGATTGAAACCTCAATTTCTAGTGTGGTGGGTGGTGTTGACCCCAAACAAAGTCAGCTCCGTAAAGGAAGAGCAGGTTCATGCAACAAGGGTGGTTAGGTTGGCTGGTTCGGTCCTTGAGACGTTCGTGGTACCTGAGGGTGTGTGTGGGTGAAGCGTTTCCCATCCAGAGATGTGAGGACCCTGGGCCGGAGTGAAGGTTGGAGTGTCCTCAGCATTGGGGTGATTGAAGCCAGAAGCATGAATGGGATTGCTTAGGGAGAGGATTTAGGGTTAGGAGAGCAGTGGGTAAAGGAAGGACTACATCTAAGTAGTGTCCACATTCAGGGATGGGTAGAGAAAGAGCATTAACCACTTTGGTATGGTGCTCACTGGCCACAACATCTTGCCCACAGCCGGCACTCACAGATAGTTTGTGCTGTGCATCGACGACGAGTCCGTTCTGCTCCTGTGTGATGAGGAAAGCTTGAAAGCACTGAAAGCTTGTTTGACTTTACAGGCAGCTTTACTTGTCATGTAAATCAGAATAGGTAACATATACGTATATGTTTTCATGACGTTATTTTTAAATGTTCACAATTTTATTTTGATAAATGAAAAATTAGAAAAGTCATATCACGGCTGTCAGCTAAAGTTGCTGTGTGCATTCATCTGTGGCTGTCAACTATAGTCGACGTTTGTACCCAAGTGGTTAAGGAGAGAGGAGGAACAGTTAAAGTAGAAAGAATAAGAGAAAGTTGGTACACATATTCTTCCCTCAGTGTAGTTTACACAAACATGTTTTATTTTTAAAAATTAAAAAATATTTTCCTTGTATAAGCTCTACCCATGGTGACCCACTGTCCCAGCTTTAGCACTGAAAGTTCCACCTCCCTGTCACCAGCCATCCAGGGTGGTTGGTCCCCCTCCCTCCACCTCTGAGAGCTGGCAGAGGTGGGCTCATCCTGGGCCCACGTTGGAATCGCCTGGGAAGGGTAAACACTGCTGTCGCCGGGTCCCACCCCTAGAGATTTGGATTTACTCAATCTGAAGACTGGAAGGTTTGCAAAGCTCAACAAGGCCATTCCGGTGTGTGCAGGAGGTTGAGAACCACTGTCTTAAGAGCTTTTCCTATTTTCAAACAGAGTTTACCACTCACTAGGGAAGCACTCATCCCCATTTGATGTTCCTGTTCTCTTTAGACAGCCTTGCTGCAGAGCACTTTCTCCCTAAAGAACTCAGTTACTAACGTGGATGGATACTAGCTCCAGACTTGTATTAGTTGAGCGACTGAGTGCTGTGGAGCTAGAGAAGTCCTGGCCCCACAAGCTGGGACCACCACAGCCCATCCTGAGGGTTTGGTTTCCTCTCCTCTTCACTGCTCTGAGTCAGTATCCCCACAGCCGGCTGCTCTGGGTGTTCAGCCTCAGGCCCAGCCTGTCCTCGTGGGCTCTGGGCTTCCCGTTCCAGAGGTTCTGCTCTGGCCTCCATGTGGTCCTGCTTTGGCACCTACAGAAGCCCAGCTCCTTGCCATCCAGTGTCTCCCCTAGCTCCAGGCTAAGGGCTCACTTGGTGGTTTGGGTTTGCTTTTGCAGGGGGTGGAGATGGAAGGGACTGGCCCCTAAAGACCTCTCTGATCTTGTGTTGGACAAGCAGTGCCCTGGAGAGTGTGTGGGACCTCTGAGGTCTGGCTGTCAGGAAGCAGGAAGGTCTCTTAGACTTCCTGCTAAGAGTTAGACATGATTCTGGAAGTATCATTTATTCCTCATTCTTCCTGATAACCCAGTAAACGCAGATCCCCTGTCAAACTCCAGCTCCAGAAGAAGCAAACTGTAATGGGCTCCTTCATTCAGCCTCTCTGGGGAAGGGTGTGGGTCCGTGTCTGTTGTGCCTGTGAGGATTCTGGAACAGAGCATGAAGGAGCTGTTTCTCTGACCTGGCCACAGACACCTTATGTTGGTGGGCTTCCCAGTCACAAATCGTGTTGCAGTCTGCCCCATATCCCTAATCTCTCCCTTCTGATGGAGGTAGCATAGTGTCCTTGGAACAATGTAAATAACTTTTGAACTAAGCTCTTGTAGTTGCCTCTCTTCCTAGGCTGGAAATAAAGAGTGAACTAGTGTCCATTTAGATATTATAAGGTAACCCTGCAAAAGCATCTTGCTTGCATATTTAAATCTTCTTCCAAAAAGACATAAAGTAAGGTTTTTGAAATCAAGATTAAAGGAAAGTAAGGGTAGGAAAAATCAGATATACTGTATTGTTAATATAAAATCCAAGCCCTGAAGCCCTCAACTCCTCCCCCAAAAGTAGTGCCCATTGGAATTGTTTAAATGCTTTCATATCGTTTGGACAGACTTCTTAGAAGTAGACTCTAACAAATATATATCACTACACATATTTTTCCCAACTTTTAAAAATGTCAACCCTATACAATACTCACATGCATTGACTTATCAGTTGTAAACTTTTTGCTGCATTTGCTTTATCCAGACCTCTCTGTACTTTAAAGTCATTGATTAGGAAAAAACAGATGAGTAAAACATTCACAGTGTCTCTAGGCTGAGACCCTCAGTTACTCTCCAGGTGGGGTTAGCAGTGCTGCCATTAAGAAAATAGTGCATTCACAAAGAAAGTCATGGATCTGAAAACGGTGGATCTCATCTTAGAATAATCTCTCTTTCTTTCTTTTTGTTTTTCTTTTTGAGACAGAGTCTCACTCTGTTGCCCAGGCTAGAATGATCGGTAGGGCCGTACTACAACTGCTTCCTCAAATCTCTGCATCAGCCCTCCCGAGTATGAGACAGGCATTGCCACCATGCCCGGCTAATTTTTTCTATATATATATTGTTGCCAATTAATTTTCTTTCTATTATAGTAGAGACAGGTCTCTTGCTTAGCTGTTCAACTCCTGCACCGTCAGCAACTCCGCCCGCCTCGCTCCCAGATGCTAGGATGTATAGCATAAGCACTGCACCCCTATATCTTCAAAAGCATAAAATACGTGATTACAAAGGAAATCAGTATATATTGAGATATATTATCAGAATCTTCAAAAGATATGTGATGTAATATGTGCTTATTTATTACTATGTTAACCAACATGATCTAATATTGGGAATAATTACTATAACTTGAATGTTGAGGGTAAATCTAAGATAATTTATAATTAGAATGTGATGTGAAAATAGCTGTGATTTTTATTGGTGACAAAGTCACAGGTACTGCTAGTACTGTAATCCAATATCTACATTAATAATTGAAGGAATTGCTAAATTTTGGTTATAAGGTACTGAGAAATAAAAATGTAACTGTTTTCCCCATCCGTGTTCATAGATCGCCCCCCTCCCCGGTTCATTCTATCCAGGTAAAGAATCCTACTTTAGAGTGTGTATCTTTTTTTTTTTTTGAGACAGGGTCTCACTTTGTTGCCCAGGCTAGAGTGAGTGCCATAGCATCAGCCTAGCTCACAGCAACCTCAAACTCCTGGACTCAAGCAGTCCTTCTACCTCAGCCTCCCAAGCAGCTGGGACTACAGGCATGTGCCACCATGCCCGGCTAATTTTTTTTATATGTATTTGTTGGCCAATTAATTTCTTTTTATAGTAGAGACGGAGTCTTGCTCTTGCTCAGGCTGGTTTCGAACTCCTGATCTCGAGCAATCCACCTGCCTGGACCTCCCAGAGTGCTAGGATTATAGGCGTGAGCCACCGCGCCCAGCCTGCAACTTTTTTCTTTACATCTAAAATTATTCCAAAATAATGGGTTTTTTTAATAAAAATTATATTGAGAAATTCTAAAGGTTAAAAAAAATATTTCCCACAAGATACTTATGTCCTGAATGCTCTGTAGACACTGGTTTTCATTCACAGTGATATTCACTGGCAGGAAAATTTTAAATAAACTTCAGTATTTAGTATTTGCACTGCTGCCAGTAGGTGGCAGCAAATGCCACAGTGTGCCCTTCCTAACTGCTGATATGTGTTTCCTCCTCACCAGGCTTTGTCACAACAAACAGAGCAAGGTGTATCTCCCAGAACCACCCTTTCCTCATGCAGAGGTAAGAAAACAGCAAGAGTCACCACCAATGGGTGCTAAAACAAGTAACTGAATATTTTATGAAGAGCTACATATTCACATAATCTGAAAGCCCACAAAATTCTTATTTATTACAAAGAGAAGTGGTAACTTTAGTTTAGATAAACCTGACATACATGTGATCAAAATTAACATCATCAGTAATTGGGCTGATTGACATTGTGTACCTCTTACACAGATCATTGAGAGAAAACAGCATGATTTCTGTGATTGATCTGCTAGCAATGCATCTCCTCAATCTAACTGAGAAAATAGCAATCAGACCCAAGTTGAGGTCTACAAAATAACTGACCTGCACTCTTCAAGAATGTCAAAGCCCCAGAGGACAAGGGACTGAGGAACTAGTTAGAAAATGTGACAAATAGATGCACCTCAGTGAACCATGGACTGGATCTAAGAACAGAAAAAGGAAAATCTTTTGTTGGCTTATTTGCGATTAGGGGCTTGATGCAGTTGGTAAAAACTGGATAGGTATGTAGATGAGAAAGCAATGTTATGTTGTGTTGTTAATTTCCTGCTTTTGATGGTCGTACTATGTTATAACATCCATGGTAACTGTGATATCTCCCCCTCACACATGCTCCTTTGACAGTCAAATTTATATCACTTCCTCAACGAGGGCAGACAGACCATTTTCACTGAGATCATGTCTATGCAGATGCTTACGTTTAGGGATTTAGTTGTTTTATTTGTTTTATAACTATTTGACACATAGAACAAATTGCAACAAATGTCCTGCTAATTATTTTAAATTTACTTTTTTCCTACTCCCAAGGATGAGTATTTTATGAACCAGGACAGTAAGTGGAAGGTTTTGAAGAACTTTTGAGTCCTCATCCTCTGAATACTATTATAGCAGCCAGGGTTTCTGCAAGCCCTGTCATCATCACCACAGTGAAATTCACGCTAGAAATGTAATGTCAGAAAATTAAGAGTGTGGCAAAACATATTCAGTGGTGTATTTTGCCATTAAAAGTCTATTTTCCTCCCCCCCAGTAACAATTAGCCTTTTAGAACTTGTTTTCTAAGACTGTTACCGCGTTCTTACCCACACATCTGCCACGAAGACCTCGTCCCAGGTACAGTGAGGAATGTGAATAGCCTGTGGTTGCACCATCAGCATTCCTGAAGTACACTTGTCATCAGGGCATGAGAGAGTTGACCCTTTTATTGTTACCAGTTCGCATGAGAAAATGTGGTTCTGCCCTTAGGACTGATAACAAATTACTGTACAGAACCCTGCCCTCAAACCTCATTTCCAGTGGTCAAGTATAGTACGTCAGCCAGAAAGGTAGATCCAGTTGCCAAGAAATGATGAATTTATCTTCATTTCTCTGCATTGATCAGTGGAGCCTGAAAAGTGACTTAAGTGTGCAGAGACCAACTGCTATTCTTAGAATCCCATTCATCTCCTTGACGTCTGAGGATGCAATAGACTTAGTCCTTTAGACAGCTGCTCACCCATTTAGCTGGGGCAACTAAGACTTTGGCCATATAAGTTATAAAAAGAATTTCAGTTTGATTTGTATACAACTCGGAAGGAAAGTGGGAATTCGCTGTTTGCTCCATCTTTCCTAGTCATATCCCATGCCCACATGTGACAGCTGACGAACCTCTCTCTCCAGGGTAGTACAGCAGTCTTCCTAATAAAACCAGATCTCTGTGAGTAAAAGTGGAGTCTTCAGCGTTTGGCTTCCGTTTGGGAAGTGTAGCAGTCTAGCCACATCCTCACTATTGGGGTGACTTCATTTGCACGTAAAGATGTTACCTGGGCCCCCTTGTCATGCATAGTGGGGGATTGAGCCATGTCACAGAGCATTTCTTTATCTGTTACGTGGCATCTCAGGGCTTCATTTGGCCTAGTGGATAGTCAGGGTCTGTGAAGTCTGGTTGTTTGTCATCTGCCATTTAGATGCCGGAGTGGGGCAGGGAGGATAGGCCTGGGCAGCAGGCAGAGTTTCTGAGCAGCGTCACAAGATGCCCGTCTTGGCTGTGACTATCGGTGGTGTTGCCTTAAGACAGGGAGAGTCCCGTCCAGTGTTGTGCAGTAGAGAGACTCTGGTTCAAAACATATACTGTGTGTGGCCTGCTTCGTAATATAAGCTCTCTGTCATGAAGACATCAAACCTCCCAAATTTCTGAAAGCCAGTGTGGTCTTTGTCTTTGTCAAGTTGCTGCAGTAACTTAGCACAGCTCTAACTTCCCAGGAGGAAGTCCGGTACCAGTACTGCTCCTTGTGTGAGGGACGTGTTGATTGTTGCCAAAACTCAGTGATTCACAGGTGTCAGGGAAGTTACTTCAAACTGATAATGAGGACTTCAGGCTGGGCCCAGAGTTTCAGGAAGCTATAAAGGAAGAGTTGGACTAAACCCAGGCCCTAACAACCCGAATGAGAGTCCCCACTGGATATGTTAATATTACCAAAAGCATTTGACTTGACTTTGTTCTGAAAGTCACATTGTAGGTAAAAACTTTTGATCATTGGCTAATTTTAATGAGATTTGTTGGTGTGGTTTTAAAGTAATAAATTCTATTTCTTAGAGCATTTTTTGGTTCACCACAAAATTGAGTGGAAAGTGCAGAGAGTTCCCATCTGCCTGTCCCCACACGTGCACAGCTCCCTTTATCAGCGTCCCCCACCAGAGTGGCCTGTTTGTTACAGCTGATGAACCTGCACTGACACACCGTTACCACTCAGAGCCCATAGTTCACATTAGGGGTCATTCTTGGTGTTGTGTATTCTGTAGGTTTGGACAAACATACAGTGACATATGTCCACCATTACAGTGTCGTGCAGAATGGTTTCACTGCCCTAAAAATCCTCTCTGCTCCACATACTCATTTCACCCTCTCCCCACACCCTGGCAACCACTGATCTTTTTACTGACTCCATAGCTTTGTCTTTTCCAGAATGTCAAATGGCTGGAATCATACAGTATGTAATCTTTTCAGAGTGGCTTCTTTAACTTAGTAACAGATTCTTCCATGTCTTTTCATGGCTTGATAGCTCATTTCTTTTGTAGCACTGAATAATATTCCACTGTCTTGATGTACCACAGTTTATTCACCTACTGAAAGGACATCTTGGTTGTTTCCAAGTATTAGCAATTATGAATAAAACTGCTGTAAATATCCGTGGGCAAGTTTTTGGTGAACATAAGTTTTCAAGTCCTTTGTGTAAATACCTAGGAACATGATTGCTGAATTATATGGTAAGCATGTATTTAGTTTTCTAAGAAACTGCCAAACTTTCAGTTTGTGTGGCTATACCATTTTGCATTCTTACCAGCAATGAATGAGAGTTCCTGTTGTTCCATATCCTTGTCGCATTTGGTGGTGTCAGTGTTCTGGATTTTGGCCATTCTGTTATAATAGGCATGTAGTGGTATAATAGTATCTCTTTGTTTTAATTTGAAATTTCCTGATGAAATATCTTGTGGAATGCTTATTTGCCATCTGTATCTCTTCTTTGATGACATGTCTGTTCAAATCTTTTGCCCACTTTTTAATAGGGTGGTTCATTTCCTTTTTGCTGAGGTTTAAGTGTTTGTATACTTTGGATAATAGTCCTCTATCAAATTGTCTTTTGCAAATACTTTCTGCTAGTCTACAGTTTGTCTTATTTTTATTTTTAATTCAGTCTGCCCACTGCCCCCCATGCTTTGTTGGTTCTTCCTTCAGCTTAGGCAGGCTAACATCTCTTCATGTTTTTTCATGTCTGTTCTAGCTCATTCAGACCAATAAGCTGAAACACTACCCCAGCATCCACGGAGACTTCAGCAATGATTTCCGACAGCCGTGTGTGGTGTTCACTGGGCACCCTTCCCTGCGGTTTGGGGACGTGGTCCACTTCATGGAGCTCTGGGGAAAGTCAAGTCTCAACACTGTCATATTCACAGGTAAATTAAAAAATAAGCAAACCTCAGCCCTTTCCACTGGGGCCACTAGCCTAGGGTGTATTTTACAGTAAGGCATCAATATGATCAGTTTTATTGTAAGTACCAAAGAATAAAGACACCCCAAGGCAAAGAGTAAGAGTGCAACAGCATACTGTTAGATAACTATTAAGGCTTTCATATTTGTTTTCTAAGATTTTTCCCTGAGACAGAATTCTCCTGAACTGCTTTTAGATAGGATTCTGTAAGCCATATCAAAAACTGCAGTAATTCCAGTAACCAGTCTTGTTTTACCCTTTAGGAATTATTTACTAAGATGTATCTTTCTCCTTTGATTACAGTTTACTCTGGCTGTAATTTTTCTTCTGGAGACAAATCCCTCAGGGGGAAAAATAATAATAAGCCCAAGTGGGTGGGTTAGTTAGATAATCACTACATTATTTTATTGATTTAAGGCCAGCCTCAGTCAGCCTTAAGTTTTAGAAACCTTATGGGCTATGAAGTAAAAAACCTTGATCTGAAATGTAGCCCAACTTGCTGTAACCTCAGCCACGTCACTCAGCGAGCCTCATTGTCCTTGTACATGACTGTTGATAAGCACTTCCGTGTGTGGCCCTGGGCACGCAGTAAAATACCATGTGCTAGCACTTAGTGCAGCGCCTGGCACGTAATGGCTGTGGGGAGAGTGTCGGCCACATCCTCCCGTCTTAGCATGTTCTGAATACTTTTGAGACTCGGGTTTTGGAATAGAGAGTGTAGTTATATCAAAAGCATTGGGGTCAGAGACGCTTCAGCCCTTCCCTGTGCTCAGCCTCAGTCTGTGAGGATCGTCAGGCCACCAGGAGCACACCTGCAGCTGAACACAGTTGGGTTTTTTGCCTCATTGCGGTGAGGGGAACACACACACTGCATAAAGGATGGTAAAAGGGTCTCCTTGCGGGATTGGGGGTGGTTTGAGAACATGAGACATGGCTCTGCATTGTGTGCTGCGAGGGTGCAGGAGTAATTCCACGACTGATGTCTTACTGATTTTTATCTCCAACACAAAAAGAAGGGAGCCAGGATAAGCTAATGTTTGCTTGTTTGTGGTTAGAACAGTTTTGTGTCTTGTCCTCAGGCATGATTACAAGAGGGTCTTATCTTTAGCTGGGTTTGTCATGGTTACCAAGTGGCCTTGTCTGATGTTGGTGTCCTGTGGAGTTGTGTTTGCGCACAAGGAGAACAGTGTGGCCTGGCGTGGGTGCCGGGCCAGTTCCTGCTAACACCTCAGCCGAGCAGGAAGTGCCAGGAGAGCTGCCAGTCACCAGGGGCTGCTTTTCTCTTTGTGGGCTTTTTTGGGCCAAAGGCAGAGGAAGTTGGGCCAAGACATTGATTCACAATACTTGGAACTTCACACTTGCCAAGGATTTTCTAATCAGGAAGTTGTCCAGAGATCCTTGTACATAGTAGGACTAAGGTTGGTCTCTCCCTTTGATGAGCTGTGACTCTCTGACATGACAGTAGGTACAGCATTTCTATGGGCAGTCAGAAGCATTGGCTCTCCAGCTCTAAGAAACAATGGTGATATAGCACATCTTATATTTTCCTGGTTAGAGCTGGAACCCATACTACTAAGTGAAGTATCCCAAGAATGGAAAAACAAGCACCACATGTACTCACCAGCAAACTGGTATTACCTGAGCAGCACCTAAGTGGACACATAGGTACTACAGTAATAGGGTTTTGGGCAGGGGGGAGGGGAGAGGGGCCGGGTATATACATACATAATGAGTGACATCTGCACCATCTGAGGGATGGTCATGCTGGAAAATCAGACTTGTGGGGGGGAGGGAGGGGGAAAGGGCATTTATTAAAACCTTAAAATCTGTACCCCCATAATATGCCAAAATAAAAAAAAAAAGAAGCATTGGCTCTAGTATACATTTTCCTTTAGCTAAGAAGAAATCATGCCTGTGTGATTGCCCATGACAACTCTGAAATTAGACCACATTTAATTATTAGATTAATTAATAGATTTAATTAATTAGATCACTGGTTTGTTGGGCTTCCAGAAGTTGTGTCATTCTTGATCAGTAGTTCTGATGTCTACTAGTATTGGGGTGAAGTTTTGGGCCACCTTTTTTATTGTACTGTGAGTACTGTTCACATGGAAAGCGAGTCAGTAGTCCCTCCTGGGTGGCCTGTGCTTGTCTCATTTTGGGTATTCTGGGTTTTCTTAACCAACACAATCCAGTGGGCATGGTAGTTTACAAGTCCGGAAGTTCTACCAGCTATCCTGAAGACACTGGAGAAGTCCGTGTGCCAGGTGAGCTTAAGCCAGGGTCCATCCTCTGTGCGCACAGACTGCTGGGAATCGAGTTGTCCTTTACTGCCTCAGGACTGAGCCAGCTGCAGTGGCTCTCGAGAGAGAAACTGAGCGTATAGCAAGGACAGCTCCCAGCTGGGCTTACTGGGGAATATATGTCATGGTGTCAGCAGAAACGTTTGTCGACACGGGGTCAAGGCTGTGCTTCTGTCTCCTGGGTGCCTCCCCGATCAGGTGGACGTTCTGACGTCTGCCTGTCTCGAACCTGGGTGTTAACTTTGAGCATGTTGATTCCTGACTCCTTGGTCTGTGCCAGGCCTTTGAACTGTGAAGTCACTGTTTTTCTCTTTGTATTTCATCAGTATTTTGTGGGGGACACTTTGAAACTACGTATATATCCTGTTCTTCCTCAAACATTTATCAAATTTTCTTAGCATTCATTTATGATTCTGGTCTGAATAAATCATTACCAGATGATGATTTTTTAAAATTTCATCTTTTTGCATTCATCAGTTGGTGTTTTGTTGTGAAGAGCTTTCCCTTCTCCCCCATTTACTTATTTATCCCTCTTTCTCTCAGCTGCCTCTTTATCTGTGTTGAAAACTTTGGGCCCACGTTGTTCTACCCATTCCAAATCCACCGACAGGCTTCGTGCCAGCTCCTCCCGTGCCGTATGTGGGTCTCCACTGACCCCCGTCACCTGCACGCACCATCCTTTCCGCCTCACGCTCCTAACCTCACTGACCATCTGCTGGGCCCTCACCGCACCAGCCGCCACCTCGCTTGGCAGCTCCTCTGTTGCCTACGTTTTATTAAATGAAATGTCTTTTCTGTTACCTTCCTTAGAACCAGACTTCTCCTACCTGGAGGCCCTGGCTCCCTACCAGCCGTTGGCCATGAAGTGCATATACTGCCCCATCGACACGAGGCTGAACTTCATCCAGGTGTCCAAGCTGCTTAAAGAAGTGCAGGTAACGAAGGAAGCGACGTCAGTGTTGTCTTGTGGTCACGTTACCCCCGTGTCCGTGTGTGGGTGGAGGGGAGGGCCATCTAGCTGTACTTGTGCCCTCTCGTCTTCCTCGATTTTCAAACGTCTGCAGAAAGCTGGGACATGTGCTGGTTACTCCTCACACTTAAAAGGTATGGTCTTTCCACCCTGAAAGAAGTTTCCATACTAAAGAAATCAAAAGTGGAAGGGAGAAAAAACAGTCTAGAACTTTTTAATTAGGACTGTGTCCATTGAAAACCCACCAACTCTCCCTCACCATGCCCCAAAAAAAGTCATTCTAAAAACATATTCACTAAGCTCAAAGGCAGTTTAACTAGAGCACGTGTTGGGCCTCGTCGCACATGTGGGCTAGTGCCGCAAGCAGTGCCGTGTTGCTGTTTTAGAGGTTCGGTTGGCAGTTTTTGTTCTTCTGTTTCATTTTGCATTTTCCTCCCTAAAGAGTTGGGGTAAAGTGGTGGATTAGGGAAGAATCTGCGCACAGAACGGGGAGAGGGAGAGCAGGGATACAGAAGCACTGCGCCAGGTCAGTCGCTACATGCCTGGAAAGTTTTTTGGCAGCTGGGAACGGGGAGATTTCTTGGAATTGGCGAGGAAGGTGGCTTAGAACAGGTGAGAGGAAAGGTTCTGCGTTCCCATTCCCTCGATGTTTTCAGAAGGCACCTGGCACTGCCTCCCGCCTCGTCACTCAGCAGGTGGGATTGGTGCTCTTCATCTCTTGGCCTAGGTCAGAAGTTCTCTTTCCTCTGCACAGAATTTTTGACTTCAGGATGAGAGGCCCTTACACAAAACTCTAGGGCAGGGTAGCAAGAAACAGGAAAGCTGGAGACGTCAGGAATGCAGGGAGAATGGATTCCAGTGATCACTGACTTGCTTGCCCTACAGAGAAAGAACACGGGTTTTCTCTAGGTGGGAGTAGAGCAGGGAGCCGGTTTGGAGCCATGTGTGTTCATCAACATGCTGGAAAAAGTGGTTAAGAGCCTGGTGTTTTTCATTACTCAGAAACTTCAATTCCCAGTCCCTAAGCCAGCCGTGTGCGTGCTGCTCACGCCCCTCTGCAGCGTGCCGATCTTGTAAACTGGAGGCCACCTCGTCTCCACTTGCGGAGAGGAAAACCTGGGAAAAGCCCTGGCTGTGATCGTGTGGTCAGATGGCTTTGAGCTAAAGATACCAACCAGGTCAGGAAGAAGAACAAAAAGCCAGTTTGAAGAAGGAAAGTGTCAGCCCTGAGAAACAAGTTCAGCTTATTGGAAAGCCTTTTTTTTTTTTTTTTTTGAGACAGAGTCTCACTCTGTTACCTTGGCTAGAGTGCCATGGCATCAGCCTAGCTCGCAGCAACCTCAAACCAGCGATCCTCCTGTCTCAGCCTCCCAAGTAGCTGGGCCTACAGGCATATGCCACCAGGCCTGGCTAATTTTTTCTATATATTTTTAGTCGGCCAATTAATTTCTTTGTATGTATAGTAGAGACAGGGTCTCGCTCTTGCTCAGGCTGGTTTTGAACTCCTGACCTTGAGCGATCCACCCGCCTTGGCCTCCCAGAGTGCTGGGATTACAGGCGTGAGCCACCGCGCCCGGCCTGAGTCACAGTTCTTGCTGATCAGCCAAGAGCGTGTAACAGTTGGTATGTGCTGAATGTTACAAGATGACTGTGCCCTCCAAGAGCTCAGAGACCACTGGGAGTAAGATGTGGAAGTCACCAGGGAAGTACAGTGAAAAAACAAACACAAATGCAGACTGAGGCAGTAAATCCAACCTCATTCACGCAGCTGGCAGTTTAGGGGTTTCCCGGAGATGTTCGTTCTACCCCCACCCTACTCACCTCTCTGGTTGTCGGGGTTCGGGCGAGCGAGTGCTCACAGTGGCTTGCATGTGGGGAGCCTGCGCGGCAGGGCAGGGAGCCGCCGCTCTGCTTCACGGTCTCGTCTCCTCTCTTGCCTTCCCCCCGACCTGTCCTGTCGGCTCCTCAGCCCCTGCACGTGGTCTGTCCTGAGCAGTACACCCAGCCTCCCCCAGCCCAGTCCCACAGGACAGACCTCGTGATCGACTGCCAGCCTCCGGCCACATCCTATCGGCGGGCCGAGGTCCTCACCCTGCCCTTCAAGCGCCGCTACGAGAGGATCGAGATCATGCCGGAGGTGAGCCGTGCGTGCTCGTGATTATTCTAAAGGGCGGGGACATCAGTGGGGGTAATGCTCTGTCTGTGGTCTCTTCTCACTCTGCGGATACACCGCATGGCATACGGGGACGCACAGGGACAACACTGAGGGCCCCACCCAGAACGGGGGGGGGGGGGGGCAGCACCCCGGCTGTACCCAGCCCTGCGGCCGCACCCGGCTGCCCAAAGGTGTTTCTAGGCCAGCTTTTCAAATGCATTTGGATATTGTTCTGGATTTGAATTGATGGTTTTCCCTCAGGGAACATAATCAGTTCCAGGAAACAGCATATGGCAGAGGAGTGAGGAAGTTGCTACCCTGATATTTATCTATTAATAATATCAGCCGCCTGCGTCATCACCTTCCTTCCTCCTCTGCAGCCTCCCACCACCGCCAGCCTGCGCCGAGCTCCGCAGCTGTCCCTCAGATCTCCAGACGGTCCTCTCTGCTTATTTCTACTCATTTCACTTCGTGCAAAGATAGAGGTTTTCATCCTTCTTAAAATACAATGCAAAGTAGAACCAAAAGTGTCCTCTAACTGCATGCCTGGAAAATGCAGGTGTGAGGTGAAAGGGTTAAACTCTCTTCCTGCTTTTTCTGTTTTGCTGCTAAGAAAGGATGTTTGTTTCATCCCCAAATGAAGGTGTACCCTCTGCAGCTGCTCTGTAAATCCTTCTTGGTCCTTACCAGTTCGGGGCAGGAGATGGGAGCCGTCAGCCCTCCTGGGCCTGTGCCGGCAGGAAAGTCTGGAGTGGCCAGGGGACACCCCTCCCTCCCAGCAGTGCCAAGCTGTGGCGTTGCGGGCAGACTTCCATTCTGGCAGCACTGCCACGTGACATTTTCTCCCGTGAAGAGCTTCACCTTCAGAGTCGTCTTGGGAATGGCGTTAGTTCACAGCTGCCCGGGGAGTCTCAGCTACTCAGTTCCCAGGATGCCACTCCCAGACCGCCCACCTCAGCCTCACCTGTGATGCAGGTGACCGCAGCGTGGGGAGGAAAAGCCTATTTATTTATGGGTGGGACAGGGGAGAGCAGGATCTGGTGCACATCTGTCTCTGGCAGGAGCATGTCACACTGTCCCATACAAATTTTATTTCATGAAATAGTCCTCATGTGCTGTTTGCCAACCACCTTATGTGTTAATATCCTAAGCTGCTGTTTCTGCCCATTTGATAGTGATTTTCATGTTTAGGTAGTGGTGTCTTGCATGTTTTTGTTTTTAAGATAAGGTCCCACTCTGTTACCTTGGGTAGAGTGCAGTGGCATCACCATAGCTCACTGCAGCCTCAGACTCCTGGCCTCAGGTGATCCTCCAGCCTCAGCCTCCAGAGCAGCTGGGACTCTAGGTGTGCACCACTGTGCTCGGCTAATGTTTTTGTAGAGATGGGGTCTCGCTCTTGCTCAGGCTAGTCTCAAATTCCTGACCTGAAGTGATCCTCCTGCCTCAGCCTCCCAGAGTGCTAGGGTTATAGGTGAGAGCCACTGAGCCTGGCCTATTTTTGTTTTTAAAATAAAGGCAGCTTGGCTGGGTGAAGTCTGCACGTCTGTAAGAACACCATGCTCCCAGTAAGACCGTGCTGCACGACAGCTGCGTAGAGGAGACGGCACGCGCTAGGTGCAGGTGGTCGGGGGAGAGCAGCCCCACAGGGAAAGCTGTGGGTTCCACCTTTGGGAGAAGTCAGACTTTCAGGAATGAAGAATCTCCCTCCAGTGCTGCTGTCTCTGTCCTTCCTGCCTAACACTAGTCACGTGGAGAGGGGATGGGGATGGACCAGAGGCCAGACTGAATGCGAAGTCTGCCCTGGCTGTGCATTTTGAATAAAGGGGAACACTGAGAGGTTTTTAGAAGACACTGTAAGAGGGGTTTTGAAGCCACCTGAAGGACCAGTGTGAGGCTGTGGCATTCAGATGCTGGGTGCTTTGGCAGGGTGTTGCCACTTCATTAATTGTGGGTGACAAGCAAAAGGGAGATGCAGAGGGGTCAGCACACTGGGGTCCAGCACATAGTGACAGGTGGCTGTCTCAGGTGACCTCACTGCCGGGCTCACGCTGAGAAGCCCCTGGGAGATACCGCGTCACTGGAAAGCCAGGCTTGGTTGGGTCAGTTCTCCTGCCCGGTTTGCCCACCGCGACCGCCCCTTTCCTTGTATCTCTTCTCTCCTGTCTTTATTGGGATTGATAGAGATTTGTCTGTGTGTATATCATGGATGTATTTATTTGAAAAATTTACCTTTTTTTCTTTAAAGTTATTTGGTCATCTTAGACTTCAATGATGTAAATAAGGATCATTAAAGGATCAGCTTTGCCCCCAAGCTAGGCAGGGGGCACACGGCTGTGCCCTCGCCTCTGGGATATCGTCCACCCTTGAGCTTGACCTGGAAGGGTGGGGCTGCAGCCCCTCTTCCCTCAGCCTGAGAGGGAGCCTGTCTGAAACCTGCCATTTCCTTCCAGCTCGCAGACTCGCTGGTGCCCATGGAGATCAAGCCCGGCATCTCCTTGGCAACCGTCTCGGCCGTGCTGCACACGAAAGACAACAAGCACGTTCTTCAGGTACCGTGGGGGGCGGTGGGCTGGGCGTGATCGCAGGGGGGTCGGGGCCTATGAGGACTAGAGTCCTCTCCCCTCAGAGCCACGGGACATTGCTTTGCGAGCCAGCAGAAGTTAGAGAGCAGGCCACTTAGCGGACTATATGTGAAACAAGGAAGGTGCTTCATATAAATTCTTGACTACTTTTTTATCTGGCCATGTGCCTCAGGGAGAAGGGAAGAAAGATGAGGCCATGCATCCTCCTAAGCGCCACTGGCTCTGAGTATCACTGGAAGCTTCTGCAGCCGCGTTCCCCAGACGAGCGTCTGTGGGGCACCCACCCTGAGCACTGCAGTGCGAACTGGGTGCTAGGGGCAGACATGGAAAGCACATCCGTGTGCAGCCGTGAAGGCCGAGCGCCTGGCACGTGCTGGGTGGCACGTGGCCTCCAGGGCACTGCACACCTCACTCCCAGCGTGCAGTGTCGCTATTGAAAGAATCCCTTTCAGATTTGGACTGTGTCACCTTCATGCCTGCGTACAAAGTGGCTAGCTGCTACTTTAAAGCATGTGAGACTCCGCACTGAGTCCTTGACGTGCACTGTCTTATTTAATCCTCCATTATAACCATTTCAGGGACAGTTTCTTGACAAAGGTGCTGTAGCCAGGTGGTGGCAGATTTTAGGATTTTGCCACATTAGTCTGACCATGCAGCCAGCATATATAGCCGCCGGGCTATCAGTGAGCCTGCAGCACCAGCTTACTGTGGAAAATTTACCCAAATACTGAATTGAATCCATTGAAAATCTGAAAGTGGATCTTGATAAAAGGCAGAAATGTTAGCCAAATAAGATGCTCGTCCATGTGGAAAGCTCGGCGCTTGTGTGTGTCGTGGACGCCCGCTGATGTTTCACCCACAGACTCCGGACTGGGCTGGGGCTGCAGTCTGAGTGCCAGAGGGCGGGCTCGGGTTCTCAGAGGCGGCTCACTCAGGGCCATGTTCTTCTCATGCTCCAGCCCCCTCCCAGGCCCGCCCAGCCCACGAGCGGTAAGAAGAGAAAGCGGGTGAGCGATGACGTTCCCGACTGCAAAGTTTTGAAGCCTTTGCTGAGCGGCTCCATCCCGGTGGAGCAGTTCGTGCAGACCTTAGAGAAGGTGAGCCAGTTCCGAGTGCACCGTCTACACTGCATGGAAGCCGTGCTTTCCGTAGGTGGCTCCTTGCAGCCCTGGCTGCCAGGAATGTATGTTGCCACTTGTCACTTAGTCCCACTGTCCACACTATTGTCATACTTGTCTGGGGTCACAGGGTGCTGAATGAGGAGCACGCCTGCCCAGCGTTGGGTCGCTAGATGAATACCTCCGAAAACCCCATTTCTAGCCTTTTCTCAAACACACAGATGCCAGGACAAAGAATGGTTCATCCTGCCAGAGCCTCACTTTTCCACACAAGGTCCTCTTGCTCTCACAGGAGATCCAAGTCTTGAGTCGAGTGTCAGGCTGTGTGGGCCGGCGGCATCCGTGTCGCTAGATGGGAATCTGGGAAACCGGCCCAGCAATCTGCACAGAGGGTAGGAAGGCACTGGTTCTCCCCTCTGACTCAGCCACGCCCCCCCCCAACAAGGTATTTCTCAACTATGATAGAAAGAAAAAAAACTAACCTTAAAGGTGGTTATGATTTTGTCTTCAGTCACAGGACTTCAGAGATCACCATTTTAGTGTTAGCATTACAGAATCCTTGCTGGGAAGAAGGAACTGGCTAAAAATAATGCTGCTTCATGCAAGAAAAGCTGCAACTAACTCTAATAAGTGATGATAAAAAAGGAGATTGTCTTCTGCTAAACTATTAATAACCACCTTTTGTCCACGCTCAATTGCTGACTCCTGTCAGCTGTGAAAGGCTTTCTCCTTATCAGCATTGGTTTTTCCCCCTTCATCTTTTAGTGTTCCCAGAGGAAGGGCCAAGTCATACTGCTCTCCTCGGCCCTCCCCTGTGTGCTGTCGGTGAGCACATTGGCCCCACCTTCCCCGTGACCTTGCAGGGCTCCTGGTCCCTGTTGCTGGGCTTCAGGTTTGGCAGGTTTCTTCAAAAGACCTTGGCCTGGCTCACCCTAGGTCCCAACTGAATGTTCCACGCGGCCGTGGCTGATCCGCTCCTCACTGCAGGAGCAGCTTTCTGTCACAGAGTGTGGACAGCCTCCCTGCTCCCATGCCCTTTACCTGTTGTGTCTCTCGCAGGCAGATGTCTTCTTTCTGCTTTTTCTTTTTCAGCGTTGACTGATTTGTAAGGAAATGCTGTAATTAATAGTGATGGCTAGAGAAATACCTGCTCTGCCTCCTTCCCCCTTGAGAGGATTTGCAGAGTCCCGAGGTCACCAGTGTCCTGCATCAATGGCATTTTCCTAGGAGGGAGCTTTGTCACCAGGGAACGTGGGTGTGGTTCCAGGAATAGCCTCAGGTGCTTGGATGTGCTCCTCCAATGACTCACAAAAGCTTAAGCGGGTTGTGGAAATTCTGGTGTTTTGCATGAGATTTTGCATGTTTGGTGCCTCTCTTAAAGTATATGAAAGTGTGGTTGAATTCTGTTGCTGTGGTAGGCCATATTGCTAGTCTGAAAATCGTATTGTGTCAAAAATGCCAGTTTTTAGAATATTCAGTCACTTTTAGAAGTGTCACTTTTAGCACTTGCCTTTCCGTGTACACCCATCCTCCTCCTTTTTCTTGGAGCAGCACGGCTTCAGCGACATTAAGGTGGAAGACACCGCCAAGGGCCACATCGTCCTGCTCCAGGAGGCCGAGACACTCATCCAGATTGAGGAAGATTCCACCCACATCATCTGTGACAATGACGAGATGCTCAGGGTGCGACTGCGGGACCTGGTGCTCAAGTTCTTACAGAAGTTCTGAGGGGACCTCTGAGCCCTCCCACCTGCCTGGACTCCTGCAGCCCCTCCCTGCCCGGCACAAGCCCCCGAGGAAGGGACGAGAGGCTGCTGGCCGTGTCTTCGCAGCGTCCTCTGGCTTAAGGAATGAAGAGTGGCTCTTGAGGGAACGAATCTGGAGTGAGGGCCAGGATCCTGGTCTGGAGTCCTCAAACCGGTTCAGGCAAGAACTCTACCTTTTAACTTTGGGCTCATCGTTGTCGTCTTGACTCCAGCTCTCTTGAGGAGCCGCGGGGCAGCGTGAGTGTGACAGAAGCAGCTTTCCAAGAGGCCAGTGGTGGCCGGGGAATTGAAAAGATGACCAGCGTGTTGTCTCATGTGGCCTGTGTTTGTTTTCGTGGTGCGCAGGCCTTGGGCAGGGAAACTGGTCTTTGACACTGGCCTCCGGTGTTGTACCTACCACGAGAGGTGAGCCCTGAAAATTAGCAAGATGAACTCATCCATCTGTCTTTTACGCTGTGATCCCATTTTGCTATTAAAAACATTTTTTATAGAAGTATCCATGTTGAACCTATGATAAATACACAGAACAGCATGAACTTAGAAAACACCATACCAAATATGTGTACATTAAATAAGATAACCCACCCATTTACAATAAATACAGATGTTTCTTCTTAAAGCTCTGCCTGCATAAGAACAGTGAGACAGATCAAAGGCACCAGCCCCAACCTTCGGGGAGGCCGAGCAGGCAGCTCAGGCCAGCTCCTCGGTCTCTGCACTAAACCCAGCATCTCTCTCAGTAGCCACAGACCCCCTAGGAGTAGGAAGGTTTTAGAGAAAATTGCCTCTCAAAAAAGATTGCTGCATGTGAAATAGTTACCAGATGACATCTAATCTGAGACAGCATGAGTTGTAACACACAGGCCAACTTGGCAAGTATTAAAATGTGGTCAGTGAGGTGAGAACAAGTCTTAGAACTGGGCGGCCGCGGTAGGAGGCCCAGCTCCGCCCGCTGTTCTTGGTCCAAAGTCACTTCTCCAACTCAGCTGATGGCTCAGCATCATGCAGGGATTCAGTGAGCAAGAACTATAGAAATAATTGCTTAGGTTTTACAGAGCACTGATTATCAATTCTCTTGAATGCTATCAGTGGGAATGTGTTCTTAGAGGAGGAAAAAGCCACCTCATGAGTCATTCCGAACAAGGGTCCTAGGATGTGTTACAGAATAAACTAGGGGCTTCCAACCATGGGCGGGAAATTGATGTGCCACAGCTATGAAAGTGTCATTTTGTTTTTAGGAAGAGAACTGTAAATATGCATCATGTTGGCATACTTCCTAACAAATCTTTTGAGAGAATCAAGTTAAATTTTAAAAATATCTTGAAAAATGCAAATGCAGGGTAAGACAGAACTTAGAAGAAACCAAAATGGTTAATTTAAATGTCCTAGCAATGCTATGTCCAGGAACACTGGGATTCATCCAAGTCTGACCTCTGTTAAAGGGCTTGATGAGAGAGCCTCAGGCAGGTCCCCGGAGGGATGGTTACTACAGAGACCACAGTCTGTGAGTACAAATGAGTCAGTAACCGCCTGACAGGCGGGAATAATTTACAAATTATGAAGATTTTAATCGAGTCATCGTCACCCACTTAGTGGCAGAAGGCCAGAGGCAGGAAGAAGCAAAGAATCATCCTGTAGAGCACAGAGAATCTAGAGCTGGCCTTTCCAAGCATGAGGAGCGAGCAGTTCTGAATAACTCTGCCCAAAGTGCAGATATTTGAGTGCCAAGCCAGGTTGGTTAGTAGAAGACCCAAAAGAAACGGCAGACGCTGCCTGTTGGTGCTGTGACCATCCCACCCACGGGCAGCTCTATCAGAAACGCAGCCCACTGACACTCGTACTAACTTGGTGAAGAATCTCGCGTCTAGAAAAAATTTCTCCTCAAGCCCAGTGGAATCCCAATGATTAAATGATAATTGAAAAAAACCTTAAAAATTATTTAAATCTTTCTACAAAGTGGTATATTAGGTATCTATTGTTACATGGCAAATTACCCCAAAACGTAGTGCTGAAGACAGTAAACATGAACGAACATCTCACCATTTCTGTGGGTCAAGAATCTGGCGTGGCTTAGCTGGATGCTCCCGGCTCAGGGTCCTCCTTCCACACGGTTGTAGTCAAGGTGTTGGATGAAGGAACTGAAGTGCAGAGGTTCAGGAACTTTCCCCAAAACACACAGCCAGTATGTGGCTTCTGCCGTACTATGACGTCATGCGTGAGTGTTAGCAATCAGCAGCTGGCCGGGAAGAGGAGATCTGCCTCTTCATTTCTTTTCTTTTCTTGAGACAGAGTCTCACTCTGTTGCCCAGGCTAGAGTGAGTGTCGTGGCATCAGCCTAGCTCACAGCAACCTCAAACTCCTGGGCTCAGGAGATCCTCCTGCCTCAGCCTCCCGAGTAGCTGGGACTACAGGCATGCGCCACCATGCCCGGCTAATTTTTTCTATATATTAGTTGGCCAATTAATTTCTTTTTATTTATAGTAGAGACGGGTGGGGGGGGGCTAGTTTTGAACTCCTGACCTCGAGCAATCCACCCGCCTCAGCCTCCCAGAGTGCTAGGATTACAGGCGTGAGCCACCACGCCCAGCCCATTTCTTTTCAAACAAAGGTTAACCACCTACTCCTTTCCCTTCTGATCCCTGGAGAGCTTGAAGCTTTTGGCCCTCACAGTTGTTCTATAAAGGCAGAAGTTGGCTTTTCCAAACTATAATGAAGTATCACCAGAAACATGAGTGAAGAAACCGCCAAACTGGATGATGATACATTAAAATGAGCCGAGCAATCTGATGGGAATAGTACCAGAGATAAAGAATAACATTTTAGATGATAAAAGGGCCAATTCATCAAGAAGACATAGTCATAACTCTCAAATAACAGCTTCAAAATAAATGAAGCAAAAGCCAAAAGTATTAAAGCTGGGGGAGGGGGGAGAATTCCACTGAAATAATTGGAGATTTTATCACCCTTTTGTTAATTATTAAATCTAGACAAGTCAATAACTTCATAAATGATCTGAACAAAACTGTCAACTTTAACCTAACTGATACTCTTAGAGTACTAAATACACATTTAGTACTGCAGAATACACACTTTTTTCAAGTGTATATGGTATATTTACTATGAAAACTATAATGCTACATGATAAAATAAGTGTTACAACATTTATAAAAGGATTGGAATCATACACAAAATCTCTCACCAGAATGAAATTGAATTACAACTCAAAATATACTGGAAAACTGAATATTTTAAAATCAAACAAAATAACTCATGGATCAAAGAAGATATCACAAAATGGATTAGAAAATATTTTGAACAGTGAAAAATACAGCTCAAAATTTGTAGGATACTGCTACAGTAGTGCTTAAAAGCAAATTTACAAGCTTTCAATGCTTATAGAAGAAAAGGCCTAAAATTGACCTAAATTTTCATCTTTAAGAAACTATAAAAAGGGTCTAGTAAACCCAAAGAAAATAGAGGAAAGAGATAATAAAAGGAACAGAAATCAACAAAACAGAACACAGTAGAGAAAACAAAGCCAAAAGCTAATTTTTTGAAAAAATCCATAGAACTGATACACGTCTCTCACTACACTGATCAAGGAGAAAAGGGGACACAGAATACCCACAGTAAGAGTGAAAACAGTTACCACTGCAGATCCCACAGACATTAAGAGGATAATAAATCAGGAATGAGAAGGCAGTGGTTATCACAGAGCTGTAGATATTAAAGGGATAAAAAGAACAGTACAAAAAACTTTATGCCAACAAATTTAACAACACATAAAATGGATAATTTCCTTTGAAGACACAAATGGACAAGGCTCATTCAATAAGAAAGAGAACTTGATAGTCACTTAAGAAATTAAATGTATTATCTTCTCACAAAGAAAACTCCAGGCCAAGATGGTTTCCCTGGAAAATTCTATTACATATTTAAGGAAGAAATAACACCAATCTTACACAGCTTCTATTAAAAAAAAAAAAAAAAAAAAACAGAGCAAGAGGGACTACTTCCAACTCATTTTAAGGGCCCAGTAAGTATAACTGTAATACTAAAACCTTATAAAGTCATTACAAAAGAAAATTAGAGGGTAACATCCTTCATGAACACAAGATACAAAGTACTTAGAATATCAGCAACCTGAATCCAGCAATACATAGAAAGGATAATATGTCATGACCAAATAAGATTTATCCCTGGAATGCAAGGATAATCAAATATTTGAAAACCAATCAGTGTAGTTTAAGAGTGAAGGAGAACACCCATGTGGTCATTTCAATAGATACAGAAAAAAAGCATCTGATCAAATTCTTAAAGGCACTTCGACAAACTAGTAATAGAAGGGAACTTCCTCAATAAGATAAAGTTCATCTATGAAAAACTTACTAACTTTTCCCCAAAGATTAGGAACAAAACAAGGGTGCTTATCCACACTACTTCTGCTCAATAGTGTCCTAGGAGTCCTAGGCATTTTAATGGGGGAAAAAAAGAAGAAAAGGGAAGGAAGACAGACAAAGCACAAAGATAGGAAAGAAACAAAACACTGCTTTCCAATGGCAAGATTTTTTACATAGAAAATCCTACGAAATCTACAAACTAGTACGGGAATTGATACGTTTACAACATTGCAGAATATAAGCTTAATACACAAAAATCAATTGTATTTTATATACTAACAAGTAATTGGAAAATAATTTTTTAAGAACAGCAATTTCATTCATGACTATAAAAAAACATACTTAGAGAATAAACTTTGGAAGAGATGTGTAAGATTTCTATACTAAAAGTCTCAAAACCTTGACAGAAATTACAGAAGATCTGAATAAATGGAGAGACTCACCATGTTTGTTGATAAGGTGACTCAGTATTTTTAACATTTCAGTTGTACCTGGTGATGTACAGATTTGATACGATACCATCAAAATCCCAGCAGACAGCCACAACAAAATCTAACCCAATTTTTAAAATAGGCAAAGGACTTGAATAGAGATTTCTCCAAAGAAGATTTACAAATGGCCAATAAGCACAAGAAGAGATAGTCAACATATTTGTCATTAGGGAACTATAAATCAAACCCACAATGAGGTACCACTGCATACCTACTAGGATGGCTATAATTGAATTTTTTAATCAGAAAGTGTTGGCAAGGATGTGGAAAAAGTGCAACTGTTGGTGGAATGTAAAATGGTGCAGCTGCTGTGGAAAATGGTTGGGCAATTCCTCAAAAAAGTCCCATTCAGCAATTCCATTCCTTGGCAGATCCCAAAAGAATTGAAAGCAGGGGCTCAAAGAGATATTTAGACACCTAAGCTCCTACCAACATTATTCACAGTAACCAAAAAGTGTATCCATCAACATATTAATGGATAAATAAAATGTATGTGCTATATACAAACAATGAAATACTATCCATCCAGAATAAGGAATAATGAAAGTCTGATACCTGCCGTAACATGGATGAACCTTGAAAACATGCTAAATAAAATAAGCCAGACACAAAAGACCATATATTGTATGATTTGATTTACACTGAAATTTCCAGAATAGATGAATCTGTAGAGACAGAATAGAGGTTATTAGAGCTGGGAAGAGGGGAAATGAATGGGAAGTTACTGTTTTAATGGGTACAGAATTTCTTTTGGGGATGATGGAAAGTTCTGGAACTAGACAGTGGTAATGGTTACACAGCATTCCAAATGTACTTAATGGCACTGAATGGTACAATTAAGAATGGCTAAAATTGTAAATTTTATGTTTATCAAACTTTTAAAAAAATTTTTGATTCCAGGTTTTCTTAAATTGACAAACTAATTCTAAAATTTATAGAAATGTAAAACTATATATAGTTTAAACATAAACTATAAATATTATATAAAATCCAAAGCAATCTTAAAGATGAACAAGATTGTTGGAGGACTTACACTACTTTATCTCAAGACCAATTAGAAAGCTACATCCATCAAGATGGTATGGAACTGGCCAGAGGACGATAGCTCAGCATAACAGACAGGAGAGCTCAGAAATGGGCCCGCCTTATGCAGTGATTACATCTTCAACAAAGGCCCCAAACCCACCCAATGCAGAAAAGAAAGTCTTTGTGACAACTGGTGCTGGAATGTCCACATAGATTTAGAAACTTGACCACTACCACACACCATACACAAACGTTAATTTGAGATGAACCTTACCTAAGTGTAAAAGCTAACACCATAAAGCTTTTAGTGGAAAACATAAGAGAATGTCTTCATGACTTGAGGTAGACATAGGTTTCTTGGGTCATGGAAAGCAGTAACAGAAAAGAAATTTATAATTAATATCTCATCAAAATGACAAACTTCTCATCAGAGGGCATCATAAAAAAATGGATAGGCAAACCACAAATTGAGAAAAAAACTTACAAAACACATCCGATAATTGACTAGTGTCCAGGGTAAAGAATTCCTGTAACTCAAAAAATAAAAATAAAAAAACATCCATATAAGAGGTTATTATTCAGTGATGAAAAAGAAATGAGCTATCAAACCACAAAAAGATATGAAGGAACCGTAGTGCATATTGCTAAGTGAAAGAAACCAATCTGAAAAGGCTGCATTCTGTGTGATTACAGCACTGTGACATTCTGGAAAAGACAAAACTGTAGAGATAGTAAAGAGATCAGTGGTTGCCAGGGATTCGGAGAGAGGGAGGGAGGGACCAAAAGGCGAAGTAAAGGAAGTATTTAGGGGAGTGAAAGTGTTCTGTATGATACTATAATCGTGATATATGTCACTTTACCTTTGTCAAAACCCAGAGAATGTACATCACAAAGAATGAACTCTAATGTAAACTGTGGACTTTAGTTAACAATGTGTCAACACTGGCTCATAATTATAACAAATCTATCCCAATAAAGCAACATGTTAATAAAAGGGCAGGTGGCGGAGTGGTGGAATGAGAGTGGAACCCTTTGTGCTTTCCACTCAGTTTTACTGCAAATCTAAAATTGCTCCCCCCAAAAAAGTCTACTAAAAATGTAAGAAAGCAAGCAATACAAGGAAAGACAACCCTGTTTTTTTTAATGCTCAAAATATTTATATGGATACTTTACAATGAAATATATATATAAATGGCATCAGCACATAAAAAAGTGCTTAACATCACTAGTCATCAGGAAAATGCAAATTGAAACTACCAGATACTATTACTCACCAGAATGGCTCAAATTAAAAAGGACTGACACCACCACAGATTGGTGAGGATGTGAACTGGAACTCTGACAATTACCAGTGGAAGTAAAAAATGGAATAGTCAGTTCAGGAAAAGGTCTGGCAGTTGCTTATAAAACTAAACATGTATAACCTACCATGTCACTCAACAATTCCACTCATATTTACCCAAGAGAAATAAAAATATAAATCCACAAAGAGTTGCACATGAATGTTCTTGGCAGCTTTATTCGTAATAGCCAAAAACTGGAAACAGCCCAACATCCTATCAAATAGAATGGACAAATTTCATTCTTGTCATACAAAAGGAACATTACTCAGCAGTAAAAAAGTAACAAATCACTAGTACATGCGGCAACAATGGATGAATCTCAAAAACATTATGCTGAGTTTCTAGAAGCCTTACACAAGAGTAAAACTTGTATGGCATCATTTATATGAATTCTAAAATACAAAATCTAATCCAAGGTACAAAATCACAGCATTGGTTATCTCCAGGGGTGGAAGAGGTGGGGATGGAACAGGAGGAACATAAGAGAACCTTCCAGGTTGACAGTAATGTTCTGCATCTTGGGATGGGTTTGGGTTACACAGGAGTACGCCTTTGTCACGACTCAAGGGAGTGAACACTTGAGACTTGTGCGACATTAAAAACCAAAAAGTAAGAATAAAAACATAGAAACCAATACTGACCTATAGTTTACGATGTTTGTGCTTATATATTTAGAAGTTCGTGTACTGATGTCACTAATTTACTAATTTAGAAATGCACTGAAACTGGGACGGATGAAAGGCTGAACAGAGGGATGGGGAAGTGGGTAGAAATGGGTAGACACAGAGAGACCAGACAAGGTAGTAGAATGGTAGGCGGGGATGCAGGTTCACTCCACAGACATTCTTTCAGCTTTGCTGTATGTTTGAAATCTTTCAAAATAAAACATTGAGACCAACAGTTCAAATAAATAGGATTTAAATATTAATAGTTTAAATGCTGACATGACAGCCCTACAATGTGACTAGGATTTGTACTCTTTATAAACATGAAAACAAATGAAGAAAGGTAAAACAATTTACAAATCAAAAACCAAGTGACATTTAATAGCAAACCAAAGCTGGCCCTAAGCCAGGGCTGCCCACCCTGCCTTGCCGGTCTCTTCTGGAATCCATTCTGTGTTGTCCTTACTTCCTGGCACACTCCTTTGTTAAAGAAGTCTTTTCGTTTTGTTTTGGTCAAAGACTTAAATGATACATACGGTGGCGCAAACTTCCGAGCCTCCGCGCCAGGCGTGCCGTCGCTACCCAGCGCCACCCCAGGGCACGACTGCGCAGCTTGATTTCTGAGTGACTCTGGTCTGGCAGAGGTTTCCTTCGTCAGAAAACGACCGGACACTGTCCTGCGCTGCAGTCCCAGGAGGCTTCCAATCTGGTGTGCGAGGCAGGGCAGCAAGCCGTCACCGTGCACAGGAAGGTGACAGGAGCCTGGAAAGGAGCACCTTCTGAGGGGCTGAGCAAGGCGCTGGCATCCAAAGCAGACGGGATGCAGAAAGAGCCACAGAGCTGATGCTGTTTTTACCCAGTAACCGTCCACTTTTGTTGTCTGTCAAATAGTTGACTCTTTACATTTATGATGTTATTTGACTTTTAACATATGTTTAGGAAACGGGCACAGCTTTCACCATTTTACAGGCGAGAGTGGAGCTTACAACAGGTCACTTGCTCTCTACCAGATGAGGATGTGAACCCACACAGTTTCCCCCGGAGTCCGTTCCCTCAACACAACGTTCTCCTTCTTAACTGTATTTCTATAAACCTTGTGGCACCTTCAACTTGAGTGACAACCACATTAACAGCTAACATTCGCCACTTTGGCTCCCCTTGTTAAGTCCACACCAGAACTGACCGGGATAGACTGAGTAGACGTGTCACCTGGTGTGTAGAAGACCTTTCTACTGCAGCCGCGCGACTGTCACAGGTCTCTGGCCCCGGGGCAGTCAAGGAGACAGGTGGCCGGAAGAACGGGAGCTTGGCAGCCACAGCTCAGGACCGAGGAGGAATCCACACGCTATGTGACATCGTCTCCACCCAGCACCCGCTGCAGACCTTCCTGATCAACCGTTGACCCCACTCTGGGAGGGACATGGACCTCTAGGTCCCACCCACTCTTAGGATGGTCAGTGCTACCCAAGCTGCCGCCTGCAGAGCCCAGGAAAGGAGACCCCAACTTGGCTCCTCTCTCGCCTCCATCCATCTCCCCCAAGCCAGGACTCGGTGCTCTCTCCTGAGGGGCCTCTGACCCCACAGCCAAGCGGAAGTTCTAGAACTGTAGACACCAGGAGCTAGATGTGAGCACGAGCCAGGCGCAGGGGCTCCTGGTGACGCCCAGCAGGTAGGGACACAACCAAAGACCGAATCAGGTCACGCAGCAAGCCCTCGCCTCCGCACTGGGACCGTGGGCACACGCAGCTCCCCACCGCCTCGCCACGCACACGCTTCCAATTCCCACGCAAGACTTCAGTGCACGTGTATGTGTCACGTGCCAGCCCACGCCACACTTAAGTCAGTTAAGTGGCACCGAGTTCCTCTCTGTCCAGGTAAAATGACTAGTCCCAGAAAGGGGCGCAGCTCGGGTCAGCTCACCTGGGCCGGGTCCGCAGGCCACTCCCGGCCTGGCCGAGCCACGCACAGTCCCCAGGATGGGCCCAGCTGGCCGTGCCCTGTCGGCTGCCTGGAAGCAAGCGGGCACCTTCTCCCTTGGGCCACACTCTTGCCCTTGCTGAGGGAAATCACAAAAGACCTCCAGGCTGCTTGAGTTAAAGTTTCCATTTATTTTATTTTTTTTACAAAAATCCAACGTAAGACCATTGTGCTCGTGACTGGAGAGGGTGGGATGGATGGGCACGGCGTGGGCATCAGCGCGCCGCGTTCCCAGCAGCAGCTCCCTGCGCGCACCAGCAGCCACTGTCATCTCAGGTGGGACCCCGGTGACCAGGGAGCCCTGGCTGTGGTGCAGGCCCGCAAGCCCGGAGACCAGCGCCAGGAGCCGAGGCGCGGACTGGCCTGAGGGCCCCGCGAGCTGCCACGGAGGCAGCGCCCTCACGGTGACAGCAAACTGGAAACAAGGTCGCAGCGGGCCCTGGGCGCCACGACTAGCTAACCAGGTGTTACCTACGGACAGCCCGGGGTCTGCAGAGCCGCGTTCCTGTTTCGGGTGGGTCACGGGTGGTGGGCGACACCGAAGGCAGCGCACTGGGCCTCTCCCGCGCCCGCCCGCAGCGCGCCTCGGCGCCGCTCCTCAGGAGGCCTCGCCAGCAGCACGCCACCTCTCACCGAGGAGCGCGTGCCCTTTAGGGACACGGCCAGTCCGAAGTCGAGTTAGTGTTCCTTTCGGGGCCACAGAGTGCTGCCCTCGTGTGAGGCTCTGACACCGTTGCCCTCCCTCTAGCACACACTGTCGTCATCCCTAACTGTAGCCCGCTCAGCTACTCGGTCTACCAGTAACATTCGGGGACCCAGCACTCTGGTTCCACTAAAGGGGGTCCTACCACAGACTGCCCTCGGCTCACCGGGTCCCCTGACAGCCAGTTCAGGCGTTCCTCACATTAAAAGAAACAAAATAAAATAGCAGCCACATACATAGCGCAACACACCACGTTCTTTGGCTCCCCAAGGGAAGAGGCTACTGCTAAAAAGAATGAAGTCAGAAGTAAAGGAAAGAGCGATTAGAAAGCTCAGATGCCAGGCAGTCTGGCCCCCTTTGCTGGGCTGCTGAGAAGCACAACCTCATTCCGGGGTGGCTGCCTCAGTGGGGGAGCTACGAGAAGACGCCAGGGGAACCTCTGGGCAGCCCCGGTCCTGTCTGCCAGTGGGAGAGTGCCCTCAAGCCGAGCCAGCTCTCCAGCTGGGGGAATCTACAAAAAAGAGCCTGGCATCAAAGTAATACTTGCAGAGAACACATTTGGGATGGGCAGGTCAGAGGAGAATGTACCCCAAGAAAGAGAAGCACAGGATGTCAAGGTCTAGGGAAGACAGAACTGGCTTAAGGCATGTGCATGACCGGGACAGACCTGAGCTTTTGTTCGGTTGCTAGAAACCTTCTGTAGTCAACTCCGCTTTGAGAAAGTGGGGTTCACAAAAATAGAAGTCATGGGCTAAATCCCTGACAGACGCCACTTACACCCTCTTCAGTTCCCCTCCTGTCACCATGACCAAAATATTAGCTTATTTCAGTTTCAGCCCAAGGAACGGAAGTTTGGACTGGGAGTGGTGAGTGGCAGACGTGGGGTGGGAATGGACAGATTCCAAGGCTGGATTTGAGCTCACACAGCAAATCACAGCCTCCCAGTGTTCCAGCACATACTAAACCTCAGGGGGTCCTAGAGCCAACCTGGCATCAGGGGTCCAAACCACAGGTAAGTAACACAGGAGGGAGGTCCGGACAAAGGCGGCGGGCAAGGTAACTTTCACCCAGGTATCCATCCCAAGGCAGGTGCCTGCCCGCCGGGTGGGATCCTCAAAGGATGCTGGCTTGGGCTACCCTGGCAAGAGCAGGCCGACCGGCAGACCACTCGGCCCACACCCGGCGTGTGGCCTGCAAGGTCTGTCTGCTGTGCATTTACCCAAGAGACAGCACTTCAAGAAAAGCCTGACGCCCAAAAGCACATCATCATTTTTGACAAGAGGGCAGGGCACAGAGAGCCCCTGGGAGTGCTGTCTTCAGGCCGCCTACTTCCTCGGCAAGGGACAGTGGGAATGCAGGGACAGGTCCTGGGACAAGCCTGGATGAATCCTCAGAAACCACTGCAGCTGGCAGAAGGGTCCTCCCCAAGGATTCTCGTGAGAGAAGGTGAGTTAGACCACTGGCCCGCGACGGGAAGGGGAAGGGAACAGACCCACAGATCTCGTCCTGTCCGAGGCCCATAGGACGGCCAAGTCCCTCCTTTGCTTGTGTCTGCACACAGATGGCCCTGGGAGGACGGGAGATGATCTTCAAGCATGAGCCAGGAACAAGAGGCCAGGACCCATCTCCGCCCAAACACGGAACACAGGAGCCTGATGGAGCCCTCACTTAGAGAGGCAAAAATGTCAAACCCTTCCTGCCAAAAATACATATATATGTGTGTGTGCGCACACATACATATAAATAAGCCTCAAATGGCGAATCTGAAACTTTCTCTTTTTAAATAATAATAGTTGTTACTGAATTTAAAAACCACAAACCAGCTGTCCCGGGCTATGAACTACGTGAGTGACTCCACAGAGCCCCGTGGGTCCTCAGTGTAAGCTATCAGTCAGTGCCCTGGAGGGAACCCCGGGGGCCCGGTCCAGGGTTCCGGGCCCAGTGTGGCGGACTTCGAGATAAAGGCAGGCGGCTATCTCCTTCCCACTCTTCCTGCTGCCTCTCCCAGCAGGGGGCCTGGGCCACCCACCCAGCGATGTCCCCAAGGTCCTTTCAATGCCTAGGAACCTTAAGAGCCATCTCCCTCTCTCTGCCCATCCTCTCCCCAAAACCTGCAATGCCCTAGATGAACTTGAAGCACTTGGTCTTGTCGTGGGGCAGGCGGGTCTTGAAGAGCACAGAGTCCACCCTGAACTGGGTGTACAGGAGGGGCATGTAGCCGTACACCTTGACAAAAAAGTTGATACACTTGTGCCGCTCGTGGAAGTGGGAGTCATCGTGTGACAGGGCCTGAGGGCAACCCGGGCATCGGAAAGTCCACCGAGAAGTCACCTGGGAACAGGGAAGAGAGAGACGGAGTGAGAATCACGGTGCTGAGGCTGACCTTGCGGCTGAGCAGATCCAACACCCTCGTTTGCACGGTGAAGACGCCGAACCCCCACGGCGACTCTCGTGCAGAGTGAGTTAGGAGCCAGGGCACAGCCCAGGGCTTCTTCCTACCAAGGATGCATCTAGAATGCTAGGAAGGTGTTCCTTCCAAATGGCCCATACTTCACAGATAGGAGAAGCCTGAAAATGTGTAGCGTTATGTGTCTCAATGGTTCTATTTCTAGTATTTATCTTGCCTGCACAGCAAGATGCAGGTACAAAGTTGTTTATTTCATCATTTTTAATAGCAAAATACTAGAAAGGTACCTAGAGACTAGGTAAATTATAGCATACCATACATCCAATTTAAAAAGAAGCTTAACAAAATTATATATATGAAGACATGGGAAAGTGGTCATATCATAATCTAGTTATATTATTAGATATGTCAAGCAATTACAAAATTACAAAGAGTAACAGTTTCATTACAACAATGTGGCAGACCAAATAGCATAAAACCCCCTCAGCACAGAATAGCTGAAAATGCAGGATGAGATAGACAGACACCATCTCTTTAAATCCACGGCTGAGTCTGGAATAAGAAATGAAATCCTCGGAGAGCCCACGAGACAGCCAAGTGCTCTGCTTGTAACTGAACGTGGGAAGCAGCACTGGCAAAGGTGGCCAGGGCCTTCTGGAACGTGCGCCCCAGCGGCAGGAAGCAGGGGCCAGAGGGAGCCCCACAAGACAGACGGGGAGGCAACGGTTCCTTCTCCCTCTCAGCTCCATGCGCCGAAGGGAAAGTCACCTCTGAGAAGTTCAAACCACAGCCGGCCCTCACACCCCGGGGGCTGGAATTATGTCACGTGTGTCCTGAAAAGCCCCAAGATGCAAATGCGGCTGAAACCGGCCTCAGCAGCAGTGACCCCAGGCACAGGGAAGACGCAAATGCAGACTGCCTCTGGCACAAATCCACGCCTCAAACAACTGCCTTGAATCAGATCCCAAAGAGATCTGAGTGCACAGTCAGAAAGATGGGAATGAGCCACATGAGGGAAAATCTGTAGAAACAAATACTGTACCAGAATCAGATCCCAAACCACTGCAGAACAGCAGAGTTACCAGTGACCGTAATAATGAATGTGTACGACACGTACAATGCAATTTTGAAAGATACTTAAAGTCTGATCAAGAAACAAGGGACTGTCAAAAAAGCCTGAGTGGACATGAAAAAGAACCTAACAGAACAATGGAAATAAAAAGCATATTGAATTAAATCAGACACTCCATGGATGAGTGTGAAGGGAAAATCAGTGACGAAAAAGTATATCTATAATTATTACTCAGAGTGAAAAATACTGACAAGATAAAAAAAATGATGAGAGCAAGATGAAGCGACACTGTGTCATTCATCTCATTCGCATGAAGCTCGAAACAGGCAAAACTGATTCTGAAAAAGACACAGAGTAAAACCTAAGGAAATCTGAATGAAGGGTGGACTTTGGTAATAAAATGCATCAAGACTGGTTCATTAATTGTGACAGATGTCCCATACTTATGTAAGATGTTAATATAGGAAACTCGATGGAGGTCTATAGGAATTCTGTACTCTCTTCACAACTGCCCTGTAAATTCTAAATCTAACTTAATCTATTTTAATTAAAACCTATTCTAAATGAAAAGTTTATTTAAAAAGCAAGCTCCATCCGTTGGTGTCTAAGAGCTAAAAAAAAAAAAGGCAAGCTCCAGTGTTGAGGGATACATACTTTGGTGATCAAGTATAAAGAAAAACAATGAAATGAATACCATCAAGAACATGATAGTGATGATTATTAGGTTCTTGTGGCTACCATAAACTCGGTGCTTAAAATAACAGAAATTTATTCTCTCCTGGGTCTAGAGGCTGAAGTCTGAAATCAAAGTGTGAGTGGCTCCATCCTCTCTAAAGCCTCTAGTGGGGAGTGTGTTCCAGGCCTCTCTCCCAGCTCCCGAGGCGGCCAGCAACCCTCAGCGCCCCTTGGCTTGTGGGCACATCACTCCAGTCTCTGCCTCTGTCGTCACGTGGTGTCTCTCCTCTTCTTATATGGCATCAGTCACACTGGGCTGAGGCCCCACTCAACTGTAGCCTGACTTCATCTTAGTTTGATTACACCTGCAAAGACTATTTCTAAATAAGGTCACATACTAGGGGTTAGGACTTGAACATATCTTTTCAAGGGACACAATTCAATAGTCTGCCCCTCCCCCCATCCCCAAAATTCCATATTTTTCCCTGTACAAAACACATTTACTTCATCCCAACATCCCCTAAAGTCTTAACCTGGTCCAACGTCAACTCTAAGTCGAAATTATCATCTAAATATAATCAACTCAGAAAGTCCCAAACCTCATCTTCTAAATCTAAATCAGATATGGCTGAGACTCAGGGCATGTTTCACCCTGGAACGAGGTTCCTCTCCACCTGTGGACCTGTGAAACCTGGAGAGCAAGTTGTCTGCTTCAAAAAAACAACGGTGGGACAGCGTGTGACAGACTTTCCCATTCCAACATGGAGAAATAGGAAGGGGAAAGGGGCCGTGGATCCCAAATGAGTCCAGAACCCAGCAAGGTAAGTGCCATTAGATTTCAAGGCCTGAGAATCACCCTCAATGATCTGTCTTCTTGCACTGCCAGGACAGCAGCCCTACGGAGGTGGCCCTGCCATCTGGAACTGAGGAGGAGGTGGCTCTGCCTGAGCCACCCTTAGTCATTCTCCCCATTACTTCGAGTATCTAATGCCTCAGCAGTCGAGGAGCTCTGTCAGTCTGTTTCCTGCCTGTTGAATCCCAGAGGTTTGACGGCCTGCCTTTGTTTCCTCCTGTCACTCTCCCCTTTGGCACAAGCTCCGTGTTTCTGAGCTCTGGAGGCTAGATGTCAGGAATCACGGTGGCAGCAGGGCCATCCTCTCTTTGGAGACTTGAGGAGAGGATCTGTCCCATGCCTTTCTCCCAGCTTCTGGTGTTGCCGACACTCCTAGGTACTCCATGGCTCATAGACACATCGCTCCAACCTCTGCCTTCATTATCACATGGTGACGTCCCGTGTGTCTCTGTGTCTCTTCTCTCCTTGTAAGGACATCGGTACTGAGTGCCCGCCCCAATCCAGTGTGATCATATCTTAATTATATCTGCAAAGACTATTTTCCAAATAAGATCACATTCACAGATAAACAGTTCAAGAATGGACAATTCCACCATTGTACAAACTCCTCTATATAATAGAAAACAAAAGGGGAACATGTCCCACATTACAGCATGAGACTAGTTATAATTTTCATACCAAACCAGAAATAAGTAATACTAGAAGGGAAAAATATACTAGAAGGGAGAAAGCCACTGAAGCAGTGGTTTCCAAATGTTTTTAATCATGTAACTCATTAGTAAAAAAATGTTGAGATTGCATCCCCAATATATTTATAAATATATATAACTCTATTATGTAATAAAACATACAAAAAAGGAAATCTGAAAGAATGAAGTAACAATGATAATATAAACTGAAGTTTGAACATCACTTAACCCATACTGTAGATATTTTAACCTGGGATAATTCCAGGTAACTCAATCTAAGAGAAAATATTAGTTTTATGCTTATTAACAGTAAGGAAAATCTTTAACAGATGCTGAGAGCCTGTATTACCCAAGAGAACTAAGAGGTTCACTTATGTTTCCCTTCTCTGCTTCCCTGTATCACCTATACATCTGTCTTCTCAAAGCTTTCCAGGTGAGTTTTTAATCCTTTATTCTGAATAAAGCCTATTTATATCCTAGATCTTTCCCCCCCTTGCAAAATCGTACCTTACTCAAAGCTATAATATGACATTAACTCCCTTTTCTTTAGTCAGTATTAAGAAATTAACATTATTGAAAGAACACTGCTAATCACATAAAGCAGTCAAACCTTCCTAATTCAAACAAGAGAATAGTTTAACAGCAAAAACTTGAGGTATTTAAAGCAAAAGAAAATCACTATTTTTGAACATAAAATAGTCCATATACCTGGTTCGATACTATGAAATAAATAGATTCAGAATATGAAAACATTCTTAATCTGAGCCTTTGATTTTAAAAAGTCATCCGAATCTTAAATTGAATTCTTATATTCCAATTAGATCAAGAAAATTCACAGAGAATACTTAGTCTTGAAGTCTTTACTTGGTAAGAATCACGTATCCATGTCCAATTTATTTCCATCTTACTCTCTATACTGGAGAGGTGGTTTAGCTAATGAAACCTTAGCCTAAGAACATAGGAGATAAACATGTTTTAATGAAGATAAAAAAATTCATCATGACTGTGAGTGCTCAGGTGACTGACACTATTATTAGATACCTAATCACTCAGATACTTGAAGTTTTCATGGATAAAGTCTTCCGATCCACTAGGGAAGCATAAAAGGAAGCATACATCTTGACTGAAGTCCAGTCCCTGGCCACATAAGGAAGGATATATAAGGAATAGAAAATCACACCAATCATTCACTTCTAATAACTTTGCCTCCTTACCTCAAAATTCACAAAGAAGTGTGCTTTTCCTTGTTTAACATCAGACCTACCACTGTACATGGAAGACACTATTTTTATATAAATAGATGTGACTACTGTCACTCACAGTTTTCATAAAAACAATTGATACATTATGTTGCTAATTCTTTTGTGAGGCTTCAGCAGAAGTCTCAGCAATAGAAGAAACTATGGGCAATCAGGAGTTATGTTCTAATCCCGGGCCACACTTGGGCAAAGGTTTGACTGTGCATGAGGGGATGCACAAGGCCCCCGCATGCACTCCTCTCTCTCTCTCCCTCTCTATCATGCTTTGTTGCACGGAACAAATGTCCTCTGGTTACCACTAAGATTTTTTTTTTTCTAACAGCATCTTGCTATGTTGCCCCAACTGGTCTCAAACTCCTAGACTCAAATGATCCTCCTGCCTCAGCCTCCTGAATAGCTGGAACTACAGGTGTGTGCCACTGTACCCAGCTTCTAAATGTATGATTTTTGTTATTAACACATGTAGTAGATACTTGCTCTACAACTTACCTTCAAAATATAAGAAGAATGAATTATTTACCCATGGCAATGTGACACCCATGAAGGTAATCCTCTTCAATTATAAAATTAAGTAATATGCCTTTTTGATAATAATGAAAATAAGACCTTAACTAGTTTTTTGACCTTTCTGAGGACATCAGTATAAATCCATGACAAACACAGAGCACAGTCATGCATATCATCCATTTGAAGTGACAGATTCTGTTGTAGTATCTGTTGCAAGCCCCTTACCAGGCCTCATAGCATCTGCTTCTGTAAGGACTGACGCTCTAACCCTTAGCAGGATGCTCGAACTTGTTGCCTCAGCTGGCAGTGACCATAGGAAGGGTGACGGAACTGCCCGAGTATAAAATTGGCTTATTTCTAGACCAAACCCAATCAGCAGTTCAAAGACAAAAATGGAACAAAAATTTCTAGAATTCTGAGGGCACTTTTGTTTTTGAGCAGATAATTTATACAGCACTTACGTGCCAAGCACTATTCTTAGAGCTTCACATATATTAATTCAGAAATTCTTGAATATTTTTGTTTGATGGACAGCCTCCCTGCCCCCCACAACCCCAGTTCGGCAATCTGGTGAAGGCTGTAGACTCCTCAGAATGTTTTTAGAAACATAAACTAAAATACATGGCATTACAAAGGAGATAAAATATGCCGAAATATAATAATATACATGCCCTTCTATTAATGCATTCAACAACAAGATCTCGGGAAAGTGTAATAACTACCATGATTTCAAAGCAGTGACAAACAGAAACAGTACGTTTTGCAGGTAATGTAACAAATTTAAGAGATATTATAAGAAATGTAACAAATATGTAAAGAGATATTATAACAAATGTAATGTGATATGAAAGTATCTGTGATTTCCATTGGTGACAAGTCACAGTTACTGCTGATACTCTTGTGAATTGTAGCCTGTTTCATAAGCAAAGAAAATGCTGAATTCCAGGCAGAGATTAATAAAAACAAAGAAGCAAGATCTTTCCTCCCCAAGCTTTAAACCCTCTGAGTCCTACCACCCACCGGCCGTGGGAATGAAGACATTAACAACCCATTGAACCCCACCAACAAGTCTATGATGGGACAGGTGGCATTGTTATCCCAGCTTTACAAGTGAGGACTCCAAAGCGTGGCACGGTTACGAACTGCGCCACTGAGAAAGGAGTGAGTTCAGTAAGCATGCATCCACAGTCCCCCGCGTGGCGGGATCTCACCTTGATGGGGGGCTTCCGAGTGATGTGGGAGACGAGGAAGTTCATGGCGATGTCCTCACAGTTGATGTACTCATCCACCATGTCTCGGATGGCCTGGGGCATCACGTAGGAATACAGGTAGGCATAATACTGTCGAGGGAGCAAAAAGAATCACATGCTCTGTTAGAGGCCACAGTTTGGCGCCTTTCAGCAAAAATATGCATGGATCTGGGGGCTGTGTGGGAGTGCGTGGGCGTGTTCAGGTATGGCGCTCACTGGCAAGTACTACTGGAATGAAAGAGCTGGAGTCAGGGGCACTGAACATCCCGCAGTGCAGACCTTGTGCAGTGAAGAATTATCCCGTTCAAATTGCCACCATCACCCCCTTTGAGAAACGGGACTTCATGTAATTTCCTTGGTACCTCAGAGATTTTGAAATCAATATAAAGATTTGTTAAACTAGGTCAGACCCTGGTTCAGCTGAACAATATCCTATCTCTGACAATGGCAAAAAAAGGACAGGTGAGGAAAAAAAGCCTGGTTATCTTTTCAGAGCTCAGTAAACCAGACTCGTGAAACGTCCCTCACCTCCTCACTTGCAGATTCTTAAAGCTGGTCACTTCTCACCATCACCACTGGCTACCCCCTGCTCCAGACCACTTCATCTCTCCCCTTGATTCTTCAAATCACCTCCTAACTCGTGTCCCTGCTGCCATGTTTTCTTCCCTGTGTTCTAGTCTCAGCACTGCAGGGGACCATGTTACAACTCAACCCAAGTGAACACGTCACTCCTTTACCCCAAACCCCCCACCGCTTCTGTCTCACTCAGAGGAAAAGCCAAAGTGCTCAGACCGTCTTGCAACGCCCAGAGCATGGTGTGAAGCCACTCGCCCTGCCAGAGAATGCTGCTACCTTTTCAGCAATTTGGGGAGCTTGCTGTTAAACATAGCCATTATTAAAGATGCAATGACATAAACTTTAAATTAAATTATATTAAAAACCCAAACAATAAATACTTAAAACTCATCACTTCTTAATTTATATTTTACTACTATCTATTACACTTTACCGTTATCTTGAAGTTACTTGTGTCTATTGTGTCTATTGTGAAAATACTATATAATGGTGCACAACTGAGCATCTCTTCCCAAATCCATGTTCAGTGACTCATGTTGACAACTTGAGATCAGCCAACGTGAGACTATTTATACCACAGAAATCAGCAAATACTACAAAATGGGGTCCATATTAACTGCAATGCATTGTAATTTGCTGGTGACAAACACACGAACAGATGAGGTGCCCAGTTAAACTGCTTTACATATGTTATTACCTTAAATAGTACAATCTGTATAGTGAAATAATGAATGATCATAAAATTTTATAGCCCACAGTAGTTTGCTGGTTATCTTGTAGCAAAGTACTTAAGAGTTGGTGAGCTTAAAAGATTTTATTTATTTATTTATTTATTTTTACAGAAAGACAGGTGATTCAAATCTGTTGACCCTTTAAGTAGCCAGTAACTGTCATTAGTATGCTCATGAGAATATATTTATTAAACACAATTCATGTCTTCAAGGAAAAGGTAACATTTTAACAGTAAGAACTGCCTTTAAAAAAAACTATACAGAAAGCATTATGAGAATAAATGTTTATAGGCATTTCCACCAGTATGTTGTTTTGTTGCCAAAACTGATGTATGCTTATCTGATAAACTTGCATACCTGCACATTTTAAAAACATAGAAAAACTTTTCTAACCTGTTTAAAAAAAAAAAAAAATATATATATATATTTTAGAAAAGGTCTCAATCTGTCACCCAGGCTAGAATGCAGTGACATCATCATAGCCTACTGCAACTTCAAACTCCTGGGCTCAAGTGATCTTCCTGGGTCAGCCTCCAGAGTAGCTGAGAGCCACCGTGTTCAGCTAATTTTTCTAATTTTTTTAGAGATGAGATCTCACTATGTTGCCCAGGCTGGTCTTGAACTCCTGGCCTCAAGCAATCCTCCCACCTTAATGCCATTCTCATCAGCCTTTTCTTACCTTGTGAAAGAAGGCAGCGCCTGTCAGCACCATGGACAGCTCACAGGAGTAGTTGGAGTTGTAGAGCCAGGACTGATGCGGTATGTCCCATGCGTGGTACCGGCCAGGGAAGCCCACGATGCGATCCCGTGCTTCTCTCCAGACCCTCAAAACACAGAAGTACATGCACACACCTGAGTACATAGCTCTAAGATCACCAGAAATGTTTCAAATTACTGCCTCTATTTTGCAGGCTCTGGTCCTTAGGCTTTTACTTGTTATCCTTTAAAAAAAAAAAATCACAAATCAAATAGGATAAAATCAAATAAAAGCAGTGCCACATGCAGCTTTCTTAATAAGCACTTAGGGTTCCTCTAACTTCTGGCAGTCAGCATCTCTCCAGCCCTTCCAGAACAAATAAGCTGAAATAACATGGGAAGGGCCTTCCAGAATGTGTTGTGTACAATAACCTGCTAATAAGCAGGCAGATGATATCAATTTCTATCTTTAATCTTATTTAATGTCTAAAAAAAGTTTTGTTTGTAATGAACATAATATGTTAGTTCAGTAGGACATGTATGTAACTTATGGATATTGCATGCTTAACTTTTCTTTACTGAGCACATAATAAAAAAAATTCTGGTTTCACCACTGAAGACTACTGCCTGGGGCAAAGCCCTAATCCCTAACACGGCAGGGCTGGGAGACACCTGTGTGGTGAGATGGTCTACAGGACCATACAAGCAAAAGGTTTCATTAAATGCAAGAAATAAATTGAGAATTCAGTGTTTCAACAGAAACGTTTACGTATCTCTAACTTTATAGGTAAGGCCTAACAAATAAAATCAGTCCCCAGTTTGACAGGTTAAAATTGGAGAGCCGAAAGCACTTAAGCTCCACAGAACCCGACGGGCCTCAGGAGATTTCAACTGCCTGAGAAAGTCTCCTGTCACATGGAACTTCAATTCCTAAAACATAAAAGATTTCATTTCAAAAGAGTCCCTCTAATAAGTTTCAAAGCTTCTAATCTAGTCCCACAGATGAGAAATCACAACTTCTATCACAATATAATAGCCTTCTAGGTGGGCCTCTTTTTTTGACAACTGATTTTAATTGTGGCAGATATATGTAAAATTTGACCATCTTAATCATTTTTAAGTGTATAATTCTGTGGCATTAAGCACATTCACACTGCTGTATAACCATCGCCATCACCCATCTCCAGAACTTTTCCATATTCCCATACTAAGCTCTGTCCCCATTAAACACTCAGGCTCCACTCCCACCTCCCCCAGCCCCAACAACCCCCATTCTACTTTTCTGTCTCTATGAATTTACTCTAGGGACCTCATGCAAGTAGAATCACACAGTATTTATCCTCTCGTGTTGTATACGCTTCTGACTGTGATAAATAATGCCATGATCATTCATGTACTGCTTCTTGTGTGGACATACACTTTCAATTCTGTGGCCCCTTGCTTTCACCTATCCCTTAAGAATATCTCTTTCTTGACTACGTAAGTTGAAATTAGTCACGATCTATCTTTTCCAGAGGGAAAAATTCTTACACTTACCCTTTCCTTTGAACTTAGGACTGTTTCATTCCCATTAAGGTGAAAAAAAGCAAATTGGGGAGATTATTAAGAGAAAGCTTTTAGATCAAAGGATGCCCAAACAAATGAGAAAAGAGCAGGGTGAGAAAAGGTTAGGATCTGCAGCCGAGATAATTCACCAGCTCCATTACCAGAGGCTAAGCCTCAAATTCAAATCATTTGTAAGAGACACATTAAAAGGCTTCCCATTATTCTCTTGTCACCTGGAAATCTGCTGGGAAATGACACGGAAAAGCTCAAAAGTCTTCCTAAATTGAGGGACACAGAAGATAGCAAGTATCAGCTATCTAAGCTTCAAACTCATCAAAGCTGAGCTCCTTATCAAAATCATTCTCGGGGTCTGGGGCAATTGGCAATCCTCCCGTTAACATCCCACGACTCTGTTCGGGGCTCCCAGTCCTCCAGCACACACTAAACTGTGTCATGCTGTAGCAGCAATACAGCCCCTCTTCCCACCATCAACAGTAACATCTCAACAGCAAACACCATTCCCAGAGTCACTACAGGGCTTTCTTTCTTTCAGCAAAACAAGTGGTGAGAGCCAACTATTTATTATCATGTATAAAGGAATATATCCTGGCTCACACCTCTAATCCTAGCACTCTGGAGGCCGAGGCAGAAGGATCACTTGAGCCAAGAAGTTCAAAACAAGCCTGGGCAACATAGCAAGACCCCACCTCTACAAAAACAACAACAAAAAAATTAGCCGGGCATGGTTGCACACACCTGCAGTCCTAGCTTCTCAGAAGGCTAAGGAAGGATGAATGCCTAAGCCTAGGAATAGACAACCCGGAGAATGAGAGAAAATATTTGCAATTCCTATCTCTGATAAGGGACTTGCATCTAGATTAAATGCAAGAACTCTTACAACTCAATAATAAAAACACAAATGACCCAAACAAAAATGAGCAAAGATGGCCGGGCGCGGTGGCTCACGCCTGTAATCCTAGCACTCTGGGAGGCCGAGGTGGGTGGATTGCTCAAGGTCAGGAGTTCAAAAATGAGCAAAGAATTTGAAAAACCATTAGAAGATACACAAAAAGGCTAATTGGTCAATAAGCACATGAAAAGATGCTCAACATCATTAGTCTTAAGAGAAAGGAAATCAGAAGTATAATGAGTTACCATTTCACAATGACTAGGATGGCTATAAACAAAAAAAAACAGAAAGCAACAGGTGTTGACGAGGATGTACAGAAATTGGAACCCTCATACACTGCTGATGGGACTGTAAAATGGCGTAGCCACCTTGAAAACAGTCTGGCAGTGTAATTCTTCAAAATGTTAAAACAGTTATCACATGATCCAGCCATTCCATTCTTAGGTACAGACTTAAGTGAAATGAAATGTTTATACAGAAACTTACACATGAACCTTTATGGCAGCATTATTCATAATAGCCAAGAAGTAGAAATGACCCAAATGTCCATCAGTAGATGAATGGATAAACAAAATATGGTATGTCCATACAAAAGGAACAAAGTACAGGTACATACTACAAGATAGATGAACCTTAAAAACATTAAATGTAATGAAAGAGGCCAATCATGAAAGGATATAAATTGTATGATTCCATTTATATAAAATGTCCAGAATAGGCAACTCTGTAGAGACACAAAGATTAGTGACAGTCTAGGACTTATAGGGGTTGGAGAAAAATGGAGAGTGACTGCTATTAGCACAGGGTTTTTTTTTTAGTGGTGATGAAGATTTCTAAACTTAACCATGGTGATGGTTGCAGAACTCTGTAAATATACTAACAACCACTGAATTGTATACTTAAATGAATTATATGGTATACTAATTATGTTTAATAAATGTTGCAAACGAACAAATTACAAGAAAAATGATCACACACTCAGGCATCACGGTAAATGTCAAACTGCTTTAAAAATTTCTATATGCTTATCCTCAATGTTTGTATTTACCTCACTGTGGACAAATAACAAAACTGTCCCTGAACTAATATATCGGTCCAAGACAGACTGAGAATAGCCCTAATCTACTCCATTCTCTTACCTGCAACGTACTCTCCAGTGGGACGCTTAAGCCCTAACAGCAATGACTAAGACTCAAGAAAGCAGGAGAGTTGCCTGGCTGAGTGGAAATTCTGGAGCTAGACAAACCCAGTTTGAATCCCAGCTCTGTCTGCTACTCTAGCTCAGCTCTCTTCTCTTGGATCTCAATTTATACTAACATAAAATGGACACAACTACAACTGACATCACGTTTCAGGAGGATTAATTAGATAAACCAAAGTGCTCAGCTGGTCCCTGGCACACAGTATAGGTTCCATAAATGTTAAGTGCCATCATCACCATCATCAATCAATCACTGCCACACCCTCCTTCTCCTCTTTTACCTCTTGGATCTTTGCTTTCAATGCCCTCTTCCCATAAAGTGTTTTGGGCCCAGGATGCTGGCACTGCTCCACTGCTCCAACACACAGCAACATGTTGCTTCTGCCTGCCTGGGAGTCGTTTCCTGTTCCTCTGACAACAGAAACCTCAAATTTCCTTTAGAAAACTACCCCTTGCTTCCACTCTCAGCCCACGTAGTTTGGGTTTAAGGACGGTATATTGGCAGCACCAGGAACAGGCAGGTAACCACGGTTTAGCCAATCAAAGAATTCCGTCTCCCTGGCCTCCGAGGAAAACCTTATCTGAGGAGCAGAGCAGAACCCAGAGACAGAGAGAGGAGGAATCCTCCCACCCCGCCGCATCCTACGTCAGCCCCAGCTACCTCTAAGGGTTTCTCGGTTACCATTACCCAAGAAACTCATTTTGCTGTTTAATCCAAATTTGATTTGGTTCTCTGTCACTTGCAAACCGAAGTGTTTCTTGATGAAAAATCAGTCCCTCACCGAAAGCCAAACATGATTTCATCATGGCGGAGGTGAGCGTCGTCGTCGATAGACAGGATGGCCTCCGTCTCGATTTCGTTCCAGGGCAAGAATCGATTGTTCAAGCTGTTCTTCTCAGTACGAACCACCTGTAACGAGGAAGAAAAAGCACTAAAAAAATCAATGCGGTGTTATAGAAGGCAAAACCAAAACTTCCTTTAGGTCAAAGGAGACTGTGGCTAAATTAACTGAATCGCTTTGCATGATTACTCACCACCTGGAAAATCTAGCATATGCCTTTCAGGAATAAAAACTGCCTCGTAATTGCACAAATGTGTAAGGATTTCACATCTAAGCTTTATTCCTTTGTTTACTAATTTTCTTGTGAAGCAAGCTAAAGCTGAGGATTATTTTCACATGTGCAATAAAGAGCCTAGGGAAATTAAAAAACAACTTTCCCAAGAGAACACAAGGTGGCAGAGTAGAACTGAGATTCCAGTCCCCAGCTCTGGAATCCTGCAGCATGCTCACAAATGTTAAAACCAAACTCAGAAATCTCTGGAGTCTATGTTATTTCTGACACCCCAATTTTAAGGCCTTTTTTGGGGTATAAACCAAAAAAATAAAAAGTAAGCCCATCCTGTGGACATTACTTCCTTCATTTTTGCAGTTCCTACCTACAACGCTGACTAGACATGCTTGAGCTTTCTTTCTTTTCAAGGTATAATTTATTCAGTAAGATAGTTCTGTGTCTATCAAATCCCAATTCAAAGGATCATCTAACCAAAACAATTCATATTCACAAAGCAGTATTTTCTTCATAAAAAGACAACTAGTGCCTCAAACAGTAGCTACATTTTAACAAAAAAAAAGATTTTTATTTAAACCATCTGATATAAACACAGCTCTTATTCACCTTGCCATCTAGCACTAAAATAAAAGATGACCACACTCAGTACTTTGATAGCTCACTTTATTTTTACACTATCTTTATCTAATTAGTCCAACTAATGAGGAGCCATCATTTTATTCTTGAAAACAAAGAGAACCTCATAAGGAATAATCTCTTTAGAAAGCCAGGAAGGGGCACCTCTCTCCCAGGCCGTGTTGCCCACACTGAGGCTAAGCAATGCCAACCGCAATGAACAGACTGGATCCGAGATCGTAACGTTTAAGAATGTTTCCAAGGCACTCCCTGACCTCACTAGCATTGTCTTCTCAGCATAAAATGCCTTTTCTTCCATTCTCCCCTTGAGACCCAGCTCCGATGCCTCGTCACACCCTCCTTGTGAGAAAGAATTTCTTCCATGTTCTTAAAGCAGTCCTCAAACGTCTATTCATTCATTCTAGCACACTTAGAATCCAATTAATCCAGAGCTGGAAGTGCCCTGGAGACCATCTGGCCTGACGCTCACTTTATACACAGATAAACCAAGGCCCAGGATGACGTCATACAACTGGCAAGCTACAAGAGCCACAACTCTAACCCACACCTTCTGACTCCAAATTCAGTCCTTTTTCTGCCAAACTTACATTAACTTTTTTGTTTTTTTAGAGACAAGGTCCTGCTCTGTCACCCAGGCTGCAAGGCAGTGTCATGATCACAGTTTGCTGCAGCCTTGAATTCCTGGGCTCAAGCAATCCTCCTGCCTCAGACTCCTGAGTACCTAGGACTACAGATGTGCAACACCAGTTTTTTTTAATATTTATGTTGAGACAGGTTCTCGCAATATTGTCCAGGCTGGTCCCAAACTCCTAGCCTCGAGCAATCCTCCCACTTCAGCATCCCAAAATGCTGGGATAACAGGCATGAGCCATCACACTCGGTCTCCTGGCATCGCCCAGGCTAGAGAGAAGTGGCATCATCATAGCTCAGTGTAGACTCAAACTCTTAGGCTCAAGCAATCCTTCTGCCTCAGCCTCCTACATAGTTGGGACTACACCCAAGTGCCACTGTGCCCAGCTAATTTTTTTTTAACTTTTTGTAGAGACAGGGTCTCACTATGTTGCCCAGGCTGATCTCGCAAACTCCTGACCTAACCAATCCTCCCTCCATAGTGCTGGATTACAGGCATGAGCCACCATGCCTAGCTCTTCCCCTCCCTTAAACAAACGAACAAGCAAAAACTTCTTAATTATTCAAGGGACTCATTCACTCAATAAATGCCAAGTGGTGGGAGCAGGAAGAAAGAATATACAAAGGAAAGAAAAGAAGAAGGTAACATAGCGAACTGGTTTTCCATTTATAAATTTAAATATGGGTCTAATGCAGCACAAGAAAATAGTATATATTTTAGCTAAGACAAGTCTGTTTTAATTTGTAAGAGAAAAGGTTGCCAGCAATCCCTGTGTAACTGCAGGTAAACAGCACAGGTTAGAGCTTCAGCATCAAATGAGAGAATGCTCATAAAGACCACACACAGCACCTGGACATAGCAAATGCTCAAAAATTGTTAGCAATTACTGTAATGTGAGCACTTCTTCCTCTTTTAATTATCATACATTTTACATGTTCTACATTTTATACATTTATTTTAATTTTTACACATCTTATATATTTATATATATTTTTTTTTTTGAATAAACAAGCTTGTACCTTTCCAAGAAATTTAGTCTTAGTAAAAAAAAGAAAAAATATAGATTTAACTATGGTCAGAGGTGCTGAAACCTAGTTTTACTTTAGACAATGAGTAAGTCAAGTGACCTAAGGCAATGAAATTCTCAGTCTGATTCCTTACTCCGAATCAGTAAAGAGAATAAGGGGAGAGCTATTACCTAAAGAATGGACTTGCTACAATTAGTAAGTTATTTATGCAACCTGACTTTTCAGTAATTCCTTTAAACTTCTGTAATTCTTACTGTTCATTTCTGATTTCTGGTAGCTTTGTTTTACATGATTTTCCTTTGAAGCCATGCAGCCCATTCTCAAACAGAAAGAGAAAGCCACAGCTAGAGCCACCAAGTTATTAAGTAAATTGTTGTCAAAGGAAAAAAAATAAGCCACCCAGACACACCAATACCCAGGGAAGCCGCCCAGGCTTTGTGCAGTCTTCAACCTGGAGAAGCTGGACTCGGTCTTTCCTGTTAGCTTCACCTAGAAATCACAGTTGTAGGAAATTATCATCTGATTCATTCAGGGATATTTTTTAAAGCAGAGTGGGTACAGATAAAAAACACAGAGTACCCATTTTCTAAGGAGTGATTCTTGAGAATGCCTCGTCTTGCCCGAGGTCTGGCCACAAGTAAAGCCTTTAGCAGCCTGCGAGGCCCAGTCCCAAGCCAGAGAGTGGATGATGCCAAGAGTGCACTGCCAAGGCAGTTTCCCGAGTTTTCTCTCCTTTCCCTAATAGACTACTGGGAAAATGATGTTAAAATAATCCCCCTGGCATGATCCTTAAGTTCCCAAAACACAGAACTCTTGTTCAATTTGAGTATCAACAGCTGGGAGGGAAGGAAAAGGGCAGTGAAAAATAATCTCATCTCAATATTTTCATTTGGGAAAAATGGTGCTTTCCAGCTTCCAACTTCCAGAGACCTCGTAGTCACCAAGGATGTATAAGCTCATCTCTGAACTTGCCATCTCCACCTCCACCCACCACTCTGTCCAAGCTGCCATAGCCCCTCACCTAGGCTACTGCAAGTATTTAACTGCTCCTGTTCTTTCCTCCAGAGTCCCACAAAATTCACATACCTTCCAGTTCAGCACCCTCCAAGGGCATCCTGACACACCCAGACTCCTTACCACGGCCTGTGTGCTCCTGTGCACGCGGCCCTGCCACCTTCTCCAACCTCCTTTCCAGCTCTCCTTCTCAGTCACGCCTCCCAGATGCACTGGGTACTGCTTCTCGCGCTTGCCATTCCCACAGACTCCGCCAGAATTTGCACGGCCCATTCCTCACTTCATTCAAGCTTCTGCTCAAATGTCACCTCTCCAAAAGGCCCTTTCCAAGGCATCCGTGCCCTTTATGAAGAGGAGAATGAAAAACGAAGCCTGGGGCTGGCTGCCAAAAGACCGTCTTAGGAATCAGTGCGCATACACTGTGAAGATAAGCAGTGTTTTGAGTGGGCTGGGCTACGCCCTTAATAACAGAAGGATGTCCCTTTCATGACAGCCGTTTTAAATCTCCAAAAGGACAGATTCTGAGATTCTCATTTCCACAGGATGCTCTAACAAGGCCACCCTACTTACTGTCTTCCAGAATATAAAGCACAGTAAGGATGATGTGTAAACTGTTGAGAATAAAACAGTAACTTAAACCAAAATTGTCGGTGGGACTATGTAGCAGAAAGGGATCACTTAGTGTTTCTGCTTCCAGAAGGGAGTAAGCTCCTACCAGACTCGATCTTGCTGCAGACAGCAACTGTAAACTCTAGACAAAAATTACAAAAAACCAAAAAGCAACTTCCTGAAAGCACAAGAGAAGTAAGGTGGCGAATTATGGAGGGTGCTGAAATCTAGCGGGAAGGAATTGTTGATGTGGGAAGTTACTGTTGCTTTTACCCGGCGAGCAGGCCAGAGTCCCCACCATGAAAGACAGGGAAGCTCTCGTGCAAAACCCAGTCTTTCGGCTTGAAGAATAAGAGGAAAGCATTTGGGGGCAACCACAGCCCCTGGAAAGAGAGGAGGAAACTCCAGAAAGGAGAAAGCCAAAGACGGAAGCTCTAATTTCTACATCTGAACTGCCCAGTCTCTGCCCACCGTGCATGCTTGGTTCGTGTGAGCAAAGCAGCTCATTATGAAGGAGCTTGACTAACGTATGAGTTGCATTTGAGACAGAATTTTTCAGTGTGAGTCCAACAAAAGTAACTGCCTGCTAAAACAAAACAAATCAACACTTTCCAGAATCAAAAATCAAAGTAAACCATGCTGAGGCTTATCAAACTGCTAAAAACCAAATATTTTTTTTTAAAAAAAGTCCTGAAAGCAGCCAGAGAGAGCCACACATTACATACAGCAAAACCAAAATTTGGAACCCATCGACATAGCGTCAGAAACAATGGAGGTCTAGAAACAGTGGAACCTCTTAAAGGAGCCAAGTGGTGGTCCCCAAGCTAGCAGAGAGTTTTTCAAAAGACTAGATCTCAAGTCCCTCATAATGATAATACTCTCTATTTGACTTTCATTAGTTATCTCTGCTATCATGCTCCAGGAGCTAAGGAACCCGACTCAAGTGTTTACAAATTATGCAGCACCTGGGAGAGAGCACGGACTCACCACCGCCTGTGTGTCTGGCAGTCCTCCGCCATCAGATAGGGACCCGCTTCCACTGGCGGCACCGCTCCCCCCCTCTGCAAGTCCCGTCTCCTTGCCCAGCCGCCACCCTATCTGAGCTGTTGTTCTTCTTACACAGAGCATGTGGAACAGGAGTGTCCAAGGATGGCAGTGATGAAGATCACCTTCAACCTAAGCTAGAGCTCTTTGTTATGTAACTAATACCTAGAAAAGAGTAACTTTAATATACAAGTCCTATCAGGCACCCCTAAGACAATCCTCCACTTAAATAGCTAGGGCTCAAAATGCCTCACAGCCCAGATATCCAGCATTTATGCCTATTGCTCAGTTGGGAACCTGAACATAAGAGCAGCACAAATTGCTCAGCACTTTCTGAAATGGCATGGGGGTTCCTGGGTTGATTTGTTTAGCCAATATGCTGATTTCAAGTCATTCTGCCTGAAGGACTGGAATCTGAGAGATCGCCTGGAACCACCCTGGTGCTAAATTCATATAAAGATTTATTAACCTTAATGTAATCAATAGGTTATGTCTACGTCTAAGTGGAAAAACCACTCTAAAATTTATAGCAGCGCCATTTTCCTGTAGGGGAGAGAGCTGCCAGCCTCTCTCTAGTCCTGACAACTGGGTCTACACCTAAGAAGTGAGTAATTTCAACTGCTGCCCCAAACACCTGCTTCTCTTAAACAGAAAGCACAGTCAGAATATTTAGAGACTGGAGGGATACATGTACATTTAAAATCTAAACTAATAAAAAAAAAAAAAGAGAGAGAGAGAGAGACTGGAGGGAAATTCTCTAGCTTGAAGTTGTTTCTTCTTTTTTTAAAAGAACTAGAAAAAGTTTGTATTCCTAATATGAGAAAGCTATTTAGATGGCCTCCTGTTTGGAAAGTTTCTGGCATCTTCCAACTAGGTATTGTACTATTGCAATGGGCTGCCCAGTAATCAAAGAGGACTACTTATTTCCCACCAGAGTTAAAAGAAAGGATTAGTTCTGGCAAGTTCTCTGATGAATTTCAGTCATTGTTAACCGGGTGGCACCAGCTTCTCTATATCCCTATGAAAATCAAAGAAAACTCAGGAAAAAATGGAAAACAAAGGCTGCTTTATTATTCTACTATTTGAGCAGCATCTACCTTCTCATAGAGCAAATCCTTGTTGTTTTTTTATTTCAATGACACTAATAAAGTTGAAATTGAGAAAGAAAAGTGAAATTTATTTTGGAAGAAGTTCTATAATAGAAATCTCCCTATTCACAAAACTTTTATTACACAAGATAAACTCTAGGATCAAAAGTCTTTATAACCCTACAGTCTTTGAATAGCCTCAGATTATAAATTAAGTAATAAAATACAAGAAAAGACTAGCAGCATCATTAAGAAAGACAATTTAAAGCAAAGATTGGTAGGTGCTTTGTCCAGGAGTAAGTGGGCAGTAACAGCTACGACACAAAGAGAAATGATTTGGAGGTTGCAAGCAACCTGTGTCAGTGGAGTCAGCTGAAGCTCCACAACACGGGCAGAATATGCACACAGGCTTCCATCTCCTTTTGACATTAAGGGTAAGAAGGAATCATATAATCATTGAGTACCTTTCTAGAAGGTATTCCTTGTCTTATCTTGGATTTCTCTTTAACCCTGAGGTCAAAAAAGTTAATTAACTTACCAAAGATCACAAAATGACTACTTAATCCCCGGTCTGTATTATTCCAAACCTCATACTTTTCTTTTCTTTTTTTGAGACAGAGTCTCACTTTGTTGCCCAGGCTAGAGTGAGTGCCACGGTGTCAGCCTAGCTCACAACAACCTCAAACTCCTGGACTCAAGCAATCCTGCTGCCTCAGCCTCCTGAGTGGCTGGGACTACAGGCATGCGCCACCATGCCCGGCTAATTATATATATATATATATATTAGTTGGCCAATTAATTTTTTTCTATTTATAGTAGAGACAGGGTCTCGCTCTTGTTCAGGCTGGTTTCAAACTCCTGACCTCGAGCAATCCACCCGCCTCGGCCTCCCAGAGTGCTAGGATTACAGGTGTGAGCCACCGCGCCCGGCCCCCTCATACTTTTCTTATTACACCATGCTACTGCTTAGAAAATAATTCAAATGAATTAGCTCCCCAATGAAATACATTTTTAAAAAACTGGAATTCTAGCAATGCATGGCCCATCAGACCTTTTGCCCTCCCTTGCTACCTTTTCCTGGAAAGTACTTACGCTGCTGGTTGATTAGTTGACACTTTGCTTAAGACTTGCTCTAAGGCTTCTCATTTAAGACAGACAGGTTGCCATCTCTCTTCTAGATTGCCAAGTTTAATTCAGCAGGTGGATAAACAAAGCCCTCAGAACTAAAGCCCTATCCTACATATTTAGCTATTATTTTTTCCAGTAAAATATAGCACTTAACCATGAGAGATGGGGTTAAAAAATGAGGAAGAATCTACAAGGCACTCTAGAAAAGAAGGTTCAATTGGAGTTGGTTGTCCAACTCCCAAACACCAAACCACGAATCCAGTCTTCAGAAACACTTCTATAACATCCTGGGAAATGACACAGGTCTTCTTCCTAAATCCTTTTAGGAAGCGATTAAAACAGCAGTTTCTGTAATTGGACGTACAAAACTCAACTCCTCCATTACTCACCGTGACCTTGGGCAAATTAATTAAGCCTTAAGTTCCCACAGATATAAAATGAAGAAACAGTGATAACGATATGTCATATAATGTTAATTATAGCGCCTACATCCTAAGTGTTAACTTTCTCATCACTGTTACCATCATCAATGGGAGAAGACTATGAGCAGTTTTGTGAACCTTCATGGCTCCAGTGTCAATTTCCGTTCTGGAGGGCCTCAGCAGATTTAGGAACTGAGTAGCAACAATGCAAGTGGCAAGGCCTGAAAAAGCAGCAAGCACAGAGTTCATGGGGAATAGAATCTGTACAGGTTAAAAAAAAAAAAGGCATGTATATATTCCTTTCTACTAAAAGTTAAGATAGCTAAAGAAAAATGGAAAACGGATTACAAGAGAACTATTAATACTATTTCATGCGGTAAAACTGCTTTTTTCTATTACCATGATGGGGACACCAATGTCGGGCCACAGAAGGTCCTCTGAGGGCAGCTTGGGAGAATTCCACACCACCACGACCTTGTTCAGGTAAGGGAGGCCATTCAGCCTCTCCAAAGAGTTCATAAGCACTTCCTCCCGCTCGTAAGTCAGCATCACCACGGTGAACTGCTCTCGGGGAACATTGCCTCCAAGGGCTGCCTGGAACTCCTTGCCAGAACCCCCAGCTCCACCACCAATAGGCCGAAATCCGGTCCCTGAGCCCAAGAATTTGGCCTCCGAGGGCAACACAGGGTCAAAGGGTGTGTGGGGGAACAGATGGAAGGGCCCTGGAGCAGAGTTCCAGCTGCGGTGAAAGTCAGTGACAGTCAACGTGAAGTTGCGGAGGTATTTGGGCGAGGCGTACGGTGGCTCTGTTTCCACCGGCCCCAGGTCCAGGTCCCCGTTGTCGGCCATGTTGGGGTCGGTCCCCGCAGCCTTGCCTGACCGATGGGGTATCTCAGCCGCTGCCTCTTCCCGGATGGGAGCAGCGGGGATCTGTATGCGAGTCCTAATCATGGCCAGCACGGTATTAAAAATACTGTCAGCAGTGGAGAAGTAAGTCTCCCAGAGAAAGCGGCCTTGCCGCCTCATAGCCAGGAGGTCACTGTCCGAGAGACTCCTTAGCAAGAAATGGACCTCGGTGACTCGGGGCTTGGGCACCACCAGGGCCGCCTCATTCCACTGCAGCATGTCCTGGTACGGAAGCTGCACCTGCTCCCCCAGCACCACGGGGACAGCACCGACCTCCAGGGCTTCGAAGAGCCGTGTTGCACACCCAGAGGAGATGACCAAGCGAGGGTCCCCGGGGGTGATGATGAGGGCAAAGGTGGAAAGCTTCAGCAACTCTAAGCGGTCCTCCCGCTCCCCACACAGCGCCCACTCCGTAGGCAGGCTGGGTTTAGGCTGGTTCTTGCAGGTAAACTCTACCAGGACCTGATCTAGCTTGCTGTCCTGCACTGCCTTCAGGGTGGCAATGATCCGGTCGTCATAGTCGGCTGGAGGGTCGCCCTCCATTTCTTCTTCAAAGGAGCGGGCCTCCTGCAGGCTGGATCGCAGGGACTCGATCTTCTCACCCTGGAAGGTGAAGAGATATTTCCGCTTCACTGGCACCTGTGGTGGGATTTCCATGAAGTTGGGTTCCGACATGGCATGGACTAGTGGCGACACTACCAAGTCAAAGCCAGGTCTGTACTGGACAGCATAGAAGGTGGACTGGGCCACCATGGCACGGCCCGTACTGACGTTATAGAGTAAATTCTGTGTATCTGACTTCCGCGACAGGTTGATGATGACGTGGTTGTGTCCATCTCTCCGCCAGTGTGGCAGAGAATACAACTGCTTCTCGAGTTCGGCAGGCCGCAGCACTACCGGTTCCTGCATTTCTCCCACTAGGATCACATACAGGCAGGCAATGTCTGCATTTTCTGTAACATAAACATTGGCTCGCGCTGTAGCCTGAAAAGCCTGCTTGACCAAGGGATCCAGGTGGCTGCCGAGGACAAACTGGTCACTGTCATAAACATAGACTGGAAAACCAGAGGTGAGAGGGCAACGAGAATAATCAAAACAGTTGTGTAGCCGGCAACCCCGGATGACCTTTGGGGGAGGAAGGCCAGCATCGTCTTTCTCTGGGAGCAGTCGGATGGGCAGAGAAAGTTTGGGCTGGTTTTGGGCCATCAGCTCTTTGTAAGAATGCTCGGTCTGGCTGATGACGTTCTTGAGCTGCAGCAGGTCCTGCTTGGCATTCTCGATGCTCTTCTTGCAGGCCTCAATCTTCAGATTCAGCTTGGCGATTTCACTGTTCAGCTCTTGCCGCTTGGCTTCCAGCTGCAAGAGCTCTTCGCTCACCGACTCGCGAATGCGGCACAGATCCAGCACGTGCTTTACCTCGCAGAGCTCGCTGCCGGCCCGTGGGCCAAAAATCCGCTTGCCGGCCTCGTCGGCCTCGTCCAGAGTGGTGAGATAGTAGTGGGCGATGAGGGGGAAGAACACCAGGATGACGAAGAGGGTGAAGCTGAGCCAGGTGAGGCGGATGCGGTTGGACCAGCGCAGCATGCAGGTCTGCCCTCCGTTCCCCGCCCCCCCATTCCGCAACATGGTATAGCCCGTCATGAGTGCCCCGCGGCTCTGCCCCTCTGGTCACGTCGGCTCACTCGCCATAACCGGGAGCTTCTACGCGACAGAACTCAACCTCGTTTCATTCACACGTTCGTTTCCAGAAGAGTCAGCGTGCTCCCGGTACAAGGCACCAGATAAAATGGAAATTTCATTTTCCTCAGCTGCAACCGAAATGGTCTCTGATCCTATTCCAGCAGATTTTAAGTTCTGGTTGTTGACCAAAAAACATGTCCTTAATCTTTATCCAACGGTAAAAGGTACCACATTGTGGCCGAGATGAAAGGGAGAAGGTTCCTGATGATAAAACGCAGGAAAAATATCCTGGAATCAGACAGACGTTTTCAACTGCCATAGCTCTTGTTCCTTGGTTTTGCTGACCAACAAATATGCATAGTTCCCATTCGCAGTTACACAGTGGTTGGTTAGAACAGAAGGAAATGCCAGCCTCTTATCGATGTCATTGTCAACACTCAGGCCTGCAAAAGAAAGAGAATCATGTCAGTCTTAAAAATATTATATTCAACACCCGCCCCACCCCCAGCACATTTCTAGAAAATGTTTCAACCTTATAAGATGGAACAATGGTTGGAACAATGGCATGTATCTTAAAGAACATCATAAGGCCAATAGAGAGACTTTGTCTGGTGTGGGTATTTTACTTGTGGTTAATAAGAAATGGAAAAAGGTAAGTGCCTGAAACAGCTTCAGTTTATGCCCCCTCACCATCCACCCTCTCCCTAGTTAACCGGATCTGGAACAGCCCTAGGGCCCCATAACATTATGTTCAGCTAAATTCAACAGAGGGCAGAGATGTCTGCAGTGACAACTTGTTATTCTATTCTAGACCTGGGCATCATCTTTAGATGAAGAGGAACACCTTCCTATCCAACCTGGGTAGCTCACTCTCACTCCTAACATGAAAGTCCCCTTTTGAACTACTTAACAAAAAAAAAAAAAAAAAGACTCTGAGAAGCTCAGTTTGTTAAATTTAGAGTTGAAAAGGGTTGAAGGGAATTCTTTTGATCTTTACCCAGTAGTAGATGCAGTAATCCAGGGACAAAATGTACTTCCTAGTTTGCTCCTCATTTATCTTCCATTAGCAGACATCATGTGCTCTTTCTTAAAATATAAATAGCAACTTGGTCTTTTAGAAAGAACACTATACTTAGAAGTGAGAGGCATTATTCCTCATCCTTTGGGGACAGACTTGCTATCAGACCTCAGTTTCCTAAGCTTCTAAAATGGAGATAAGCACACAGAGATAACAATATATCACATTGCTAGCTATGAAAATAAAGCAGAGAAGATGTGAGGGTACTTTAGGCTAATCAATTCGGAAACATTCCCAGTCCTGTTCTCTTATCGAACTTCAGTATCACAGGCTACAGAAACTTTCCCCTTGTTTTCCTTCAAATGCAACACATCTAGAAGAATTCATAATACACTGTGCCAAAGAATATTCCCTATCTCTTTCATTCATTTCTCCCAAAAAATATCCATCATACCTTTAACATGTCTAAGACATGCCAAGTATAACTGTGGGATAATCTAGAATGTATAATAATCCTTGACCTCATGGAACTTCCTTCCTCTAGCCTAAGAGATCAGATGTAAACAAACAACAGGGCACTACTACAAGAAGTATAAAGTAAGTAAGTATGCTTCATAGAGGTACACTCTATCTAGAGTCTACCTTTGTTAAAGATGCATGACTATTAAAGGTTTGGCAGCGTCTTCTCTCCCTGTAAGTAGAAACAAAAAGTTGATGACGTTGTTGCTAAAAGTTTTAAGTATTTCGATAATCTAAACTTGGATAATTAACAGCTGACCAAATACTCCAAAGAATGTAGGTCAGTATGTCCAAAGCATTTGCATTATCCCTTTGACTCAAATGTTTAAATGTCTTGTTGCTTTCAAAAGAATATTCTCTGCACTTATGATCAAATCATAAAGAAACAATGGAGTCGAAGAAAAAAAAAAGGAAACATAATCAAGGCCATCCAGACGATTCACTCCGTCCTTACCACGTTTCAGGATCCTTCCTGTGACTTACGTAGCGACTTACGTAGCGTTACACTTCAGTACACGATTTCTTGAAATAGTGAACTCCAGGGCTTGCTCTCCTAATTTAAAAGAAAATAGAAAAATGACACACTGTTTGAAAAATACTCAATACTGAAGGTGCTATTAAAGAATTTAATGTCCCCTATGGAAAGGCTTCCGTTATGTGTATAAGGTGACCTAAGAATTTACTGTCCAGAGACTCCTTGAGTGAAAGGGGGACTATTAATAAATACGCCAGGACAACAGGTATAAACTGGGACTCTCCTAGGTAAACCATGCACACGATACCTATTTTTGTGTTCTAAGAGGAAATAAAACAAAACACTAAAATATGGTAAAGTCCTTATTTTTTTAAAAGTATATACTGGCCAGGTGTGGTGGCTCACGCCTATAATCCCAGCACTTTGGGAGGCCGAGGCGGAAAGATCACTGGAACCCAGGAGTTCAAGACCCGCCTGGGCAACATAGCAAGACCCCATCTCTACAAAAAAAAAAATTTTTTTTAACTAGCCAGACATGGTGTTGTGTATCTATAGTCTCAACTACTCAAGAAGCTGAGGCAGAAGGATCACTTGAGCCCAGGAGTTCAAGGCTGCAGGGAGCTATGATCTGGCTACCTCATCTCTTTAAAAAAAAAAAAAAAAAAAGTCCAATAGCACAAACTTTCATTTCTAAACAGCTAATTAAATTATTTCAAGCACAAAAGAAAATGAAAACCCTCAGAATCTCTTCTGTCATTCTCTAGAAAATGACGACATATTAGCATCTAGAAATGTCACTGAAACACTGATTAGGAGCAATCTTCAGAGATTTTTTTTCATTGCAAATACAATACACGTCTTATTAATTCTCAGTTACCTGCCACAGCACTGAATGTCTAACTTGTCAGCTGCTGTTCCTGCCCCTACGATGCACTGTACACACAGCAAGCAGGATCATCTTCTTAGAGCTTGAACTAGACGTGTCTCCCCTCCTTAAATGTTTCCATCGGCTTCGCACTGTACTGTAACTAGCCCGGGGGACCTACCTGTCTCATTGGCCACCGCTGGTCCCCCTTGCTCACTCAACTGCAGCTACACTGGCCCTTTCAACTCCTCCACCAAGCCGCGCTCTTTACTGCCTCAGAATCTTTCTATTAATACTTGCTCTTCCTTTTGTCTGATAGGTTCTTCTCCAGGCTTCTCCCTGGTTGACACTTTCTCATCCTCCAGGTCTTTTAAAGTAGTCCTTCTTACCCACTGACGCTTTCCAGCACTGATCTATTGACTTCCTCCATAATATCTTCTCATTTATTTATTACCTACCTTCCCCCACCAAAGCCTAATCCTTAAGGCAGGAACTTTGTCTGCATGGATCACTGCTCCATCACCACACCCATTTCTCATCCTACAAATTCTCGATTCTTCCCTTCATTTCTGTACGTTTTGGTGCCTATTTCCCTGACTCATTCTTCCTTTCTGCTTTGCTGGCACCCAGTTTTCCTCCTGCCTCAGACTGAAAGTGCTCCCCAAGGCTCTCAACAAAACCTGTCAATGCATCATCCATCCACTTACACTGCTATAACCATCACCCCTGGTCAGATTCCCTCCAAAGACACACTCCGACCTGAGCCCTTCTGCTTTCTACTAGTAGTCGAGGATCCCCAACTCCCTAAAGGACACTCTCAGGGTACCCTCCTAGGGTACGTCATGTCACTTCATGCTTCCAAATATTAATAACGTCCTCCTTCCAACAACCTCTAGCTCTGCCCAAGATACTACAATCTTCCAATCTTACAAGCTAGAAACAACGTGATATCCAGGAAAGAGTATAGACCTCAGAGCCAGCTAGGTCTGGATCAAATCCCACTTTATAAGCTGTTAGATCGTCATCTAACCACTCTGAGGTACACTTCTTTCAACTGTAAGAAGATAACGCTCATGTTCAGGATTGTTATAAAAATTAGATAGTGAGGCCGGGTGGGTGGCTCATGCCTGTAATCCTAGCACTCTGGGAGGCTGAGGTGGGCAGGTCATTTGAGCTCAGGAGTTCGAGACCAGCCTGAGCAAGAGCAAGACCCTGTCTCCACTAAAAAACTAGAAAGAAATTAGCTGGACAACTAAAAATATATATATAAAAATTAGCCGGGCATGGTGGTGCATGCCTATGGTCCCAGCTACTCAGGAGGCTGAGGCAGAAGGATTGCTTGAGCCCAGTAGTTTGAGGTTGCTGTGAGCTAGGCTGATGCCACAGCAGTCTAGCCTAGGCAACAGAGTGAGACTCTGTCTCAAGAAAAAAAAAGAAAGAAAAATTAGATAGTGAATAAAAAACTGTAGTCTATTATAAGTGTTGGGGTGATTTTTAATTTCTCCAACTCCTCCACATCTGACCTCCTGCCAAATAATATCAATTATTTTTTGTAATAATAATTACAATGCAGGTTAACAATCCTTTTTCACCAACACTTTGAAGAATCCTCTGGATTTCATCATTGCTACTGAGAAATGGGATGTCAGTTTAATTGTATCTTGTGGGTACTTTGGCTTTGCATTCAGTTACCGTAAGATCTTTTTGTCTTTGGAGTTCTGGGGTTTCAATACAAACATTCTACATGTAGAATTTTTGCCTTGTTTTTGGTGCAGGTCTCACTGAACTTTCTGAATCTTAGGATTCATATCTTTCATTACTCTAGAAAATTCTCAGCTATTATCTCTTTGAATATTGTCTGTACCTTATTCTCTCCTTGAACTCTTCCTATTAGATCGATAGATGTAAGTCAGACCTCCTCATTCCATTCTCCATGTCTTTTAACCTCTCATATTTTCTCTCTGTCTTTTGTGCTACCTATGGAATTTTCCTGAGAGTTATCTAGTTTAGAGGTCAGGAAATTTTTCCAGTAAAGAGCCAGAGAGTACGTATTTTACATTTTTAGGTCGTATACAGTCTGTTGCATATTTTGCTTTTTTTTTTTTCCAAACAACCATTTAAAAAATATGAAAACCAGGGTGGGCAGGGTGGCTCATATCTATAATCCCAGCACTTTGGGAGGACAGGGGAGGATCACTTGAGTCTAGGAGTTCAAGACCAGCCTGGGCAATATAGTGAGACCCTGTCTCTACAATAAAGAAGAAAAATTAGCCTGGCATGGTGGTACATGCTTATAGTGTCAGCTACTTGGGAGGCTGACGCACGAGGATCGCTCAAGCCCAGGAGTTTGAGGCTGCAGTGAGCTATGATGGTATGGCTGGTATGACCATTTCATACCAGCCTAGGTGACAGGGTGAGACTCTGTCTTAAAAAAAAAAGTGAAAACCATTCTTACCATGTAAACTGCAAAAAAACAGGCCACAACCCAGATTTAGCACACAGGCTGCAGTTTGCCAACTCCTGATCTAGTTCATTAATTCTCTCTTCTGTGTCTAAGCTGCTATGTAGCCTACTAACTGGATTTTAATTTCAATGACTATTTTACACCTCCAGAAATTATACTGGATTTTTTATTTTTTGATTTGCCTTTATTTTATGACAGCACTTTGTTCTTTCTCATGTTTTCTATTCCTCTCTTCATGGTTTAGTTTGTTCTATCTGCTAGTTTTTGCTCACAGAAGAATGGTGGACTGTTTCCTCACATGCTTTGCAAATTCTGTATTGAGTTCATCTAGACTAGTGCTTTATTTCTGGGAAATCTATGTGTTTGGGTTGAGGATGTGTTCTTCTAGAAATAGTCTCTGTTTGACAGATACTTCTGTCATATTATCAGCCTTAGACCACTTTTTAGGTCAATTTCTCCATCTAGGATCCCCCCCACAACACAGGCATTATAAATTTAAACACAAAACCTACAGGAAGAAAACCTGTGGCCACGAGTTCTCAGTGGAGGCCCCATCCCCCATCAATTCAGGATCCTTGCTAAGAGAGATGTCTCTGTGTGTTTGCAAGCAGATTTTTTCTAAATAAATATTCAGTCCTTTCAAGATCCATAGTCATATCTGTTGTCTCAATTCTAATACTCACAGACTCAAGACTTTTCTTCTCATTTCTTCAAAAATTAAAACACAAGTTCAAAAAACTAGCAAACACCTTAAGGGATGACAGCATCAGACTGCTCACCAGATGCTTTGATTTTCAATCCCTAAACCCCTCTTTTTAAATGAGATTTACCTTTCTTTCTGGAGAGTACAATATGCATCTTGTAGTACAGACTTTTATATTTCGTCTGCTATTTTGCAAAACCGGAGACCTCCACCAGTTGTATTTCTAAGCATGTATAAACATGTTTACAAAAATGGGATATCATATGTTCTTTTTGGTAACCATTTTTACTTATACCAAGAAGAGTCTAATGTCCCACATCACTGGACACTACTACATGATCATTAATAGCTGAATATCATCCCATAATAAAGACTATAATTTACTAAACCAATCCCCTCTTGTAAAAGAACTGTGAAAACTAATGTGTCTTTTACAGTCAAAGGCAGTTAAGAACAGGTATGGATTCTCTCTCCCTACCCTCACCTGACAGGCTAAAAGCAAAACCTCCAAAATTATGCAACTGCCAGTTAGAACCAAGGTAGGTCCCTGTCACCATTGGAGAGCCCTAAGAAAAACCACCTGACCTGTGGGGCGCGGTGTCAACGCCATTACAAGATGGCGCCTGTTTCCGGCTTTGCCTAGAGCAGTAAACAAGTTCAGCGCACGCGCAATTGTCGGTTACCCTGTGGCGCAAGCATGCAAATGAAGGATCCTACTATGGACCAATGCTTTGGCGGCTCGACAGCTGAGCGGCCTATCCCAGCTTAGGGGTTGTGCTTCTAGGGTATATAGCAGCCTGCGTGCTGCCGGGCTGGGTCTTCCGCATCATGTAAGTCTAAAGGGAACCCCATTAAAGCACTGTCAGAAGAACTCCAGTTGCCGCGTCTTCCTTGCTGGCGAGGCGGGCGCGACACTGACCCACACCAGACCGTGATGTGAAAAATAAGCTTTTATTAGAGTAAGCCACTGAGATTTCAGAGTCTGTTCCTACAGTTAAGCAGTAATTTAATTGAATAACACTTTTTTTTAAACCTCACAATTTAGT